TTTCGTTTTGTGTTTTTGGCTGTCCATGGATAACCTATGCCAGCAACCAGCTTGCCCTTTTCGCAGGGACCCGGTCGCATCGATCCACCAGGGGGCAGTTTTGATTTAGTACTCACTCTCGAGCAGTTCTCGGCCTGGATTGGCGGGATTTGTAAAGGATAAAACGCCCAAACTCCAAACCACCGGCTCCAAACCACCCAGCCCTCGAGTTCCTGAACTTTCACTAAATTTGGGCCCCATCTTAGCGAAGCTTTGGTGAAGCTCATACTCCTTTGAGTTCTGTTTCTTTCACTACAAGTCGGTCACCCATTTTAGTGGCAAATGCTTTGGCCAATTTATTTGAAGGCCGGCACTGAATCAGAAGGGAGGTTCAGAGTTGCTGGATGTGTGTGTGTGTGAGTGTTTGATTTTGGGGGTCAGCTTTTTGTTCAAAAGCTGCCTCCACTGGCCCAAAGAGGACGCCAGCCGTCGCTTTCAATTTTTGTGTGGCGGGTTACCCTGTAAAAAAAACCACCAAGCGAAAGGTCGGTACCACTGCTTTTCCTGCTGTTTTGCTTAAAACTCTTTGGGGCCGGGGAGACCTCAAAGAGGGCAAGTCCTTTTTTCCATTCAGGCGCCCGCGCGGGATAAAAGCGATCAGGGGATAGGTGATCTATGCGGCAAGTGCCTCAACTTGCTGGTTGCCTGGACCAACATCATGACTGGCGTGTCCGTACTCAAGCTTCCAAACTTTTGAGCTTTCGTTTAGGGCAAATCCCCCCCCAACAAAAGAAGAGGAAAAAGAAAGAAGGTGGTTTCCTTTCGGTTTCGCTTCAAAGACGCCAACGTGGTCCTCATTTGTCTTCGTTTCGGAGTGGCCTTTCGGAGCCAGAAGAGTCGACTTCGAAGCCGGGGGGTACCAGGAAGTCGCTTTTGGGAAGTGGGAAAGGAGCAGTTCAGACTTTTTCTGGGTTCCCAGGCATCCGGATTTCTAGGTTTTACGGCTGTTTCGTGGGTTTAGTGCTAGTTTCCACTACCCAAACAGCCCTGTTTTTGTTGGCCAATCTCGGGAAGAACCAGCAGGTAGTGAAGAAACCTGTGAACAGTTTGGCTGTCCAGTGCCGCCGCATTGAACAATGGCGAGACTCGGGAAAGCGCAAGTAATCGGGAGCTGCGGAATGGGTGCGTCTTCTTTTTGAGGGTACCCTTTTTGGGTTGGGTTAAAGGGACACCAAAAGGAAACCAAACATGCTAGGGCCTGCTAGGGGTTCCCATATTTTGAGACAAACCCGAATGAACGGTTGCAAACGGCGGCGTGTTTAGGATGCAGCAAGAGAGCCGTTGCGGACACTCTACATACCCGTCACATGTGCTCTTTACCCCGTACATGTGCTCTTTGTAACAAGACCCGACGACTCGATTACATACCCCGCTACTTGCTTTGATCACATGCGTTTCATCTACTACATCAGCAAAGCAGCCTCGCTGGTTGCATACCCCGATGCATGCCCAGGGTCTGAGTGATTGCCCAGGATGCTTGCAGAGCAGGCTTGCAGAGCAGCTCCATACCTGTGCAGAGTCAACTTGCAGAGACCTTGCCCTTCAGAAGAAGAGAACACGTGGTTCGGAAAAAAATGCAGGGAGGGGCCGCAGGAGTATCTTTCCGTGCTATACCTCGCCACATACCCTGTTCCATACCTAACCTGAGCTGCGTTGTACCCGCGTACTGACAAGTTGCAGCGTTCGAGCTGGAGCTGTGGAAGTGTGAAGCCCCGTTTGCCCGCCTATGAATTCCACGACTTCGCCCCTGCCCCAATCTCTACTCTCCATTCCCCTCCTTCTTGAATTCCACCCAACACGCTAGAGAAACGTAGACGTTTCTCGAACAGAACGCTATTGGAAGAGAATGGAACGTGAATCAGCGCTGCGCAGCAAGTGAGCATCCACTTCCCTTTGGGGCGAAAAGAATGGGTGGGATCGGGTGCAGCTGATCGCGCCACTCATCCGCCGAGTTCTCTCTGGGCATTGTTCTGACGGAAATGATTTGCCCCGCGTGGAGCCAAGCGGCCGGCGTAGCGGGAGAGTTTCATCCGGCCCTTATGACCCTGAAATTGGTCGCAGGCGACCCCAACCAGCCATCAAGCAATATTCAGAGCTACTTGGAAGGCCAAATTTGAATTTGTGTTGCATCAGAAGTTTGTGGCAGATGTTTGGGGCCTGTCTGCGAGCCTCGTTGCGAGACGAATTTCTGATGTTGCCTCGCTTTGCTCTGGTCTTCACTGCCAGACTTGGCTCACCTTTTTGCCCTTGTGTCCTGTTGGTTTTCCTTCAGTACTTCAAGGACCGATCCGGTCAGATCTATCCGTCTGACCAAGGCGTTTTGACATCTTTTGATACAATGCTGGCGTGATGTTCAGAGACATGCGGAGACCCCTTTGCTTTTGCTAAACCCGTGGTGCAGGTGTTTTGCTTCTTATGAGGCTTGGCACCTGTTTGGCTTCCCAACAGGCACCCAACGTATGCGCCAAGTGGTCAAACAGGGGCCACCCTTTTTGGCTGGTTGCACAGGACATCAATGTTTCCGGCAGAATCTGGGGACCTCTCAAAGATGCCCTTTTCGAAGTCCAAAACCTCATGGAGATCCTGTGCGCCCATTTTTTGGAGGGTCCTGTCTGCCTTAAAGATGCCTCGGGAACCCCACAGGGTGGTTTTTCTTTGGTTTTCCCTTGGAATAACCCCAAATCAGGTACCGAGCCTCAGAATCCGGGACCACACCCCACATTCAATCAAGACGTCTTGCCCTTTTTGAAAGGTCCAAGTCATGAACATGGAACCCAGAGAAGCCGTCCTTTGTAGAGGCAGTCTCCTTTTGATTCACCACCTTTTCTTTGGCAACCCATGTTAATTTGTACCCGTGCCGAAGAATGAGACACAGCGACACCCAAATACGGGTACATACCCTTTGGGGCGGGGGCTTTGTTCGGGGCAACCCATGGGCCCCTCCTCGGGGACTCACAACCCCGGGGCACCTCTGTTGGAATTCATTTGGGGTCATCCACTTTAGGTCGGCTACACGGAAGCGGCTACTTGATTGTTTGGGCCTCGCAAGGTGCACACTCAGATGGAGCGCACCAAGGCGCGCCGAGTCGTGAAGTCGAAGTCCGGTGGAACACTTCGACAGCATGGGATGCCGAAAGTTAACTTGCCAGCCTAAGCATCAGAGTTCGGACCCTCCGTTGAAGGGGAAAGGGCCTCCATTGGTTTTGGTTTTGAACCTCATTTCAAGGAATTGCATTTTTGAGGCTCCAAGATGCTTAGGCCAACTCTCACCCCCCTCTATCGGGGTGTCTTGCTCCGGTGTCCACGCAGATCTCTACACAATCTGGAATGAACCGAAAGCAGCTCCAAGAAAATACAAGGGAGAGTTTTCTTGAGTCTTTCCTTCATTCCCTGAGAACCAAGCAAGATCAACTTGCAACAAACAGCGTTTGCCAAAAGGAGAGCTACAAATTTGGCTCTATGTGAATGTCAACTTCGGACTTATCCGGAGGGCGCTACTCATCGGAGGAATCCCCCTAAAGTGAATTGATGTATTTCCTCTACAAGGGGAATCACTCCTGATTTGTATGGTTAGCCGCATTAATCCGAAGTCAGCATGATAGCTGCTTAGTCGTTTTACACACAACGGTCAGCATGGGGCCGGAAGACAGTTGGCTTGGATCCCCATTGGCCAGGACCGAAGCCAATAGGACGATAGATTTCCGTTTGGTCGTTAGTTCGAAACATAAGCGGAACGGATCCATTGGGGGCAAGGGATGATAAATGATGAATAATGGGAGGTCAATGCCCTTAACGGCCGCTGTTAGGTCCCAAGATTGTGGAACAGATGGAGCCCCGCTGCACGCATCGAATGGACCCTCCAATAGAGGCAGTTCCCTTTTGAGGTCCAAGACCTGCCAATGGAGGTCCCTTCCTCCATTCAATGGAGGGCCCATTCAAAAAATGTGGATGACTCAAACTGGGGGCTGTCCTCGAAACAGGCACACCCCTGTAAGGGAATGCAATGGGTATGAGGCTCGGTCACAATTTTCATTCTATGGTTAAGTTTTGCTCATATGCCATGGGAGCCCAAAACCCGGGGCTTTAGGCTTCATGTTCTCCGCCCATCTTGGGAATATGCCCCAAAACGCTTCGTGCAAACTAAACAAGGAGCTTGGCCATCATAGCTGCAGTTTGACCCGGGCGCCCAAGTCAGTCCGTTTCATAAGTTGCCACTTCTGGGAATCCGCCACGAGGGTTGTGGATCTCTCGCCACGATGGTTGTGGATCTCTCTGTGGCTGTGGTGGTCAAAAATCATGGGATCCCATTTTGGTTGGGATTTCGGTGAATTCACCGCCCATTTTAGGCTTCCTATTTTAGTGGGGGATTGAATCGGATGTTCACTCGGGGTTTCCGGGGTTTTGACCCATGGCCATGTGACATAGTTGTATATCCAACGTCAAATTCCTGACGCTCGCTTTGGGTGGAACCGTAAAATGTGCAGCAGCAGGGAGAAGTCGCTGCAGCTCCCAGATCTGATTTTTGGAGCTCCGGTGCCACAGCCCGAACTGGTTTGGGTAAGGTCTTTTGGTTTAACAGTTTACATGGGTGTTCTTCTAGGTGAGTTTGGTTGAACATCGACGGATTCCTGTAATTTCAGTTGGTTCCTGGTTCATTTACTAGCGGACTCCCCAAAGGCAGGGTCACTTTGAGACCTCGAAAGGCACTGGGCCCTGAAGCCTTGCACCCAGAACGGCCCGCCGAATTGGAATATGTTACAATGGTTTCACCGGCGGTGCCTGAAACTGATGGAATCAGTTTCTCACGAGAAAATGGTGTTTGCAAGCTTGGGACCTCAAGAAGCTCGTTTCATCTCAAGGGTCCCCATTTCTTTTGGGTGACAAAAGCCCGGGAAGCATAAATCGCCTGGGATTTGCTGTTGTTCATTTGCCCCTCAACTTTGTCTTCGCCTTCGGTCCGCAGCCATTTTGATTCGGCTGCCCTCGTTTTCCGACGCCGACGCGCGCGTCCCAGTTTTGCGGCGATGGCGCCTTTCGCAGCAATGGGGGAGGGGCGTGGGGAGAAGGGAATCATGAGCACCGTTTGCCCTCTCGCGCGCGATGTTTCGGTTTTGGGGTGTAAGACAAGATCTACTTGCAGGTCCTTTACCTTCTTGTTTCCGAGGTATGGGGCGTGGCTTTTATACCTCGCCTCCACACCCCAAAAAAACATCCTTGAGAGTTTCCTTGAGTCATGATGTCCAGTTGGGGTTAATGAATGTGACGTGCTATGCCCCTTCGAACATGGTAAAGGCTGCTCTGCTTATTCTGTTTGGGTTGAGAGCATCCACAAGCCAGTTCCCCCGCCGTTCTAGCAAACTGTTGGGGTGAATCCGAGTCTTTCGGAAGTGCAATCTATGAAAGGATGTCAGATGTCATGCTCAAGTGTGTCCATGAAGGCAACATCTTCAAACTACTCCTCCATATACGTGGTGGTTCAGAGTGGACCACCCCTCAGTGAAGTCACTGTTGGGGCTCCGAGGTCATGCTTTGATTGGAGGCAGAGGCCACCATATCTTCCATTTGCTCGAGAATATGTGTTTGTTTTATGTTATATACTAGTTTATTGTTATGTTTTATCGTTGTTGTTATTGTTGTTATTGATGATGTTATCGTTGTTATTGTTATTGTTATTGATTGTGTTTTGAGAATTGTTATTGTTATCGTTATTGTTGCTACTGGGTGTTATCACTATGGTTTATTACTCTTATTACTATTATTATTTGTGTTAGTAATAGTAGAGCTAGTATTTGTATTGGTAGTGTAATTGTTGTATTGTTGCTATTATCATTGTTGTTAGTAGTTCTGTTATATATTACTATAAGTATCAGTGTTATTATTATCATTATTACAACTCGGTAAATAATACTGTTATTATTTTCACCATTGATTATCAAGACTTATTATTATTACTAAGACGATTACTATTAGTAGGATTATTATTATTTTTATTAGGATTTTTATTAGTAGTTTTATCTCCTTACACCATATCATGTCTTGTCCTTGTTTGTAATTTCTGACAACTGATAACAACGAATACGAACATCAGCATCTTATTTTATTGAATCTTTGCGTTGTAGCGTATGTTGGTTTTAAAGGGCATCTATCGCTACTATGTATGTTGCTTGCATTTTCCAGGGGACTTATATAAGCAACTGGAAGTAAACCTTACCTTTGCAGATCGAAATGTTCTCTTCCCTCGGGTGATGAAGCGGAACATCGAAGGGCTTCCCGCGAGATCCCAAGCTAATTTGTTGTTTTGGCTCGTTTTTTGAGGCTAGAGCCTATTTCACAGCTGGTGAGGTGCTGGTGGATTCGCTGATCATCTCCTCCAGTCTCATTGGGCTGGTGGCAGCCTTCTATCAGCAGCCCGGCCAAGGTTCAAGTTGTACTTGGGTTATCCCCAGACCTCAAGTGGTGGCCATGTGGAGGGACTAGCGCGTTGTCCCAATATTTGTATAGGGTTTCATCCATCCCAGCCGGTGCGAGATGGTTTTTGTCCATCCACAACAGGTGTCCTTTTTGAGGTTGGTAGACCTAGATGGGTCCCACTCAGGTCCAAGTCTAACAGGTCACCCAAGGCGGTGCCTTTTCCATGGTTTGTTTGGAAGGGTTTCGTTTTGGTCGGGTAACCCTTAGTTGGTGTTTTGGATTGGTGGCCCTGGCTGTTGTAAGGGGTAAATGGGAAATCATCTCCAAACCACCAATTGGAGGGAAGCTGACTTTAAGATCAGCACAACAAGTGTCCTTCTTCTCCCGCGAAAATCCATTGGGACCCGGCGATTTCGAAGCCTTTCCCCCAGATCCCAGGCAAAACCATCCACCTGGACCCTCCAACTATCCACAAAAGAGGACAAATCACCCCATGATTTTGGGGGCAGTACCCCACGTTTCAGTTGATTTGATTCGGGTTCCATTGGTTCACAAGGAATTGGAATCACTTGCTAAGTTGACGCTTCGAAGAGGCTGCTGATCTGCAGAACCCTTCCAAGAGTCGTCTTTTTCTCCAGAGGTCTCGGTTTAGCGCGCAGGCCTCCCTTCCGTTGGACCCCGTCTGGGGTGTATCCACTTTGCAGGGATAACCACCCGAAGCAGGCAGGACCCTTCATGGTCCGAATCTCCCTATGGACCCGAGGCACTTCTTGGGTTTTCCGAGATTAGGGTCAGCGCGCAGTTCAGGTCACCCCGCCGGGGCAGGTGGTCGGGCGTACAGCCGATTTGGGTGTGGCCCGTTTTTTGAGGCGAAGGGTGCCCCTTTCAGGTTGCTTCAAGCGAAACAAAAAGGAACCTAAAAACATTTTGGGGGTCACCCTATGTGCTCAAATGCACACATTTGCCCTTGTCATGAGTGCCCGTTCCGTCGTTGATTTGCCCCAAATCTACCCAAATTTCAGGAGGGTATATAAGCAAGGGAACGATGACCGCGGTGATTCCAGCTACCATTATAAACCATCATCTATAGGCAAGTCTGGTTGCCTACTATAATACAGTGCTTCTGAAAGCACTGGGATAGTTTTGTTGTGTGCGGTTGGTTTGCGTGCAATGTTTCTTCACGCTTGCCATGTCATGTGTATGCGTATTTTCGTGTTTTGGCTCTCTTCATTTTTAGCGGATGGCCACACACATACAAAGCTGGTTGCTGCCATCAAGGGTGGGAAAGGTTCAGACCATTTTCTCCATGAGTCCCATCCAGCGTCGCCGAGGTTCACCGTCATCCAGAAGATCTCGCTGACCCCGGCTGGGGGGCTTCCCAGATCAATTTCGGACTCGGGAGGTGAGCCCAAGTCCAATTTTTTCTCCAGGGAGTCGAGCCTAAGTCCATGGTACTCTATTGATAGTTCCATTGCCCCAATTTTTTTGGTTCCATTGTCCCTTTGGCGGGAAGACCAGACAACTGGAATTGGTGGAGGTTCCGCCTCTCCCTGCCTTTTGAGCTCACGTTAATTTGCAGGGTAATGGTTCGGGGAATCTCACGCCAGACCTCATTTAAAACTCCGCGCTTTTGTCATATTGCTTTCGGGTGGGTTTGAATGGATCTTAGCGTGGGATAGGAACAAGCTCCATGAAAGCCCCATGTGGGGGTTTGAGGGAACCTATTATTTGGTGGTCTCTACGGGGACACCAAAAGGAAATCCCAGCCAATGTGGGGGTCCGAATTCATAACAAAGGACGAGCCACCCATGTTTTCTGGTTTGCTCCAGATCAGCCAGTCGATGGATCAGTTTCCATCATCCATTCAAATGTGTATTTTTTGGCAAGGTCCGTGTGTTTTGTGGTTTTGATGGAAAACCAAAAGAAAACACCAGGTAAAACTACTCGACATTGCCAAAATTACGGTAGTGCCTCTTGAGACTTTCGCCCACCAGTTGCAGGGTAATTGTCTCAAGATTGAGGTTAGGCCAAGATATTTTAAGGGTTGACAGTATTCAGTTAACCCCTTGGTGGCTTTGGATTGGTTTGGATTTGGATTTGAACCCCTGGTTCTCGTCCCAAGCTGCCGGGCTCCAAGCCACCATTCGAGGGAAGCTGAAGTTGGAATTGGCGGCATCTGAGAATTGCCCTACCAATTCACATGGAACCTCAAAGGGGGGTGTCTAAGGCAATTTTCTTTGTAAGGAACCAGGTTCTATGCGAAAAGGGCGGGAGGGTAACCGACTTTTGGTGCGAGCGCTGCAACGAGCCTCGGAGAGGTTGGAGCAGAAGTTGAAGGATGATGCGCCGGAGAAGTTGGTGCCCGAGATCTACGAGAGACCTGGCAAAGCAGCGCCAACAGAACACCGGGGTCCCGTAAGCGGGGTGGTTTTTGGAGTTGGTCCAAGGTTGGGAAACCAACAGGAGAAGAGCCTTCATTTTTTTCCCATTTTGACAGAAGTCACCATGCCCGCCATACGCCAGTCACCAAGCCAAAAGGTGCCTAGGGTCGTTTGGCTCTCCGGGCCTATCTCTCATTGTCCAGAGGTTGGTCTGGAATGGTGCAGCATGGACATCCTTCGGCGATCCCTATGCGACATGGTAGTTGTCTCCTGGCCACCTGGAAGGCTTTGTGCTGGTATAGCGGCACCGACGCGCACCAACTCAGCAGGTAAAATGGAGCCCTGAGCCCTGGGGTCCAGTTGGCGACTTATCATTCTTTTTTTGCCCAGGCGGTCATGCGGAGGTTTGGTGAATGCATCAACTCAGGTTTTTTTTGCGTTCAGAGCCGAGCATTTGCCGGTTCCTTTCTGAAATGGTCGCAGAATTCGGCTTGTTTTTAGGGGATGGGTCGCAACAGGGCAGGAACTGGTTGACTTTCTCACAAAACAAGGGATCGCAAACGAGCCAAAAACGGGCGGCATCTCCGCGCGTGACTGGTTGGTCGCCTTTTTGGCTGTCGCCTTCGTGGCGGTCGCGCAGTTTTGCCAAACCCCCCCACTTGGGGCCGAGTGACTCACGTGGCTTTGTGTAAATCCTGGGCGGACGGCCAGAGTTGCCATTGTTCGACGTTTTGTCGGCCTAGATGTTGTTTTGCAGACTGGTCTTACCACGCAGCTTTCGGTTGTTGCCAAGACCTCCCTTTTTGGGTGCCCAGCTTAGTGAAGCGTGGGCTCTACCCCACATTAAAACTGTTGCCTGCTTCCATGTTGGAGGTACCTTGCCAGGAAGATAAGCTCAAACTATAGACATTTGCTCGGATGGCGGTTGATCTGAAAATCTTGCCAGGAAGGTCCTGGACTACTGGACTAGGTCTTAGGGCCACATTCTGTGAGTGGCCATTCATCCAAGGTTGACTGAGAGCCATGGCCCAGGAGAGAGGGGACTATGTGGCTCTGAGTAGTCTTAAGAACATGGGCATGTTCACTCTTTGGTGTAGCAACAAGGTCAATGTTCGACACGGCAGCGCTTTAGCATGCTAGCTTTTGGCAGAACATGTCCGTAGTTTCACAACATTTGCTGGCAAGCAACTGCAACTTGTCGTAGGACTTCTTGGAACGATTGGTGTGGCAGGGCGGAAAGCCACCTATCCACCGCCCGGACCTTCCATGGTGATTCTTCCTTCCTTGCGGCTGGGTTTGGAAGTTCGCAACCCCAGGTCACCCATTTGTCCGCTCCCACTAAAGGCCTGTGCCAATCATGAGAAACACGAAGATGTTTGTGCAAGTCAGGGGAATGACTCATTCAACATGTCGCTCTCTTGGTCCTTGTTGCGTTTCCTGTGGGAACGACTCATTTTGCTGGCCTTTGGTCGCATGCCCTTTGCCCAGTTCCCATTTTAGGCAAGACAGTTGTTTTTCTGGATGCATCTGTTAATTTGCGAGGTAGTAAAACGTGCATCATGAGGAAGATCATGAACGGCGCGAAGCAGTTCCTCCGAGTGGAGTACATGATTTGCACCGCCTTCTGCATTGTCTTCTCTGCGCCTCGAACAACCAAACAAATGTTAACAAAGGGATGTGGGGAGTGGCTCAAACTGGGATACAGTAGATGATCATGGAACCCAAGCAACCATTGGTAGAGGAATCGCCTGTAGGGGAAAGGTGGGGCATGTTAATGTTAACCCCGGATTACTAAACCCCTGGTTGATTAATAGGGGGGTGTCCCCTTTTAGTGGGGATTCATCACTTTTGGAGGTAATAATGGGACGGGTTTATTAATCCTGGGTTCAACATTAATCTGCAGGCACCCGAGACAAGTCCTCAACCAGATGTCTTCTCTTGGGAAAAGGGAAGCCACGGGGCAGGCCATGTCCGATACGGGATCCAAAGTTCCAGGGAGCCAAGGAGCTGCTGTCCGAATTCGCCCCATTAAACATGGTTGTTGTTGGGAAACAATTTACATTTTTGCTTATTGTGGTTTAGTGGGAAATCCCCACTAAGCTGAAAAAAAGTGATTTGTTGCTCCCCTTCCAACCAAGTAAAGAGGGAGCTAATAGCCGAGCCTCAACGCCAAGACAAACCCAGCTAGGATCGAGGCCGGATGTTGCTTTAGCGGGTCCCCCCGTAAGATCATTCTCTCTAATCCGAGTCCCTAGGTTGCTGTCTGTGGCCGTTGCTTCAACCAGTTGCCATGATCAATGGTTGATTTCGTGGCGTTCTCTTCAAATCACATCAAAGCTGCCCAGCTTTGACACCTACCGGCTCAAACTCTGCATGGTTGGTCGCAAGTCTAGTAAAAAATCCTGAGAAATCAAATTTATGATTCCTATTAATGGAACCATGGCCCTATCGGTCACATAAAGAGTTTGACATAGTTTGACCGTGGCACATGTACAGTCATTCATTCTTAGACAGAATGTCTCTAAATGATGGAATCATTAAAGTGCGAGTCTTCTTTCTTTAATTTTCTCAAAAAGGACACAGGTGAAGCCCAAGTTATGAATCAGGGGTCCGTGTTGGGTCCTTTTTAAGCGTGGATTCCATTCGGGACCCTGATGCGTTTTGAGGGGCTGGGTCGTACCGTGATGGGTTGCGAATCATCAGCTTTTAAGTGGTTGTTGTAAAGCGGACTCGTCCAAAATCAAGTTTTCAGACCTGAGAACTTGTAGTTGTAGTTGTCGTTCAGTGGTGGCTGGAACCAAAAACCTAGGCTGTTGGAACCCTTGGATTCGAACTATGAGGAAAAGGAACTCCAAAGGTTTTTGGAATTGTAGGGGGGCTGTTTCTTGCAAAGGAGGCTGCGAAACAGCCCATAATGCGTTCTGGGTTGTTAAAAGGAAAACAAATGTGCAAAGGACATCCCAGGGAACAGCCAACGGGCAAGCCATGTCCCATTTTCAGGTGGCGATCCTGCTCACTCACCAAGGTTTTCAGGGGTTACCCGAGCTGGTGGTTCAAGAGAAATGGAAATAACCGTACTTCAACATGGACGGGGTTCTTCCGTTAATCTGCGGCGTGTCATGCCTATTTGTACGGGAGCACCACAAATCTAGATTTCGGGGATATTGTTGCTTAATACGGTCCAACAGGATGCTTTCGTAGGTCGCCGTAACAGGAGTCACCCAAAAGGGTTCCATTTTTTTGTTTTGCCTTTCGAGTCACTCGTGAGGGTGTATTTTTTTAGGGGACCCCAAAACTGGTGGCTTTCCTTGTGGTTTCCCTTCAAACCACCCAACAAAGGGTTCCTTTCGTCTCAGCAAAACACGAACTTTGACTGCAACAAACTGTGTTGTTTTTTTCAGAGGGAAACGCGCCTTGAGGTGCTCCCCTTGACTGAAAGAGTTGGCGTGGAATCCATGGCTGCGTAAAAAACATCCATTCGCATGGGAACTAACTCTTCCCAACCATTAACCCCGGAAGCAGAAACCCTCGAGGGGAGGGGTGGGGCGTTTTGTGTTGGGACTCACTGTTGGAGCGGCCCCCGTATAGGACGGATGTCTTAATCCGGGGTCAACATTACCAGTAAGCTTTAAAGAAGAAGGTTGGCGCTTCGAGTTGGATCTCTGCTATATCTCGCCAAATGTTGGACATTTGGCAAGGGATGCGCGAACCACTAAGTCTTACAACAACAAGGTTGTGCCCCTTTTCAATTTCCTCCTTCATGGAAGTTTATGGCTGCGTCAACAAGTCCCAACCTAGAAAGCATGGGGTCAACACAACAACCCAGAACACGCCAAAAGAACTGCACCCTTTCAGCAAAACACCTAAAGACAGGGGCAGAGGGGGTTTTAACAACGAAGACGCATGGGTTGCAAACAAAAGACACCGATATGCCGGAGGGAGGAGTACCAAGCACTGAGGTGGTGATCTACTTGCTGGTCGCCTGGGGAACCAAGAGCGGCACCCAGGCACATCGCAGCGAAGCCTCGGTATCCATTTGGCTGCGAGTCAAAACCAAATCCCAAGTTGGTTGGTAGGTGCACCACCCATTTTAGTCTCTTTTAGCGGGGATTGGGATGTTCACTGGGGGTACGGGATTTTGACCCATGGCGATTTCGCAGCGTAGCTGGTTTCTTTGCCTAGGTTCTCCTCCTTTTCCAATTCCCGGTGCGGGGGCCCGGGGGGGTTGCTAGGATTCCAGTTCTTTTTTTTGCTTTGGCAGTTTTGGCGGGTGGCCTTTTGATCGGTTAGTTCGGTTAGAAATAGATGGGTTCCACTGGTTTAGCTGGGGTTTATGCCCCATTTACCAGCATCGGGATTTTTCTATAATAAAAGGTTTCCCAGTGCTTCCAGGCAAGCCACCATAGTTGGTAGCCGGGAAGCATCGTGTAACTAACCTGCAAAAGCGGGAATTGGAAGCATTGGGTTCGATTTGTTTTGGGACCCCCCCCTTCGAAGCTGGGGTGTCCAATGGCTCTTCCATTGGAAGCCCTGTTGGTTGTTAAGGGAATCTAACAGTCACCACAGGGAATATTTTTCCCAGGGGACTTAAGCAAATAGATAGACACCGTTGCCATAGGACAGAAGCACATTTTTTAGAAGCACCCATTAAAACCGACAACAAGGGGCTCGTCAATGATGTAGTCCAATCACTTCTAAACACCCAGACGTGAAAATTTGCTTGGGCAAAAGTATTGGGGACCCGACAACCAGCCTTTTCTGGGTTCATTTGGCTTCATGCATTAGGCCTTTGACCATGGCGTCTCCAAACCCAGACTCTGCTATTTTTTCAAGGGGAGACTAGATATGAAACAGAATCCAGAAATCCCAACTTGTCGCAACGCACTATGTTTCGGCCACTTCAAAGAGTTGCGCTGACCCACGTTGTGGGCAGTGTTGAACAGACCGCCCAACTTTCCGACCAGCCGATCCGACACCCCGCAAACCAATCCCAGCCCTCGAAATCACCAATCCAAATACGCGCGACTATTTTGACCCCACGAACAAATTCAATGCGCGGATTGAACGCGCCCCCCGACGCGTTGCAAGGTCTTTGGCATGGATGACATACAATTTGTTTTTGCAATGCTGGCACTGAACCAAGCACACCATCCAACCGGTTTCGCAGGTGCATTCCCAAAGGCCTTGATTCCCGAGCCGAGTTTCTTGAACCTCCGAACCCCAGAATTATCCCGTCCCTCCTTGCCGTGAAAATTGCAATGAGGAAAATCGGGAACGGAACCCAGTGACCTGGTAGAATTTCTGTATGTTTTGAGCATAGTGGGGAATGAGTTGGGGAATGAACCGTGGATCCAATTGAAGGAAACCAACATTTGGGTGGTACCTCTTTGTTGTGGTCTTAAAGGGAAACCAAATAAATGGAAAACCACACATATTGGGACACCGATTTCATGGCTCAGTGTGGGGTCATGCTCATTCCCTACTGACAACCAGTTGGGCCTTAAGTGGCAATTTTATGTGTCAAAATCGGAGCCCCTAAGAACCTTCCTTGTAGTTTTCCCTTCAACCCAACCTGAAACGGTACCCTTACAAGAAGACACTATTGGTTTCCTCTAGGTTTCCTTCCGTTTTTCTCAAAACTAAACCACCCCTAACTCTATTAACACACTCAAAGCACGCAAGTTTGAGGAGACCATCCCTTGGTATTCCCAGCCCCTTTTTCCAGGGCACCACCTCCCCCCGGCAAACGGCCAGGGCCTTCTGACCGCCTCGGCCTTCTTGACCGGCGCCTTCACCTCCATGCTCTGCGGCTTCCTGGGTGCCCCGGCGGTTCCAGCCACACCAAATGAGCCACAATCAAAACCTGGCCAGATGAAGGTTAGCAAGGGATGCTCCCAGCCATAAACAGCTGCGGATATCCGCCTTCTTAATTCTTTACATGTTTCTGGGTGGACCATTTTGATACCGGGTTTTGATTATGACTCAAATGGGCACCAAATGGGCATGGGCCAGTGTGGGGCAACAAAAACAAATTCACCCAGGAGAAGTGGGTGCGAATTGAAAAATCCTCCAGGGTATGGACTGCAGTTTTTTTTCTCGTGTAAATATGTTCGATTTACCAGGGGCAACTCATTTTGGGCACCTATTTTGAGCCACACCAAATCCCATCCAAATCCCCCTACCATTTTTTGGAGGGAGGGTATGATATGGCAAACCCTGGTTGTGTCAAGATGATTCGGACGCCGGTTTCCAGGACACTGAATTTGCGGGTAGCGATTTCGATTTCCCAAGACCAAAAAGCGTTTTAGGAATGCAACCTGAAAACGGGGTATACTTTTCGCTTGAAATCCCAGATTAGTATCATAGGTTGTGTCAAGATTAGGCAACTTCCAACAAAAATGATGGGTTTCTCGCTGGTTGCTTGCACCAAAAGGAAACAACAAAGGCAAAGCCAATGATGACAATAGGAGACCAGCCCTTGTTTCCTCCAAATAATGGACAACCGCACAGGGGAGTTGGAATCCTACGAGAAGTCGAATCCCAATGACCCCCTGGCAAACTACTACCTGGACCCTGATCCACACCAAGGCTCACCTAATTCCTCCATAAACTCACCCAGCCCACACCCACGCCCTATACCTGGAGTCTCCTCACTATTTTGCGTTTTAGGGCATACCAACTATGAAGCAGTCCGAAAGCCTTATTTTTGGGCCAAGAAACTCAGCAACCAACCCTGCAAACAACCCGCAAAGGACCCTGAGCCATCCCTCAACCAACTAAGCCGCCTTTCCTGTCAAACACCTACCCTTTTCACCCCACGAAACCTACCCTAATCCAACTAAACCTGCCCAAACCCAGCCTACTTGGATGTTCAACCAATGCCAGGTGCTTGCTAATAACCATGATAAGGGCAATCATTCCTGTTACCCAAGTTTTGATGGTTATAATCTGCTCACCTGACGTTGGTACATGGGTGTTGATGGAGATTCCTGTGCCCCAAATGACCATGGGTAACTGTTCCCATGTAGTGGGACATATCATCTCCCATGGTCCCATGTATCAAGGAGCTTTTGATCAACCCCCACATCCAAAGCAAGGCATGATGATCGCCACCTACTCCAACGCCCGAACCACCTTGGCCTGCGCCAACAGCGGCTTCACCCTGGGCTTCAACACCGCCTTCCGCGGGGGCGCCGCCACTGGGCCTATTTGCTCGAGCGACCGGGACCGGGGGAAAACCCCGGGCTGCGTGGCTCTCCTTAGTGGCCTTCTCCGAGAATAGCTGGCTCTGGAAAATGGGGCACACCAATTTAAAGCAGGAACCTATCTATTTCCATCCATCCAAACCAACTCAAAATGAACTACTGTGTATGGTTGCGAAATCCTCTTAGGCACCACCGTTCAGAAACTATAGAATGAGTCGATTCCTCAACATAAACACCAAGAAACAATGGTTTCCTAATTACTAATTACGGTTTAAAATTGGTGTAGGATTTCGTCACTGTATGTCAAGGTCCCAAAAGGTTTCCCTTGTATTTCCAGGTCTTTCCAGGTCCTTTGGGCAGTGGCGGTTTTTTGGGAGGTGCTCATTTCACCCTTTGCCCCACAAGACCAACTTGTGTCAGGGTATCATGTCAAACCCTGAATAAATAAAATGCTTCTGTTATAGCAAACCAGGATTCAACAATATACACTGACAAGCAGTTGATATTTGGAGAAAGTGGTTGGCTGAAAGGGAAATTAACAGGAAAACCACCAATTTCGGAGGCCCCTTCTATTTTGACACATGCCCAGGGACCCAAACACACCCGCCACCCCAAGGGGTACGAGCGGCTGAACAAATTGCATTGTGGTGATTGGCTTGCTGACCCCATTCGTAAGGTCCATGCATGGTTTTTACATATTTGTCCCTTGAGATGTGGGTTAGTAAGTTTGTAACCCCATATACAAGGCTTGAGCGTTTGGCCTAGGCTTTAGAAAAAGAGCCCCGACCGGATCTTTGGGGCCGGTCTCCCACAAACCAGTTTTTGGACCTCCGGTTGGTCTTATGGCTTGCTCCAGCAGGGCTCGGGCCGACCAAGAAGGATGAACATTCGGATCTGCAAACACGGGTCCAAGTTGTGGTGACTGGCAACGTCGCTTGACGGGTCCAAGGTTGGAGGGACAAAACCAGCGATGGTCTTCAAACAAGTTTGTTCTTGGGCGGTGAAAGGAGCTCGGGTCGAAAGCACGAACCTAGCTGGCGGGAGATGTCGGGAGATGTCGGGAGCCAAGGAGCTGGGGGTTGCCAAATTGGCCTAGGGGGCTATGGATCTACCAGGAGTTCTGGCTAGGGACATGGTAGAACCGCCCGAAAAGCGAGAGAAAAACAATGGGTATGTTAAAAGAAGGGGGGCAAAAAAAGATAGTTGCTCCTTTTGTTTTCCAAAAAAAATCCCCAAAAAAGGGTTACCTTCAAAGAAGTACCAAGGGTCTTTCTTTCGACTCCAGCTGTCGAAATCAAACTTACATCGAATTTTCCGGGGCCCCGGGGAGAAAACACAAGAAACAACTCCGCCGAGTTCTTCGGTACTGTGGGTCTTTGAACTTGGCTCAAAATGATGCGGTGACTTCCCATTAATAGGGTCATTTGCGGGTCCATTGCTAATAGGGCAATTTGAGGGTCCAGGTATTGGTTTTTCTCCATGAGGTCATGGGCTATGCCCTGTGCTCGCTGGGTGTGCTGGTGCTGTGGATCCTCCTTACCGTCTTCCGCAAGGCGTCCGGACCCGCGGCTCTCGTGGAGTTGGTGCTCTTTCGGAGTTGTGGCACCTGGACCCGCAACAAAGAAACACCAATCGCCCTGGCTAAAGGGGTTCATCATCCCCCATGGTTCGGGGGCAACATCTAATTTTGTGTGGGTGGTTTTGAGGGTACCTGTTTATTGCCCTAGCTGGTGGTTGGAGGGGTTCCAGGAACAGCTTTTCTTTTGGGCGTGTCTAAGTCTGTCCGAGTTCTTCTAGCTGGGTTTGAAGGGAAACCAAAAGGAAACCCACCATTTTGGCCAAGGGCGGAGGGCTGGGTTGATTCAATCACAAATGGTTGAAACAATTGTGGGAACAGCTCTCAATTTCTGAGCTTCGATTCGGACTTTATCGTGTTTTGCGAAAGTAATTTTAGTGGTAAACAACAAGTTCCTGGACTTTTTCCGGCCAATCCACTCGATCGGAAGTGAGACTCTAGATGCGTGTCCTTTGTCGGATCGTGTTGCAGATTTAACATTAACAGGGCATTGTTGGTTGGATAGCTTAACCTGCGTTTGAGACAATGTGAGGGACGCATACTTTTATTATAAATATACAAATATATAGCTTTAGTGCAGCTTTGTTTGGATCGTGCCAAACTGCAACCGGGTGGTGTTGCTAGACTGTTTCAGTTTTTGTTGAAACCTGTCCTCGTTCAGCAGGTGTTGACGCGTTGAAGGGACCTCATAGATGAAATCACCATTTTGAATCTTTCGTGGTTCAGTCAATAGTTTGTTAAGTTGAAAGGGGAAACTGGATTGCTTCGAGCCTTTCATTCTATAAAGTTGGGGTTATGGAACATCGGATTGGCCAACCCTCCATTTTGAGCAGCCCAGCTTGTTTATTTTGGTTAAGCAGTGTTTTTCTTGTTTGTCTTTTCACGCATGATTATCTTGGTATCCTCTTGTTTGCCTTGCTTTGGACCCACATTGTTTGCCGTATCTTGCCCCTGCAGGGGAACTTGGGGACTACTAGCCCTAGTTGCGCAAGTAATATCCATGGTACTTAATAACCTACTTACTAAGTTTGCTTGCTGAATGTTCAAGCGGTAAAATGGGAATGATGGGCAGAGCATTCAACAATCTAAGCATCACCGAGGTCCCCCGTTTTTGGTTTCCTTCGGGTGTTGCATAGTCCGTTGGAATCCGGAACCCAGGCCTGTCAAATCCTTCAGAAACATAGGGCCCCCTATGAGCCAAGCGTATCAATCAACATGAAGGCTGATGGGATATTGGATGGGCAAACCCTCACTTGCCCAATATCAACCTTTCGACCTGTTGGTTTTCCAAGTTTGGCCCATTATAGTCAAGGTCAAGCGATTGACCTGTTTCAGCTTTCATTGCTGTCCAATGGTTGTGCTCCTTTGTGGGATGCATTTGGTGCTTTTAAACCTCTGCAGCTTGCAGGTCCACCACAATTGTAAGCAAGTTCAGCTCTTATGGTTTCCCCGGCGTTTTTTTTCGCCGACCTTTTGTCGCCACCTTCCCCCTTTGCAGGGTTCCTCCCCTCCTTTAGTTCCCCTCCCTCAGTTTCACTTAAGAAGAAGGAAGGACATGCTATGATCCTTTGCAGGGGGGGGAGGGTTGGGCCTACCAAAGGCTCACAAGTTTTTGCTAACCTACACAGCGCTTGTGAATGGACCATGTCCCTCCTTTGCAGGTCTACTGCCAAAATCGACTCAACAAAACACAACGATCACACATGCCTAGCACAAGACACAAAAGGAGTTCCCCACAAGAAGGGCTGCCCGGTTTGATGCGTTTTGACCATGGTGATCTGTTTCGTCAGGTCTACCCGCACGTGGAGGACTGGGAGATCTTGTTCGACTGCGCGGCTGGGTACGGCCTTGGGGGCTCCACCGTGGCGATGTTCGGGCGTGTGGGCGGGGGCATCTACACCAAGGCAAGGATCGGCAAACAAAAAATCTCCGCGGGGCCGGGGGCTGGAGGAAAAAAACATTTCGGGGGCTTCCAAGCTTGGGATCTTCCCCCAGAATGAGCTCCCCTGTTTTGGTTTTTGTGCTTTTTTGGGGTCCCTTGGTTTTCCACGAACCAGGCTAGGGATGTCAACCAACTTGGGAAGTTGGTTGTCACCATGGTCATAAGTTGACATAGGGCAGATAGGGTTAGTCCCCTTGCAACCACGGTTCTAAGCTACTTGCTAAGACTTAGTTGATCATCCAAGAAGGAATGCCGGATGAAGCCGTAGGGGAACCCTGTTTTGTTCCTTGTTTGAGGGAGGCGGGAGGGTTCATTTCACCTCCAATATATTGTTTGAGCAAATGAGCAACTCCCGATTTTCCATGTGTTTTTGGGACTAAGAGGGGTCCGCCAAGAGGCTCCGCTGGTGATTTGGTTTCATGTTCAGTGCAAATCTATCGGGGGTCCATTCGCCGCATTTTGAGTCCAATCGCGTGCTTCCGGAGGCCCCTAAACAATCTGCCTGGATTCGCAGGCATACCTCCTATTGAGCCATGGAGTCCCGTTGAGGGCTGGAATCCTCCGTCTTGCCTTCTCCCCCTTTTCCAACGAATTCCCCTCCCCCCCAAAAAGAAAACAGAACAAAACAAGCAGGAATCCACAATTGAGGGGGCCACCAGGAGCCCTGACTTGAGTTCCTGGCCGTTTTACAATTCTGTTAGCAGTTGCATTTTGTCAAACGGATACAAGTTTGGCAAGCTTGGGGACGTTCGGCCACTCATGTTCTTTTTTTGTCCAAAGTTATGTTTGTTGCAAGCCGTGTTTGTGGTTGCTGTTGTTGTCGGTTTGTCAGTATACCCGAGGTCCTCCTTGCGAGTCCAAGTCGGACTACAATCATCGTGATCCGGACAATTTTGTATGCATAAGTTTGATACAGCTTCTGTTTGGTGCCAAACGGCAAGAAATTCCTTTCAAGGGAACTCCCTTGAAAAGTGGTTGGTGGACATGACACCCATCTTCCCCTTGAAACATCAACCCATGTGATGCGAAAGCCAGTGAACTGTGGACACCTAGTTGGAGCCCCACACTCAAGTGTCCCTTCGGTCTTTGTGTCGAACCCTCAGGGCATCAAAGACCAGAACACTAACATCCAAAAAGAAAGAAACAGGCGGCGGATGTGGGCGCTGACCTGGTGGGCAAGGCGCGGTTGCGTCTCCTGTCCAGGGCCGGTTTTGGGGGGGCGGAGGCACTTGGGCCGCTACCCTCCCACCAGCTAACATGGAAGTGCACAGACCCCTGTAGAAAGACTACTTTCCTCTTGCAAAGGGCCTTTTCGCACTTCCACGTTAGTTGGTGGGAGGGTAAATGATTCTTTTGCTTTATATAACTTTGCTGGTGCGATATGCAAAGAATGATCCCACTGGTGGTTTCTTTGAAGGGGACCCCTGGGTTCATTCCCTCATTGCCTACTGAGCACCGGCTAGTCAAGGTTGACTATGAAACCGCGTAGAAACGATGATTTTCTGTGTACCCCAGATGGTGAATCCGAACTTGGAACATTCCAGGCTAAAAGAGAAACCTCATGCTTCAGGCCTGCCTTCTTTGGTCGTTCCTAAAAAAAATGTTTGGGTTTTATGGTAGAAACTTGTTTTGACTTCCTTTGGTTTCCTTTGGTTCCCCTCATGACTTTGCTTTTGACTTCAAGCCTTGCAACAGTTTCCAGTTTCAAAAAAAATTGAACACCGGCTCGGGTTGAACATTTGGTGAACGTGCCGATTCGACCGATCGAATCGGTTGAATGGGAGCAGCTTTTTGGAAAGGTCTGGTATTTGATACGGCCGCTCTAAGCAAGCAAGGCTTCCTGGAATAGAATTGGCCATTGTACACCGAAAGCCTTTTCCGAAGGGAAACCACGATGTTATAGGCCGGTCACTTGGACACCCTGTTTGCAATTCCTTGCCGGAATTTGCGCTGGGCGTTTGTGGTATGCGCTGGGTACCTATAGTTTATAATATATACGACTGATCACGTGCCCCAATTTGTGCGGACGCTGACGCTGGATCCGGAGCGGTTTTTTTTTGGATCTGGGCTAGGGCTTCGAACTGGCAAGCTGAAGCTCGCAGGCCCGCGGGGCACTTCGTTTCTCCTTGCCAGACAGGCGAGGTTCTCTTTTTATGTGGATGGTTGCGAAATCCTCTTTAGGCACCAGTCAGCTTCCCTGGTTCATGATTTTCGATTCCCCTGTAGATAACAAGGATTTCCCATACGGCTGTTTGATTCTTTTTGGGGTGTCAAGCCATGTTAGATCCGAACCCTTTTTGCAGGGTTGGATCTGTCTGGTCAACTTTATAGGGGGGGGAAGTAGAGTTCTGATTCGGATTCTTACCAGATTTTCCGCTGTCTCTCATTCAGGCGTTTCTTTCTTTCTTTCTTTCTTTCTTTCTTTCTTTCTTTCTTTCTTTATTCCTTCCTTCCTTCCTTCCTTCCTTCCTTCCTTCCTTCCTTCCTTCCTTCCTTCCTTCCTTCCTTCCTGCCTTCCTTCCTTCCTTCCTTCCTTCCTTCCTTCCTTCCTTCCTTCCTTCCTTCCTTCCTTCCTTCCTTCCTTTCTCTCTTTGTTTCCTGCTTGATGTATTTTCCTATGTATTTGTTTTTCCCCAAACCTTCCCAAACCTTGCCTAACCCATTCCCTTCCGCGACTCGCGCGTCTCTGCTTTGCAGGTGGTGGCTGGACTGGACGAGGATGATCCCAACAACCCGGCGACCATCGCGGACAACGCGGCTTGCTCAACCTTCTACCCGAGCGTTTGACCCCAGTTTCCAACACCTGAGCCACTTGCTCAAAACCAACTCCGGTAGATGAAAGTCAGCAAGGGCCAGTCCCAGCCAGAAATGGGTGCGGATAATTATCCGCCTGAAGAATGTCCTTGCATGGATTTGGTAGACCATTTTAATACCAGGTTTTGATTGACTCAGCTGAGGGCTTTGTCGATAGGCCCAGAGAGGCTCCGGCGGGCTGCTGCCACCCCAAGCATCAGAGTTCGGACCCTCCATTGAAGACCTCCACTGGTGTTGGTGTTGGACCTGAAAAGCAAGGAATTGCCTTTGGGAGAGTCCGTTCGATGCTTAAGTGTGCCAATGATTGTGCCCCATGGAACATCGCTGGGCTCTAGGTCTAAAATGAAAGCACTGCCTAGGTACTGAATTGCACAGTATTGATTTCCTCTAAAGGACATCTCAAAAGGATTCCTTGTCTGTGTGAACACCCCTAGTTGATTCTAGAGGGAAGCTTTGACTTGCTGGGGGAACGACACATGGTTCAAACCGGACCTTGGTTCCCTTGAGTGCAACCGCAAGGTGGTTTACAAACAGCATATGGAGGCGTGACTTGTTTGAGGCTCGGCACCCGTTCTGGGGGGTGATTCTGAAAGGAAACCAACCCTGAGTTTTTGGACTTTAGACGTTTTGGGAATATATTTTCCGTGATAATTTAAAAGCTCAGACTTTTTTGGGGGCCAATCCCCTCAGGGGGTGAGACTATCAAATGAACCAGCAGTTCATAGGCCAAAATCCCAGTTTCGATCTTATTGAGTGACCATTCAAACTGTGCTCAGCTTGTCCTTTGAAAACGACGTCGGCAGTGCTCCGTGGGCGGCGTCCTTCCAGGTTGTCCTTTTCCACTCCACCAGTAAATGTCCGTTCCGTTGTGATTGCTTGTGCTGCCCGAACCTCAACCCTAGGGGAGCTCAGGGGTTCTTCCTTCCTCAACGCACCCTGCTTTGGCAAGGGGAGGATAGGCTGGAGTCCTATAAGGATACATGTCGGCCGAGTAGACACCAACTTTTCGCCAGCTATTTCAAAGGGCTGTTGCATGTTGTGGGCGATTCATAGGTGCACCTGGAGTCTCCGTGATCCGAATCACACATGGGGTAGGTCGCAGTTGTTTTTGCAGTGTGGGACTCCTCGCCGCCGTGCAACTGTCTTCACTTTTGACACACCCGCTCATGCGTATCACGTCATATCTGCGCGCATGCTGGCCAAATGTTAAGCACACCTGCTCACGCGCATGGTGTCATAAGTGCACAAATGCTGGCACATGATAAGCACAGCCGCTCACGCGCATCGTGTCATAAGTGCACACATGTGGCAGATGACAAGCACAGCCGCTCACGCGCATCGTGTCATAAGTGCGCACATGCTGGCACATGATAAGCACATCCGCTCACGCGCATCGTGTCATAAGTGCACACCCGCTGGCACATGATAAGCAAACCCGCTCACGCGCATCGCGTTATAAGTGCACACATGCTGGCACATGATAAGCACACCCGCTCATCATGTCAGAAGTGCACACATGCTTGCACAGGATAAGCACACCCGCTCAAGCGCATCATGTTTTATCTGCGCGCATGCTGGCCAAATGTTAAGCACACCCGCTCACGCGCGGTGTCACAAGTGCACAAATGCTGGCACATGATAAGCACACCCGCTCATCGTTGCATGAGTGCACACATGCTGGCACATGATAAGCACACCCGCTCATCATGTCAGAAGTGCACACACGCTGGCACATGATAAGCACACCCGCTCAAGCGCATCATGTGATATCTGCGCGCATGCTGGCCAAATGTTAAGCACACCCGCTCACGCGCATGGTGTCATAAGTGCACAAATGCTGGCACATGATAAGCACTGACGCTCACGCGTATCGTGTCATAAGTGCACACATGTGGCAGATGACAAGCACAGCCGCTCACGCGCATCGTGTCATATCTGCGCGCAAACAGGTCCGAAAACTTTTCGACGTTTGAGGAGGGGATGCTAAACGTTTGTTTCGCCTAGGCGAAATACTTCTTTCTGGGAATCTGCCCTGCGAAAACCCATATAACATGCATTTTGCTGAATCATTGGCTGCGAGAGAGAACGTGGCAGGCGTGGGGGACGGGCGATGTCGGTCGATATTCTTGTGTTGTGGTTTCGCTTGCCTTCCACGGCGGCGAGGCGTTCCACCACCCTTGTTTTTTGGTCACTCCAGGTCTCGGTAGGTCGCAGATGAGGTCTGGGTCTTGTGGAAATCTGACCGAGGTGGGAGACAACGTGGGGGACATCGCGGGCATGGGCGCGGACCTCTTTGGCTCCTTCGCAGCGCCTGGATGGCATCCCCCCTACTCCAAATACCCGCCTTTTTAAGGTTATTTGTGAATACCTTTTTTTTGTAAAGGGTCGACGTCATACCAAACAAGTGGGCATGTGGAGTAGCGGGTCGGTGTCCTTTGTTGCTTTGGTAATAGATGGCTCAGGTTGACCGGGTTCAATCTACCAGAGCCATCGATTTTCCCTTGTTGGGACAAGGTGTAATTTGTGGGGACATAGATTTGCCCTTAGCATCGAACGGACCCACAAAAGGGGAAATCCTTTTCGGAGGTCCAAAACCAAAGCCAGCCCCCTTCAATGGAGGGTGATGCTTAGGGTGGTGGAACTTCACATTCGGTTGCAAATAGCTGTTGTATGGATGTTTGGCTTAGGTGCTACCATTGACTACCCAAACTTCAGCTTCCATTGGAAGACCCAAACCCCATTGGGCAGACAGCCGTGGCTGTTGGACAAAATGATTCGAATCGGAGAGTTTGGGCAAATAATCCATCACATTTGTTGGTTCTATCAAGTGCGTGTGTGCAAGTGCTAGAATTCGGAGACCCCCTCTAAAGACAATTCCTTTTGTGTTTCCCTTTAAGCCAACCCGAAAAGGCTCCCTCTAATAACACGAAATCATTTGTGGTCATGGTTGCTTCTTGGGCCGTTCCTAAAGGATAGCCTTGATCGATGGGGTCAGCCTAAGGTGAGTCAATTAGTCATTATTTGCTGCAATAGCTCCCCTTGACTGTGGTTAAAGGGTATGACAAACCCAAACGGGGAATTGTGCCATCTGCCTTTGCTCGAGACTTCAAAAGGATTTGTCTCTACCCCAAGTGTTTTTCCCTTTGTCCTCCCTTTCATAGCAAAACCGCAACGTTGGACACCGGGAAAACGGGATTTGGGGCTCCCAAGACCTGGCTGTAGGGGCCAACATAAATTCAATCGGAGCGTAAAAAAGAGACGCGCAACTTCCATTTGCTTCAGAATCTATATATATATATATATATTATACATATGCATGTTTATGTATTTTTGTTCCGCCCTGTTGGTTTTAAAGGGAATCTATCATGTCTATATTATACTGATATTTGTCCAGGGGACGTATCCGCAAATGGAAGCCCCGAACTTCGACCTATCCGCTGGGCTGAGGAGAGCACCTGCGCCGCGCTGGTGATTGCGGCCGCAGCAGTTGAAGGCAGCAAGGAGCGGAGTGCACCCTGCAGGGGTCTCCTCCAACAAGCCAAAGGGTCTCAATCCGGATAAGTGTTCAACTAAGAACGGAAAATTAGAGACTAAGAGCGGAAAATATAGATACTACTAGTAGTAGCACTAGTAGTAGTAGTAGTAGTAGTAGTAGAAGAACTACTACTACTACTACTACTACTACTACTACTACTACTACTACTACTACTACTACTACTACTACTACTACTATTACTACTTCTACTACTACTACTACTACTACTACTACTTCTACTACTACTACTACTACTACCTACTACTACTCCTCTGGATTGTTACCCTGATGGGGCCTCCTCACTTGTCCCCTCACCTAGGGTATTTGAGTCACAATCCGGGGTAAGTCCAGGAAAGGGACAGAAATAGGTGTGGACATCCACCCTTGCAATTCGTTGCATGATTTCGGGTACGCTATTTTAATACAAGGTTTTGATTGTGACTCATTTGGGCGTTCCTCAAAACTAAGGGCAAATTCCTCCAAAATGGTGCTTTTCCAATTTTCTGTTGGTTGGTTTTGAAAGGACCATTGTAATGAGGGACCGATTCCTCCATCAAAAGGGCTGCCTTGAAAACCAACCACCAAGCACAAGGCTTCCAACTTACGATTCATACGTGGGTGTCCCATATATAATTAGACTGGCAGTCCACAAGGCGGCAGCGCGGGACAAAAGCACAAGTGGGTGTCCCATCCAAGCAGGAATCTCTCCCATGGCGTCAGTACGCAAAAGAAAGGGGTCATGGCCCCATTTTGGACCCTCAGGCCTTTTGTTTGTTGCTTCAAAATGGTTCTATTTGTGGACCATGCGAGCGGCGAAAGGAGTGATAGGATACCCCCTATTCCAAATGCCCGTTTGTTGTTGTTCAGGGTGGTAGTTCTGGAAAACTCGCTTTTCCACTTCTTATTTAGTCAAGGATTGACAGTATATCCTGAAAACACGGGACACTTACTGCACATGAAGCTCTGGTATGTCGCGCTGGTGGATTCACCCAAAGCATGATTGGACCCGCCACTGATTGGGTTAAGACCTCCATTGCAAGGTTTTGGACTTCAACAAGGGGCCTTTTTGAGGGCCCAAGATGCTTAGGGCAGTTGCCAAACCCTACTGGTAAACACAAAAGGGGTCCTCGTTGACATGGTTTCACAAAGCATACCCAGGCCCAAAGCGCTCAGTTCCCCAGTGACCCAGTACATTGCATGAATCTAGCAACACCATCTCCAGGAAATTCTCCATGGACAAATTCAACGCAAAAAAACTTGTGCGAAAACTTCTTGCCCTACGTTTTGCGGGCCGCAGATGCTTAGAGAAGATCATTTCCTGGTTTGACGGTTTCTTCAAATAGAAGCTCCCAAGCTTATTGGCCTTTGAGCTTCCAGAGGCGACAGTTCGTCTCAGTAAGAAGCGAACCCACCGGATCTGACCTTTTCTGGGTTTTGTTGTCTTACTTTGGATTCCAATTTTTGGTCTTTCCAAGAGTTCAACCTTAAAATGTCCAAGTCCGAACTGGACAATGTGGGTAGTAAGAGCGCGCGCCCCATGTCCTTAGTAATTGTGGTACCCCTGTGCAGATTAAGCGTACTAATCAGGGTGTTCCCCTTTTATAGTGCGGAAATGGTGTACTTTTGGGAGTTCCTCTGACTAGTAGGAAGTAGTTCTCCGGATTAGCCGGAAGTTAACATTACCCTCCTACCAATTACCATGGAACCTGACGTTCGGCGGGTTTTGGTTTGGACGATATTCCTTTTAAAGGGACCGGTTCCCGAACATGCTCCCACTGCAGGCCCCCGAACCCAATGAAGAACCCTGCCTGACCCTTGGGGGGCACTGGAAAACAACCCATTTTGAGGGCCCAACAAATCATCGGGAGCCTTAGGGTGCGAGGCTATTGATGTTGGAGAGGACACCCTCTTCGAAGCGGGCTGGAACGCCATGCTCTTCCCCGTGTCCATCTCCGCCGCAGGCTGGGGGGTTAGTTGTATCTGAGTTGCTAGGGGGGGATGGGTATATGTTGTTTGAGGGTACCATGTTTAAGGCTTAAACTTCCAACGCCAGGCAAGTAGGTTATGACGATGAACCCAGTTTGCCAAGTCATTTCACCTTACCTGACCTTGGTACATCCAAGTGGCGCAAGTAGAACAGGTCGCACCCTGAGAAGGCGTGGGTGAAATGGGAGCTGCACGCTCAATGCGGAAGAAATGCGACCCTTGCCATGCGAGCCCGTGCCAAAACCTCTCTGAAGCCAAGACCCCCAGAGGAGTTCTGGCATTATGTTTGTTTGGGCTCAAAATCTGGTTCCAAAATCTGGGCTCAAAATCTGGTTCCAAAATCTGGCATTATGTTTGTTTGAAATTTGGTGGAAGGCAAGAACTCCCACTTTTGGGGGAACGGGAGCCGATGACCGACGGGACACGTTACAAACATCCACGAACCAACTGACATAAGATTGATATTCAAGCGTTGCACAGTCCTCAAAAGTGTGGGCATAGGCCCCTGTTCCAAAGGAAAGTCCTAATTCAAACGTTGTCGGACGTGCAAAAGATCATTTCTGCCATCGTCCAAAACCGCTTTACTACTGTAGGCAACACTGTGGGGGTTGGTAGGCCTGGTCATGGACCCCTTAGTACAAATTGTGTACAACCAATGTAGAGCGCGCAGGCGTCGTGATTTGCATCCTGTGCGGGATCTATGCCACGAACATCAGGCCAGTCAAGGCGGGGTTCGCAAAAGCCTTGAGGTCATGGCACCCGGGGGGTGGGGGGAGTCTAGGCCTATGAGGGGGTACCTCTACCATGTTGTTTCAAGGTGATTTCTTTTGGGGGGAGGTGAAAAAGGTACTGCCCGGGTCATTTTGATGTGCCGAAATGAAGTTCCACGCATCTTGGGCCCCGGGCCTTCGTTGAGGTTCGAAGAAATCCTGGAGATCCATTCCTGCCCGCTCGGAACTCTGCGGGTGGGCAAGAAATCCCGGGCTTTCCGGAAGGCCTCGCCCTTGAACTCTCGGGGCCTTGCGCCAAGGCGTGAAATTTCTGGATGGTGGCCGGGAAAGGAAACCCTGTTGGGGTTTCCAAAGGATCAAAGGAAACCCTAGAAGTTGAAAGGCCGGCCTCGAAAGCAACCTCGTTGTTTGGGTGTCGCTCCCTTTACTCCCAATCAGCTTGGTGGTTTGGAGTGCGGGTTGTTTCCTATTTGCCCTCTGCAAGAAGCAGGACAACCGTCAATCCAAACCACTTCAGGGTTACCTGAATCAAACTGACCTGCCAAGTTCGTCCTGAGGCTTCTTTCAGATAAGGCACCCCTCCCACCAAGAGATCCTATGTGAGTCTGTAATGTCTAGTGCTCAGAAGCCCTGATTCGCATAGAAAACCAGCAGCGATCGGCATGCCTTTCGGTTGATGAGCCCCATCCCCCCCAAAAACAAACAGGACCCGTTGTTTGTTGGTTGATGCTTTTTCCGGGACCATCATTTCTAGTGGGCGGGTCCAATAACAACATTGGTGGCTCGTCTTTGTTTGAGGGTATGTACATGTTTTGTGTTTAAAAGGGTACCGAACGGAGAAGCCACCATTTGTGGAGGTCGAAGCCTAAACACAGACAATACAAATAAAAACAACAATATCAACTTGCGAGGAATCTCCTTTTCCAGTGGCCCTCCCCCCAAGAAAAACCACACCAAGAACAACACAATATTGTTTTATTATTATTATTATTATTATTATTATTATTATTATTATTATTATTATTATTATTATTTTAGTCGGTAGAGGTAGAGGTCTTAGGTGCGCAACTTGACAAGTTAAGACATGGAGCGACCCGTTGGGTGTCTTCGATCCGATCAGGAGGAGAAGGACATCGAGTGGGTGCTGAAGCTCCAACTTGTGCTCACCGCCATCATCATGCTGCCGGCCATTTGGACCCGACCCGACCGCCGCCGAGTTTGGTTTGGGTGGTTGGAGATTGAGGAGCCACCGCAAGCGTCAACGGGAGGGTGTTTCTATTTCTTAGGTAACCAGGGGGCACAATCAATACCAGTAGCAGTAGTAGGAATAAATAGTTTTAGAAGTACCTTCCAGTGTACATGCAGAGCCAAAGATTCATGGGGGCAGTATACCAAGGGTTCATGCCAGGGTCTGATACCACACAGGGGTGAGGGGTGTCTGGCAAAAATACCCTATTCTCAATAGGGGTGTTTGGCATAACCCATGGGCCGTATTTGAACGGGGCCGGGGGGAACCTTGTAGGTGGCGTCACTTTCTCACACCGATTCGGGGAAGCGAGGCTCAAGGGACAGCCCCAGCAGAAAAAGGACGGCCATGTTGCCCTTTGTTTCTTTTTACCGAGGATTTTGGGAAGAACCTTTTTAGTACTCATGGCACATGAATAGTGTTTTGAGGAGAAACTGACAAAATGATTGGTAGTCTACTGTTGCTTTGGGGCGCCCAGATTCAAGCTTTGACCACCTTTGAACATTTGTCCCGCGATTTGTGGGTTGATACACTTAGTGCAGGAGAATATTGGAACCCCCCCCCCCCCCACACCATCAATAAAACCCATGGACTATTCCAAACCATCAATCCAAACCACCAATTGGAGAAAAGCCGATTCCCATTTCAAGCCACTGAGCTGGGTAGGGACCCAAAAGCCTTAGAGCATGTGAGCCTCAAAAAACACCCAGCAAGAGGGTAAGGACGGAACAGTCGCAATCGAACAACATCCGGCAAGAAGTCCTTTCAATTCTCTGTCCGTTCTGGGTAGAGTACTTTGCCAGGTTTTGCCGTGCCTCATTTGCTTCAGGGCTCTCAGAATCCTGCGCCAGTTGGTAGGTTTCAATTGTTTGCCTGGTTTTGGGTAGATGTTAATGTTTAGACATCCAATTTGTCAGGGATCTGAAATGGTTCATTCCCAAACCCTAGCGCTGACCCGGAACAACCCCCTGGTTTGTTAATTGGGGGGTGGCCCCTTGTAGCGGGGATTCGTCACTTTTGGCGCTAACACCCTCCCAGGGTGGGTTTGTTACTCCGGGATCAACACAGACATCTCCTATCGAACCAGCCTATCAAATAAGAGAAGTAAGCTAGTTCGCCTGGGGCCAAGTCTTTGGCTTAAGCCTTATAGGGCTGAAGCCAGCCAATCTGAACCTAAAAGTTCTTGGATTCCTTTATTTATGTTTGAGGCACATGTGGTTTCCCCTAGCCAGTGGATTACTTTGACCAACTCCCACGGCAGAGTACTTTGCCTGGATTTGGCTGTGACTCATAGCGCCCAAAGCCGATTCTGCTCTTGTGGCCGTCATTTAGTTTAAACAAATGGCCTGAATAAACCTGACTCACCCCCGAGTTCCTGGACTTGCAACCATTTTAGAACACCATTGTAGTGGTAAACACACACACACACACAAGTCGAGCTTTGTTTGACCAATCTACTTAGGAAGCGAGTTTAAAAGCATGTTGGCTGGTATACAGAGCCAAATGGGGTTCTGTGGCTCATTTTCCCGAGGTCATCTACTTGTTGGCTCTGCACTTGTTGCCTGCGGAGTTCCGCTTGGAAGGTGTGCGTCTGGATGAGCATGGCTATCCGGCGACTCGATGCGGAGTTTGCCGACAAGCGGACCACAGGGTCCATCAACTCACACGGAAGAAACGTATCGGCAGACAAAAAATGGCCACCATCTCGAGCACGCAGGTTGCATGTTGAGGGCTTCTAAACATTGCTTGGCCGATATTCATGGGGCCCTTAAAGGATACATGCCTGGAGGACCCTTTGATACACAAAAAAGTGCTCCAAACAGTTTTGGCATTCTGCTCAAATCCAATTCGAGCACTTTTTGAGGCTGCCTAGATGCTTGGTGAAGTGCTGGAGAGAAAACGAACCCGCAACTCGAGCGCAATTTCCCGCTATTCGGGCGCAATTTTCCGCAACTCGGGCGCACTTCCAAAAAGTGTGCAAAGCCAAAGCTCCGCCCCGCATTCTGTGCGTTTGCATGTGTTTGCATTTACCGTTTCTCGCGCACTTATTTGCTACGAAAGCTCGAGCAAACATTTGTGTATCAATGGGTCCTGCAGGTGAATACACATGTGATAAGTCCCAACCTATTTGCATGGTTGGAACCCCTCAAAAAAGTGGTTGGACATAAATCCCCACCTGTTTTCATGGTTGGAACCCCTGAAAACTGGTTGGTGGACACAAATCCTCACCTGTTGTCATTGTTGGTGGACATAAATCCCAACCTATTTTCATGGTTGATCCATTCCTTTGAGAACCCAGCACTTGAGGGCTATCAAATGCTACCCTTGACCCCTTGGGGGGGCAACTCGACTTAGGCGAAGATCCATGGCAGTCCCTTCAAGTGCTTCATCTGCGCTACCATGGGATGTCTCGGCGGTATGATCATCGGCCTCGCCCCTCGGTGAGGGAGTTCTCTTCTGGGAAACTGGTACCCGGTTTCTCTGGTACAAGGAATCCTGTGAAAGTGACGTGGTCATGGGAATCAACCACTTTGGTATCACACCCACACCCTAAGCATCGAACGGACCCTCAAACAGGCCCAAGAACGGAGGTCCAAAACCTTCCAAGGAGGTCCGAATCGGTCCTAACCCCTTCAATGCGTTCAGTGGTTTTCCCCAACCCTCATACTTCTGCCTTTCTTGAATCGTGAGCGATTCCACCGATCAGGGAACAATTCGAGGGATTCCACCCATTCTCCTACGCACGGGGTTCCGATTCGTATGTAAAGTTTCGGAATATGTCTGCCATGCAGATGTCGTTGGTTTGATACCTGGAGTCTCCATGACCCGAATAAACAAAACTCGGGACAGACCTCTTTCTTTGTGGGTACTGACCATGTCTTAATGGTCATGGACACGCTCCAGGTAGCCTTCTTGGTGTTCTTGAGAACGGAGTCTCGAGAGGTTCCCAAAATTTCAGCCAAACCCTAAGCATCATTGGATCCCTCATTGAAGAGGTTATCGCTAAACTGGGACAGCCTCAATTTGCAGAGTCTATCACAAATCCAGATCCCAGGCCAGCCAATGTGTTTCCACAATGATCGACGAAGAAAAACCTCGTTCGGGTGGAGGGAGCAATCCCTAAGCATCATTGGACCCTTCATTGAAGGGGGAAAGGGCGGGACTTTGATTGGAAAGCTTTGGACCTCATTTCAAGGACCCTAAGAGTCCTCCTGGAATTCGGGCTGGTGGTGTGGTACAGGTTAGCCCCAAGCCCCAAGAGGAGAGACTTTTTCGCCGGATCGTTTTGAGGGTGCGTAAACAGACGGATGGAGCGCTCCATCCCTCCGCGCTCGCGGCTCGCGGCTCCGGTTCGTCTCGGAGGTCACGGAGTACTTCACCTCCCACTCCTACGTCCCCACCCGGGAGCTGGCCAGCGCCTGCAAGTTCGGCACTGCGGTGAACATCATCCAGGGCCCCTTTTTTTATTGATCGAGCCGATGTTTCGAGTCGGTTCTGGGAGTTGGTTTAACGGATTTGGCCCAAGAAATCCCCGATTTTTGGGTGCGACTCGGATTGGGCCCAAGAATTGGCTGGAAAAAACTGGGGGGCAACGCTGGGCCGGGGGGGCGAGAGAGGAGAATGACACGTAGTGAGCAACTGGTGGAAACAGGGAACCATTTGGATCTGGCCGGAAGCCCTTCGAATGGAGATCGTGGCCCCTATGCAGGGTGCTTCGGGTATGCTTAGGTCGGTCTGGATCTCAAGAGCGGCCAGATTTTTCGGGTACTAGGAAATTGAATCGTTTCTTTTTGGGGTCCATGTCATCTCTAGGGACACCACTAAACAAGGGACAAGCATCATCCAGAGGTTTCGGGTGCTTTCAGAGGGGTTTGGGGGGCGGGGAGGCGAAGTTTGGAACACAAGCAGAAGAAACCAACAAAAAAACGCCACGAGGTGACCACCAGATACGTAAATCCAGGGTCAGCCCGAAGGGTTTCATCAAAACCCTTCGTGCTGCTGGTTGGGGCGGGAAGTGAGGTCGTCCCGGTTTGGAAGACTATCCAAAGGCTCCTTGATGCATGTTGGACCCAGCCAGGCTTTGACCAAACCCCGGAGGGGCGTCCAATTTCCCGGACTCTGGGGCTTCCATTGCAGGCCGCAGCCAGGATCGTTTCGGCATCTTAAGATATCTTAAGGCTTTTGTGCACTTTGACGTTGGAAGCCCTGGTACATCCCAGATCTACCCTGTGCTTCCAGCCATTCCTGGACCTTCAAACGTACCTGAATTTTCTGCCTCTCCTGTCAATCGGCTGGTTTTTGCAATTCGTACCTTGTTTTCTTGGCTTGTCCTCTTTTTGGACCTCGAGCAGTTTTTGGAGGCATGCGGGCTGGGCTGTCACATCCTAACGTGACCTACTCGAGCAGAAATGGTGTGCAAAAACGCCCGCAACGGCCCGCAAAACGAGCGCAAAAACCCGCAAACAAGCGCAAATGTGAAAAAGGCTCGTTTGAACATATACACCTCAGGCACTTCTTCATTGCTCAGGCAGAAATTGAAGACTCGGGCACAAACTGTGTGTTCGAGCAGAAAAAAAGCAAGCAAAAAAGGTATCAATGGAAGGTCCAGGTTGTATTCGAGGTTTGGCGCTGGGCTACAAGAGCTGCATCATCCCCGTCTTCGTGCTCGCCTCCGCCATCTTCGTGTCCTTCCAGCTTTGCCGCTCGTAAGTTTGTTTCATGGTTCCTAAAGGAAATTGGTCTGAAAAGGACGTGTGAGTGAGGTTGGCAGCAACTGAACACAAATATGTATATGTGACCTCCCCCATGGTTTTTTGTTTGGCTTTTCTTTTGTGGCACTCAGTCAGACCAAAAGGGATGCCTTCTTGTTCAGACGGGAGATTAACCAACACATTTGTTCAAGAAGCAGCAAACCTCACCAGAGGGAAACAGCCAGGGTGAAAAGAACGATGTTAGAACGGCTGGGAATCCAAACATCCAGTTGTTGACTACTTGGATGCTCAACCAACTTAGGTAGCTTGCAACCACAGCCGGATGATGAACCCAGTTGCCCAAGTTATAAACCATGCTTATAACCTACTTGGTGGAACAGCTCCGTAACGGCTCCCTTCCAGAAACCAGCTAGTGCCCCTTTCGGTCCGTTTCAAGATCCAACTCTAAGCATCACAATAACTGAAACAACTCGCCCGAAAGTTGACCATCAAAAGGGACATGTAGTGCCCATTCCTTTTGTGGGGTGAAGCCACCAAAACACATAGCTTTCCCTATAAGCATAATTGGGCCCTTGATTGAAGGGGTTAGGGCCTGGGCCTAAGTTGCATAGGTAGGGGTGGAAACCACCTAACAAAGTGAGGACAGGAAATTCAACGACTTTCGAGTCGACTCGCCGGCGAGACAGGGAGGGCTAGAGAATCGCCCGCTCTCTGGCTCCTCATGGTATCCATTCCATTGGAAGATTTCCATGGGGAAGACAACACAGGGGCGCATTTGCGTTTTTTTGCGGCTTCGCAGTACCCTTTTCGGCTTGCTACGGGAAAAAGGAAAACCGAAGCCCAAAGTCTGGCAAATCGCGTGCAAGAAGCCGCCCGGAGACCACTTTCTCACTCATTGGGGGGAGTGGCAGTCGGAGGAAAGCATATTTGATTCATACGCACATATTTGAATATATCCAAATTTACCTAGGGAGCTAAGGAACTACCATTGGGAGTCGGAAAAGCCGGGCTTCCCCGTCCCTTTAATCTCCCAAAAGGTGTCGATTCACCATTTTGAGACCCCATTTGTCTCTTGAGGCCCCCATTTTGATTCGGGTCGGATCCTTTTTCCGGAGACGAAAAGCGACGGTCGCTCTCGAAAAGGCGACCTCTACGGCATCGCCTTGGCGGCCCTGGGCATGTTGGCCACCCTGGCCTGCGGTTTGACCATCGATGGCTTTGGGCCCATCTCCGACAACGCCGGCGGCATCGCAGAGATGGCCCTCTTCAACCCGGAGGCGTGGAGGGCATCGGGAAGGGCAGTTGTAGGGGTGGCCCCCCTTGGTTCTTATGGACCCTTCCCCCCCAAAAAAACCAATCAAGCAACGTGGTTGATTTGGGTTTCTCTTCAAAACAACACCAAGAAGGGCACCTCAAGAACAGACACCCACCGCAAACCTGACGGAGTTTTACCCTTGTGTTTGTGTCTTTAGGCCCATCCTTTGCTGCAAGCGGTCGGGTCGCGTGGGTCGCGTGGGTCGCGCGCGTCGAGTGGCGCGAGGTGCGTCGGCGTACGGATGCCCTGGACGCTGCGGGAAACACCACGGCGGCCATCGGCAAAGGATTCGCCATCGGCTCGGCGGCCTTGGTGTCCCTCGCGCCTCGAAAAGCGGCCTGAAAGCCGTCGACTCAAAATGGGCATCTGAGGCTGTTTGGACGTTGATGCCTTTTGTTTTTTTCCTTAAAGGGAAACCACAAGGACACTTGGAGAAACACATAATTTGTCATCTTTTTGGTTAAAAAAGAAGGTAATATACCCGTTGGTTTTAACGGGAGACCAAAGGGAAATCAATCATTTTGGGGGTTCTCTTCGACCCAAGGGGCTTTCTGGGGGTCGGAGTCTTATAGCCCGCATCCTGGAGCCTCGAAAGGCTCCTGAGGGGCCAAAACCAAACCGGAGGTCTTCAACGGAGGGTCCGAAATCTGCGAAGCAGAAGGAAGTCAACCATTTCCCAGGTTCCCTCATGCTACAAACCCACAGTGAACTGGAATTTGGGGACTTGCAAGTGGGTTATAAGAAAGGACTTGAACGTCCCCAAGCCAGAAAGTAATGTAGGGAAGCCACGTATACTTTGGTGGGGCCCTTTCACATGCAGCATCATACAACCAAAGTTACAGTATCCTATAGTAGGCAACCAGCATGTTCCTTTTGGTTTTTAACGGGTGCCCTTGGTACGGGGAAATGGAGCCAAAGGCCAATGCTTCTTTGCAGGTATGCCTCCATGTCTGGAGGCGGACTCCATCTTTTTCCTTTTCAAAAAAAAAAAGATGTCCCGGGGGTCCCGGGCCGCGTGGTTTGGGTTTTTCTTCCAAACCAAACCAGCCAACCAGCCAGCCAACCAACGGGTGCCGGTGAAAAGCTTCTTGAGGCGCTGTACGGCGCTTTCGTGATCCGTCTGCGGGTGAAGACGGGGGTGAACATCTTGGAGCCAACGACATTCTCCTTCCTCATCATCGGGTGCATGATCCCCTACTGGCCGGGAATCGGAGTTTTCGACTATTGAGCGAGATGTCGAGAGCTAGGGGAGCTGGAGGGTCGGTGTTGGGTGGGTTTGGGTTAGTTGTTCTTGTTGGGTTTTGGGTGGGTTTGGGAGTTGTTTGTTTTTTTTTGTTAGGGGCAGGGGGGGTTGACGGCTTAGGGGATTGCATGTGTTCTTTTGGGGGGGATGGGTGAATGATCCCTTGCGGCTTGGACTCACAGTTTGCGTTGCAAACTTGTCCTATAGGCTCCCATGGCCAAAAGTTCCTTATTTATTTGAGGCCAGATATTTTTAGGGATTCCTTCCAGAAAGCCGGGCATTCGGAAAACGGCTGGCTGAAATGGTCAAATGCGGGCAAATGGATACACTCCCAAACCAGTTTGCCGAGAAAGCAACTCTGGGACACGCTGCAAGCATCAGAGTTCGGACGGGTTACCTCCATTGGTGTTGGTTTTGGACCTCTTTTTGCCAATTTGAGGGCCCTTGAACGATGCTTAGGGAGACTTCCGCTACCTACAAAAGGTGATCGAACGGGGGAGGGAGCAACCCAGCTTGGCCCTGGGGCCCGTAAGTTTCTGGCTTGCAGACCGCTTACCAGGTTTTGATTATGACTCAACTGAGGCGGGGGGTTGCCGCCACGTCGGCGGCGCATTTTGAATTGAACGCATCTCGTCGAACCCCCTCAGCGCAGGTTTGCAGCGTTGACCATGAAATCTGTGGGGAAAGCGGCCGGCGAGATGGTGATGGAGGTGAAGAGGCGGACATGGGAGGCTTTTGGTCAGCTGGTGGGACTTGTACTCTTTTGTTGTGTCGATTCTTTAGTCTAAGTGGGAAGTGGGACCTGCGCGAACCATACCCCTGAATCATGCCCTGAACCATGCCCCGATGCATACCCCTCGAAAAAAGCAAGCAAAAAGGAGGACTGCTGATATTGTAAGCCTATGTCAAAACCTTATTCAGGAACTCGGTAGCGCAACAAGCTGTTTGCCCGCAAGCAATTTTCGACACTAACTTGTGTTTAGGGTAAGAGTGACAGGATAATTCACAGTTCATCACGAGCAAGCTCTTGCAAGCTGACTGTTTGCAAGGGACCTCCATTGGTTTTGTGTTTGGACCTCAAAACGGAATTGCCGTTTTGACGGCCCGTGAACGATGCTTCGGATTACTTGGATGTTCAACCAAGTTAGTAGCTTATAACCATGGTACGGGGGCAATCACCCCAGGCACCCAAGTAGCCACGGGGATAACCTAAGTCGGTTGAACATCCAAGTAAAATCCCCTATGTGTCCGAACTCTGCTTCGGGTTCTTTTGGGTTCCTAACATTCACCGCCAGCCACGAACCACCAACCACTTTGAGTTCTCATGTCCTCCGGATGCTCAGGACCGATGCTTCGAAAATCCCATCCGGTGATCTGGCAAACCGCTGGCAGGTAGTTCCAGGGCCTTTCATGGAGGCCGCACGCTATCAGCGCCCGTGCCGGTTACAACAAAGCAGGGTTGTGGGATCAAGGGTTTTTTTCCAACCACTTCTGTGATAGAGATAACTTCTCCCCCTGTTTTTTTTTTTGGGGGGGGGGTTAGTCTTTGGGAAGCCTTTAGCCTTGGTTGTATCACAGATTCGTGGATTCCATTTTCCACCGCCCAGCAAAGTGCTTTGACTCGGATTTGCCCAGTGACCGATGGTAAGCGATGGAATCCGTCGATCGGCAGGCAGTTCAGCCTCAAGGACTCCAAGGGCAAGACCTTGCTGGACGGCTCCACGGAGCTGAAGCCGGACTCCATTAGGCGGAGCGGAAAGCGGAAGCGGGATGGAGGGGGAAAGGACCTGGGTGGGATGTGTTTCGGGGCAGGGGCAAGCCAAAAGCCCCCTGGAACGTTTTTTTTTTTTAGACGAGTGAGTGGGTTCAAGGAGTTTTTTTTCTTGGCGAACCGAGAACTTGTGAGTTCATGGTTTGCATGTGAAGCGTCTCAAGCTCAAAAACCAGTTGGGAGTGAATGAGCCTTGTTGAGCTGAGGGGTTGTTTGCGTGTCCCTGATAGTTCCCAGAGGGAGCCAACAACTCCCTTGTTGAAGACTACATGCGAAGGTCCTTTGTAAGAAAGAATGTGTTTAGCACACCCTGCTTCTAAAATCGTATGCAACGCAGCGTTGGTAAGAAGATGTGTTTCAACACACCTTTGTTCAAGCTTACACGCAAAGCTGCGAGGTAACGATGTTATTTCAACAGGTGTTTTCAACACCCCTGTTAAAAAGGTATTACATGAATGGTCTTTGGTGAGAAGGTGGGTTTTTAACACTCCTGCTTTCACACATATATGTGTATGACCTCCTTGATAAAACGACGGGTTTTCAACACCACTGTTCTTAATGTTACATGCAAAGCGCCCTGCCATGTTCTTATAAACGGGTTCCAGCTTGTACCAAAGAACAATGTTTGTAGCATCCACCAGGATCGCAGAGTCCAATGTCCAAATTTGTTCGAATCCACTTATCCCATGGTTGTCAGGGGCCCCCCAAAGAAGAAAGAATGCTACTAGATTCTAACAGGCCTTGCCTTAGTAGTCGCTATTAGTCGCTATTAGCCGCTATTGGGATTGGAGAATCGGCCCCTATTGGGGTGCCCTTGACAACCGTAGGAATGTAGGGTCCGCTACTAATTTTTCCCATGCCGGGCCGCATGGGCCTCATGAACAAGATGCAAGCAGACAGGATGACCTTATTTTTCTTTTCTCGAGTTTGGGTGCTTCAGACCGAAACGCCCTCGGTTCTTCCAACAAAAAACGGTGGAATCCCCGGATATTGCAAGTGAACTAGCCACATCTAATCAACGTACTCCAGATAAATGACGGTACACTACAGAAGTGTCCTTGATGGTTCGCTTGCAATATTTCGGGCTCCTACCGGTGGATGCCCAAAATATGGCTAGCGGTGGATGCCCAAACTGTGGCAAAGGAACAAAGAACCCCTCTAATGTACTATGAATTGCCATGATTTCGGTTGGTATGCTTTCAATATTTGGTCAGAATCCGGGGATGAAAGACCAGCTTCTTTGGCTCCAAGTAATTGAAATTCGCTGCCATTTACCCCACCCTAGGAGCCTTCAGGTTCCATGGCAACGGGTGGGCATGGGGCCGGAGGAAAAGGGTACCAACGAGCAGCCATCTCATATTTGGTTAGCATCAGAAGGGCCCATGCATTGAAAGGGGCTTTCAGGCACCTCTATCGGCTTTCGTTTTGGACCTTTTTTCAAAGGACTTGCCTTTTTGAGGGCCTGTTCGATGCTTGAGGGGCAGCCATCTCCCCGTTTTTGTTTGGCCTTTCTGGGGGTTCACTTCGCGGTTCTTGGCAACTTCTTCGTGCTTTTGCTTCTTTTCTTTTTTGTGTTTGTTGCTTCTGTTCGTTTTTAGGTTCGGGGGCGGCAAAAAAAAGGGGGGTTGTTTCTTGGTTGTTTTTGCCACCATACCAGGAGTAAAAGAAAGGGTCGTTTTGTTTTTTGCCACCATACCAGGAAGTTGTGAAGTTCAGCTGGCCAACAGCTCCCCGGCCAGGTGCATTCAGATCTCCACTGAGGCGAATTGACTTGGAGCGTATCGGTGGCTGATCGGCGTGTCTTTTCTTGGAGTTGGTACCCCTGTTAGGGGCTGATTCCATGGTTCTTTTCAATAACCGGATCCGTTTTCCCTGGATTTCCGCAGGGTTTCTAGAAAGAAGGATCCCCGGAAAGAATGGGGAAGGTACCCTTAGACTGTTTGGTGTGAAAGGGGAACCAGAAGGAGAACCGCAATTTTGGGCGGTTCCTCTGGTTTTAAGGCGACCGTTTTTTTGTTTTCCAGGGGACTTAAGCAAATGGAAGATTAGGGGGCACGTGTCCAAGATTCAAATAGCGACCCGGCAAGAGGATATCGTTTTCCTTTTGGCTTTCCTTGAACCAGCCAACACAAGGGCTCATACTTTGGGGTTCAGAGGGGTGTCCGAACAACTCGGAGAATGCTTGAATGAACCATGGCCCACGAATGATTCGGCTCAAGTTTTTGACCATGGCTCAGTGGGGCTCGGAGCGACCAAGGGGGGACAAGCTCGAAATGAACATTACCCTATGCATCGAACGGACACTCCAAAACTTGCTGCGTTCAGTAGGGCATGACGGCGAGTCCAGGTGTTTGGAATGAACCGTTTTAGAATTCGCTTAAAGGAAACCAGAGGGGTCATTCCAACTCATTCCCTGCTGAGAACCAGCAAGAAAAGGCAATTCCTCGAAATGAGGCCCAAACCCTAAACCAATGCAGGTCCTAACACTTTCAAGAGAGGCACAAAAACGACAGGATGCACCCAACATTTCCCATGTCCTCTTAGGGGACAAGTAAGTTTGACCGTGGATCTTATGGGTGTGCACGAGACCCTCCAGGCTTCTGTTGGTTTCCCTTGAAGACCATGCCAAAGGGATGAATCATTTCGAGAGATCCCATGGCTGTGTGTTTCCTGGAGTTGCTACCCTTTTCCGGTTGGTTCCAAGGGAAACCAAACGGGAACCTCATTTTTTTTGGATCTTTGTTGGGCCTTTGGGCCATCAGGGCACTTGTGTTGTCGAGTTGGGTTTGTCAAGAGGCGAATCACCATGCGGGAAAACCCGGCAAGTTGTGTAAGTTGCCACCTGAGTAACCCACTGCCGGGGGACAGCTCCTGGGACTTACAAGTGGGTTGGCGCCTGCAGATTCACAAGAGAAAACGGTGGTGAGCGGTCTATGTATCGGTTTTGCGAGCTGATGGGGCAGTCGATTTTCTATCGGTTTCTGTGGGTAATGTTGTGAGCTGCTCAAATGGTCGGAGATGACTTTTATGTTTGCATCCTGACTTGAAGACGTTCCTACTTGGCGTCTCCATGACCCTTGAAAAATGGGAACATTACCTACAAGAAAGGGGTCAGGGCCCCTTTTTGAAGGGTGACATCGAGACTCCAGGTATAGTGAAACCTCCCTCCGAGCGCGCGAGTCAAACAAAAAATGCGGACGCAGAAAAGTGCGCGCCGATTTTTTTTTCCTGGGAGGCGTCTTTGAAGGAGATGGTGGCTCCAGCCTGCCTGGTGATCTTGTCCCCTCTGCTGGCGGGCACCTTCTTCGGTGTCCAGGCGTGGACCCACATGCCAGCGAGCAAAATGTTTGGGGTCGTGCTCCAGATACCTACCTTCAAATGATTTTTTGTTTAAAGAGGGTTCTTCTACAAGGGGTGGTACTATATGGAAAACTTGGGCCTTCCATGGAGAAATGCCTCCTTTTTTGTGGTCCATTGGCATCGCCTGAAGAAAGCGGGCATGTAGAGAGAAGTACTTGGATGTTATGGGGTGAATGGTTAATTACCCCACTGACAGGGGTTTCCCTGTGAACATAATTCAATTCTCGGTGAGTCCGAAGTGTTCGGCTGAAATGAGATGTGCCTTGATTCTCCTTTGAGTGATTCACTTCAGGTGTCTCAATTCACTATCTGATACCTTGGGTGGGACTTCAAAGGGGCATCACCAGCATCAACTCCGGAACCTTCCTGAAACCCTGGATCCTGAAGCCAGCACCCCGTGGTCCCTATGGGCCTGAAGAAAGCATTTGGGTCTCGGTGTCATTGGTTTCCCCGTTTACCTCTAACCCCCATCCCCCCCTCGTAAATTCGTTGCTTCTGACACGTTTCTTGGTTTACCTTAGGAGCTGTCGCCTCTGAAAGAGGGGGTTTAAACTTCACTTCCACCAAAAATGGAACTTAAGTCGTGTCTGCCTGGTTTCGTCCTTCCCTTTCGTCCGGCTTCCCGGCTGAGGCGGTGTTCGGGCTGCTGACGGGGTCCCTGGGCAGCTCTGTGCAGTTGGCCATCTCCATGTCGAACTCCGGGGGGGCCTGGGACAACTGCGCCTCGGCTCCGCGTTTTTTCAGGCGGAAAAAGGCGGCAAAATGGGTGTGGCTCAACATTAAACAGAGGGGATTACGCAGGTTTTTGTCCATGTTTCCACTTACCAGGGAATCATTTTGGTACCGGTTTTTTGAGCCAGCCAAATGAGTCACAATCAAAACCCGGGTAGATGAAGGTTAGTAAGGGACGATCCCAACCAGAAATAGCTGCGGATATCCGCCTTCTAATTTTTTTACATGGTTCTGGGTAGACCATTTTAATACCGGGTTTTGATTGTGACTCACATGGCGTCCGGAATTGGTCAACCGTTTTTGGTGCGGACAAGGTGGAACCACCTTTTCATTTGTAGTGCTTTGTTGTTTGTTCCCGATATGTTGAGCTGTTTCTGGCAGTTCCCATTTGGTTGCTGGGGCGTGGGATGTTGCCCTTTGGTTTCTTGTCTTGGGTTTACCGCTTGGTTCTGCCCGTTCTTTTAAAAGAACCAAGCACTGAAAAGGTTATTTTTAGCAGAAACAACCCAAATACTGGGATCATTATGCTGTTTCGGGGGTCAACAAAGTCAGCAACTCTGTTTGTTTACCTTAAACTTGCCACGTGGGGTGACTTTGATTATGACAACATAATGGGGCCCTGGCATCTGGCCGCCGTTTGGAGATAGTCATGAAAGTGCACAGGGGCCTTTTCAAGAGAAGATGCTTCGAAGAAACCTATTTCATCATGCCCTGCCATACCCTGAAACAACAGTATTTTGTTTGGGGGGCAGGCCTTGGAATTCTGTAGCTGAGACTCCTTGAGTTCCTGGACTTCATCCTCGGTGGGTTTTTACTATTCTAGCGGAAAGCAACAAAATCCAGTCAGGAAGTGAGGAGAAGTTGCAAGCGAGCCATCAGGGCGCAACTGCACGCAAAGGATGAATGTGGGTACGTGCCAACATAATATGGTTTCGGACTCCCCAAACTAGGTGGATTTACTTTGTCTTGAAGCAACCAAAAAAAGGTACCCTCAACAAACACACACCCATGTATGGCGTCCCTGGTTTCTTGGTCACTTCAGGTATGCACCTTGAAGCTGGGACTTTCAGGGTTGGGGTGGGGTCGGTTTGGGGGGGAGGGAGCGAATACCCTTTGGCGTGCACTTGTTTTCGTGTTTGGCCAGGCATCTGCGTAGTGCTCCAAGATCGGTATTTTACATAGTGTTTTAGCATTGTACCTTCAAGAGGGACGTGTCGTACACTTTCGAGAGGGCGTGCTGTACACTCAAGATCCCGTCACCCCCACCCCCACCCCCCCCACCCCCACCCCCCCCACCCCCACCCCCCCCACCCCCACCCCCCCCACCCCCACCCCCCACTTTTGTGTTTAGTTTTCCCGATTTCGGCGGGGCCACCGCCCAGAGGCATCCCAAAGTCGCCATGGATCCATTAACCCAGTTGTTCAGCGGCACGAACCGGTTTTCTAATGTTGTGTGATTGTTTGATGGCCTTCCCACATTTCAAGAGTTACTTCCATTTGTTTAGTATTTGTTGATTTATTCAGTTGTGATTTCCCTATCGGTTTCAAAGGGAATCTTATCAACTGAACAAGTTATGTTTTCCCCAAGGGGCTTAAGCAAATGGTCAGTGAAATGGAGGGTGAATTCAATCACGAAATGGCCCCAGTTCTTTTTCTACCAGGGCCGCTAAAACTGGGTGTACTCCAACAAGAAGCGGGTTATTTCCCAAACTCAAGGGAACTCCAAAAAGATTTGGTCTCCTCTTGGTTTCCCCTAAAAGCCGATCCCCCAAACCATGGACCGATCCCCAAGCGGGGCTATGGGGAGGGGGGGGCTATACCTTATCAACCCCTTACGACCTTACCAAGGGCTTGTCCTTGGCTTATCCTGGGCTTATCCAGGGATGGCCACCCCCCTAAACCCCCCCTCGGAGTCCATGACCCAAAAAAAGCACCCGAAAAGGAGTCACCGAGTTTCTTCCAATTGCTTAAGAATATGTTTCTTTTTTTCCCCTGTTGGTTGTAAACGGAATCGATTTCACTACTGTTTTTGTTGTTGTTTTCCAGGGGACGTGTCCGCAAATGTAAGTTTTGGATGGGTTCCCCCAGGCAAGAAGTACATCAAGAACGGCTTCTCGGACGACCCGGAGCTGCGATACACCAAGCACCTCGAACTGAAGGAAAACGCGACCTCACTTGAATCGCAGGGTGTGTCTTAAGACTCAGTTCCTGAGTTCCGTTTCGAACTTTAGTCACTTTTTGGGTTTGGTTGCCATTTAAGTGGCAAAACCAAGGTTGGTTATTTTTTCTGGCCAATCCACTCAGGAAGTGAGTAGAATACGAATCGGACCCCCAAAATTGTTTTTGGAATTTCCGTGCGGTTTCCCTTTGTTCCTTCACAAACAGCCCAATGACTCACTTGCCCAAAGCGAATCGACCTTTTGACCTTTTGGTTTCGCCTTTTTGGTCCATGTTTATTACAGGTCCCAAAAGGTCAACCTTTTATGTCCAGGTCCTTTGGGCAAGTAAGCCAAAAAGGGACTAGGTATCTTGGGCCTCAAAACGACACTTGTTGATTGAGGTCCAAATCCTTCCAATGGAGGGCCCAATGCTTGGGGTTGTGTTCCTCTTCTGGAAAACTTGCTTCCAAGTTCCCCTTTTAGTCGGGAAATTATCTGGGTTTCCCTTTAGCAGAAACCCATGTCTTTCCTAAGGGGGTTCTTTGCATTTCAGGTTGAGCCATATTGGGATGACCAATGGAAACCTTGGGAACCAACAACTTTGATCTCACAGAAAAAGGCCGAGTTTTTCGTTTTTCTCAACCCATGCTCCTGCGACCCACTTAGGGGGAGCTATCAACTGGGTGAACTTTCATCACTTCGCAAACGCGTGGAGCTGTCCATCCAAGGGCCCGGTAGGGCCAAGGAAAGGGGTAGCTACTCGCGACGCATGGGAGAGAGGTCATGACTGAAGGACGTCGTTAACGTTTCTTTGTTTTTGTTTTTCCTTGGCCTAGGCATCGAACGGGCCCTCAAAAAGGCCATTTGAAATGAGGCAAACAAATCCAAACCACCGGAGGTCCCTCAAACCCCTTCTGAGGGGTCCGAACTCTGCTCTTGGGGATGGCGGGTCAAGCCAGACAAACAGGGCGTTCATCCACAATTCTGGGTTGCAATCGCCCATTTTTAAGTTGGAGTTTGGTTGGTTGTACTGGGTTAGTACACTTCGCAGAGATCTTATGTTTTCCTACTGTGGATGGACGAAGCCCTGCACCACTTTGAAACCATGGTTGAAACCATGGTTTTTACAAGGGAATCCTCCTTCCAGAGTTTCTTTGGTGCGAGAAGCGGATTGCACAACCATCTACAGTAGGGCACCCAGATTTCAGGTCTGAGCTTTGGTTTTTCGGTGGTTCCGGGTTGGGTCTTTGCTCTGGTTGGCGTCGTTTGAGCCACCCGGGCGCCTGCACCGACGTCCGAGGAACCCGAAGACCCCGGAGGAGATCGCGGCGGCGCCGAAGGCGAAGGAGGCCCACGATGCGGCGGTGCAGGGCGACACCGTGGGGGATCCCTTCAAGGAGTGCAGTGCCAGGGTGGGGGGGAGGAGGTTGGGGGGGGGGGAGATCTTCTTCTTTTTTTTGAGGAGTTTGGGGGCGTTGGAGGGGTTGGAGGGCTGAGAGGTTTCGAGCAGTTCGGGGCTGGGGCTTCAAGATTTTGGAGCCCAAATCGCGGGCGGCGTGCCACCAACAAAGCTTGGCCGAACAAATGGGAGGCGTCGGGTTTCTTCAAGGAGTGCGCTTTGGGCGGGGAGGGGTAGTTGGGATTTTGTCCCACTTCCCACTGTCCGGTCTAGAGTGGCAATGAATTTCAATTGGGAAGCACCGCAAAAGTGGTTGGTGGACGTGAATTCCCACCTAAACAATGTCCACGATTTCGGGTCTGGGACCCATTAAAATTCATGGCCAAGACATGATGTTGGTTTGGACCGTTGCGGTTTTTTTCCCAACGCTCAGACTCGAGTCAGTACAGTCGTCACGCGAAAGGCAGCTGTGGCAACTCCTGGACACTGGTTGGAGTTCGTGTGTCGATCGATCAGTCCCTCAAAAAGGCCTCTTGAGCTCACTCCGTCCCCTGAGCATATTGCTGCTGGCTCAGCAACAATGGTACCCGGAGTCTGACCTGAGTCAAAGATGAGGCGCCAAATGTCCGCCCCATGTTCGATGTTTCTTTTGGTTGCAACCCCATGCTTGCTTCGGGGGCTCAGGGAGATTGGTGCTTCAGGACACCTCCGGACCCGCCCTGAACATTGTCATGAAGCTTCAGGCGGGCCACCGGGCCGGGTTTTGTGCCGGGCGGCACGAGTGACGCGTTGCCACGAGCTTCATGGTCAGGCTCAGCATGGGTGAGGAACAAAGAGGCACTCAATGCCAGATCGTCTGAGAACAACATGAGGACAAACATCGGTTGAGAAGCAGGGAGAACCAAAAAAAAGAGAGGGAGAGAGAGAGAGAGAGAGGCAGAGACAGAGAGAGAGAGATGCTTACTGTGAGTCAACACCTGGAAGTGTATGAACTGATGTTACGCACAGAACCCGTGACAAACCTAGCTCTGAAATCGACCCAATTTGGCCCTGTCAGGTGATTTTTTTGGTGTTTACGGGCACCTCACAACCATGGGAAGCACGCGCTTAAGGCCTCTCAACCACCATCATGTTTTTGCAGTGCCACGCCACTAATTGCAGTACGTCCTGTGCATAGATACTCCTATTGGAAAAAGGGAACGCAGGCGCGCATCATGGCCACGTAGTTCTTCTTGAGTGCACTACGGCGCGTGAGCGGTGGCTTCACTTGTCTTGTCAAAAGAGGAGCCAAGAGTTGGCAATGTTTTTTTCACAGGGAACCACCTCGAAAGTGGTTTGTGGACATGAATCCCCACCTGTCCACCCAAAGGTCCGCAATTCTATTCATCGAACGGGCCCTCAACAAGTCCCTTTCCCCTTCAATGGAGGCTCCTTTCTTGCTTGCAGTTGGGAAGCGCTTGTGAGGCCATTGTGTCCCTGGTCTTCGCCGCCTACTTCCATGCCATTGCGCCACTTGTGCGAACGGATCTGCGAACGCAGAAGTCGGCGACGACAGGGTGCAGACGGGTATGTGTGACAGGGCGACCATGTGGGCAGTATTTCCCTATGTGTCCCTCTAGAACAACGCAAAGGGGTTTAAGCATTACACATACAGCGGATGGATAACCTCCACACCAGGCGCCGGTTGGTTTGGGTTTCCAGTAGTCTCAACAGGATCTTATCCATTTGATTCATACATGGAAAGGGGTACGTCAAAGAAAAGTGGCGGAGCCCCTGAGCAGTGCTCTGCTCTGTCTGCCACATCCAAGCTTGGGTTCTCTCCAAAATCTATGAAACAGAGTCAGAAAAGTTATGTTCTGTGTTCCCAAGACGTGGGCAGACCCTTGCAAATTGCAGAGACATGGAAGGTGCTCAACTTGTTTGAAGCTCGCCTATATATATATATATGTATATATGTATATATGTATATATAATATGTTTGAATTCTCGATGGGGGTCACCAATTGATCCCAACCATGTATCTTGTGGTTCATGCGGTTTTTTCGGTATGTCTTCTTTTCAGGTACTTAGTTGGTTCAGGAGACAGCTACTTCAGCTGCTGGCCGGGTTCTGGAAGTGGAGAACCCCCCAGCCCTCAAGGGACACCTCATCAATTGGTGAACGGAAAGTCCCAGTGCGGATGGCCGTCCTCTTAGTTTTTTTTTTTTTTAAATATGGTTTTGGGTATTGCATATGCCAGGTTTGGATTGCGACTTGGCGCATTCAAGGATCCCAGGCTTCACACAGCCCTTCGGGGCAGCCCTCCAAGCACACCCCAAACAACTCCCCTAGGCCGGTAAATAGCTCTGGCCGGTGGGTAGTTGTTTTGGGCGGGGGTGGTGTGTTCCAAGAAAACGGCGGGCGCACCGATTTTCTGGAAATCCACTCGTGGACTCGTGGAGACCAGCGTTGTCCGAGGGACGGCAAGGGCCTGGTGGGCGGCTTCATGACAGGCCTCGCAGACTAAGTTGGGGCCTCATTCCGCGCGCATCAGAAAGGAAGCCTAGGTGCCCCCAGAAGTGCCCTTCTACCGTTTCTCTTTTTTTGGAGAGGGTTTCCCTACCAAAATCGACTACAGAAAAAAAAACAACAAGTTGGTGCCCTTTTTCTAAGCTCTCTTCTGGAGGACCTAGAAGCTCAGGCGCCGGGATCGGCTTTGGAGGTTCCACTTTGGGCTGAGACGAGAAATGACACAAACCGGACATCGGGAATTGGAAAGACTCGGGAGATGTCCATCGATCACTTGAGAGGTGTTCTCGACCTTCGAATTGTCAAGCTCTCAAATACAGAGGTGGGCATCTCCGAAGATGCACACACCCCGAAGGAAAGGGTCGACGTCACAAGCAGTGCATACCACGTATGTGTTTGGCTTACTGCCGCTGAGGAATTCCATTGATAGAGTTAGTCCACATGTTGTTTTGTATGTTTGGTGTGTTGCTTCAGATAGCCCCCGTTTGAATTCATCCTTGTCCATTCCTTCGATTTGGTCAAGTAGCTGGGCAATCTCAGAACCGGCGATGAACTTCAAAGGCCGGAGAACCACAATTGAAGGAAGTCCAAAAGGGCAAAAGGGCCAAATGGTGAGACAAGAGGTTGATGGCATAAACCACTTGCGACCGTTGTGTGCCTGATTTGGTGTCCCCCGAATCTTTCACTTGCTCTCTGATTCGCGTGAGAGAAAGAAAGAAACCACTTGCGACCCTTTGTTTACCACCAACTAGAAGGCAGGTGGCCCGAAAGCAACAGTTTCTGGCAAGAACATACCCGCGCAAGACAAGTCGTGCGTTTGCGTTCCGCAGACGCAACTCAAGTCTTTATGTTGTTCTTTGCGCAAGTTCTGAGTTTAAGCTTCTTTCAAGTTCGTTGACCCAGTTAGCTCCTTTCTGCGAGTTTCTGGGCGCGAGTTCTCTGCAAATTCCTTTCTACAAGTTGGTGGGCGCACGTGTTCTGCTGAATGTTCTCCACAAGGTCTCTGAGCAAATTGCTTTCTTCAAGAACTGAGCAAGTTCTCAGATCAAGTCTCTCTCTGAACAAGTTCAACTGCGCACATGTGTTTCTTCGCAAGTTCTCTGCTCGCATTGCTTTCGAGAAATGCTTCCCCCCCCCAACAAAACAAATAAACAAACAACGCAAAAGTGCAACTGGGGTTTACAGGCGCTTTTTACCGCTTGGCTACACTGCTTATTTGGCCAAGGGGAAGCACCAGGCCATGTACTTTTAGACTGGGATATTTCCACAAGCTAAAGCTTGGGCCTAGTTGGGGACACGCCCATTTTCTTGACTGCTATTGGGTTGGCTCTTTAGACTTTAATTTATTGGGGGGGAAATCAAGGGGTTTTCCAGTAAACCCCCCCAAAAAGTTAAGCTTTTTGCAGGGGGTTCAAGAGCAACCAAGTTTTTAAGCCTCTGCTTCAACGATCCTAGATTACCGTTCGGGCCACCGGTCAGCTGTTGGAAGGGGATGACGTTGACGCAAACCCCCCGCCTGGGAGAGAGTGATGCTTTGGATACGAAGTGATGCGTTCCACCCCAAGCATCGCACGGGCCCTCAAGGCAATTCGTTTTGTTTGGAGGTCCAAAACCAAAAGCTGCTGACCTCTTGAGCCGACACCTACACAATCTGTGATCCACCTTCGGCGGGGGGGGGGCCTGGGGGGGAGGGAGCTACAAGGGTTTCTTGGGAGGATCTCTACAGAAACTGGGACTTATGTCAATCTATTTGGGTATGGGTCAACATGAAACCACCAGGGGACCACAGGTCTTGGTCCATGTTTCCACTTGCCAGGGTTCCATTTGGGGTCAGAAGGAGACTCTAGGCAGTTGAAAACACTCAGGTGCTAGGCTTCTCTTCCCCCCTGAGCAAAAGGTCGAGTACCTTTTGTAGCTTGACCTGAAGAAGCAACTTGATGCCAACAGGTCTCTCAACAGGCATCATGGGCGCATGTTCTTCCAGCATATTCTGACCATGACCATGGGTGTCCCTTTGATCGGTTAGTTTGCTTTGAAATAGATGGCACTGGTCTAGATGGGTTTCATTCCTTTACCAGGGCCATCAAATTTTTCAAACGGACACCTATATGACCATGCCTTTCTTCTGCGCTTCTCGCTTGAGGTCAGGGAAGCAAAGCATTGAACGAGTTCGATTAGCTCAATGCGCGATGCGAGTTGCGCGCTGACGGGGAGCTGGAGCCAAGGGACGCGGAGGATTGGGTCCCGAAGAATCTAACAGTCTGGAACCCATCCAATTTATTGCAACCATCTGGTTTATGGCAGCCCTTTTTTCAGATTTCAGAGAGCCAGATCTCTCCGATGGAGGGTCCCTTCTGACGCGCGAAGCTGTACTTGCCCCATTCTTTCCAGGAAAGCGGTTTGCTCAATCGTTGGGACTCGTGTGAAATTGTTTAACCCAAGCATCTCGGGCCATCCAAAGGGCTTTTCTAGAGGCCCAAAGCCCAATGGAGGTCCCAACCCCTTCAATGGGTCCAATGGTGCTTAGGGAGTGGTGGTTTTTTTCTCGAGCTATTTGTGAGCTGTGGAAAACCACCAAGCCCAAAGCTTCCTCAAAAGATCAGAGCCGGCGGAATCTTGGGTTGGTTTCCTTTGGTTTCCCTTGCCAGTGGCCCAAATTTATACCTTGGGTCTAAAGGTGTTAGTTTTCCTGAAAAAAAATCCAGCTCAAAAGGGCACGCCATCCTTATGCCCAGAAACGGCCCGCATTCCGGCATGTTTGTTTCGACAGAAAGCTTTCGTCAAGGGGAATGATGAAGCAACATACGAGAGTTGTGCCATCTACTTTCAAGTTACTGCACGAATTTAAAGTTTGGCATATGTTGTGGGAAGTTGGGCTTCAGGTGCCAATTTCTGTGATACCAAGGGAATCCCACTCCGACTGCTGAAGCAGTCGTTGGTATCAGAGAAAGCGTTAGCTGCCACTACCGTAGATGATTGGTGGTTTAATAATGTTCGAACATATGTTCGGTCCAGCCCTGGATTCAACAAATGTAATCAATGCATTCATGACTGGCGGTATTATGTTGACATTGTTCACAAGTTAAAAGACGCACCAGGCCCCAAAAAAGCCCCTTGCTTAGCCCCCCGGTTGCACAAACCTTAGGAACGTGGCGAAGCAGAGACTTCAAAACTTTTCTTTCGAAACCCTAGGAAGGCGAGAAACGAGTAAACAATAGCAATTAAATCAAGCAGGCTAGCACTTTTCAATCACTCCCCAACCGCTGCTTTTCAAGCAGGCAAGTCGGGGGTGCGGGTTGGTTTACTGTTTGTGAGATCACGTTTTTTGTTTTCTCGGATTGCAACATCGTTCTTGTCCAGACCTTTACTGTATCTGACAGTATTTCCCCTGCATACACGGAGGATTCCGGGCGCCAGTTCACCCGGATTGGGCGTAGCCACGGATTTTTGCCGCGGCGGCCGGTTCAGTTCGGCGGCCGGCCGCATGCTGTGAGGTGTTTCTGCAGTCCACACCATTTAATCATCTGTTTTTGTGTTTTTTCTCCGGGGGGGGGGGTGCGAGGGCCCTAGGTAATCCTTCGCCATTTTTGTTTTGTAGTATCGGGTGGTTCCCTTACCTCAAAGCAACAGAATCACTGGAGAACTCACTGAGTTTCCCCCCATCCCTCACCTGGGCTCGGTTTCACCGAACTCCCCCTGGTTTGCTCCAAGCTTTGGTTTCGCTTGGCCAAATTTTTCGACCCTGTCAAGAACCTGGCTGAACTCTTCTTCACACTTCCACGTCAAAGGCCAAGCTGCCAACGGCTTTTTTCACGGCGAGCCTTGAAATCAAAAATGTGGGGCATGAGGCCGAATCGATCACTGGTCGAAAGCGAATGAATCGACCAGGTCTGACCTTTTTGGGAGACCCCCGATTTGGGTTTCCATGCGTTTCGTACCTCGGGTTCGTGGATGTCTATAATACATATATGGGAACCCAAAACTCCCGGGCTTTCTTGTAGGTTCCACGTGATCCGCTCCTCTTCGACATATGATTTGGTTTTTCTGCCATGCAAAATTCAGTTGGGATTTGACCCTGCCTGAAAAACGAACACAAGAAACAATGGGTTGTTGACTCTCAAAGTATTTCCAAACCGTTTTTCCAGCTGCCTGTCAAGACAACCTTGAGCACCCAGGGGAAAAGGATGGGGAATCTAGTGAACCAAGCCTTATGCAGTGCTTGGCAAGCCACTATAGTAGGCACCCCCAGGAAACCTACAGGGGTAACTGGAAGCACTAAGTTTTGCATTTGTCGGCTTTTGGAGTTGAAAAAAAGTGGGTTTGACAGGACAACATTGTTGAACAGAATCCCTTTGGTGATGTTTACGGGAAGTTTGGGGAAACCTACAGAACGTTTTTTTTTTTTTTTATGATTCAGCTAGATGGTTTGTTTGAGGCGGCCAGCTGCCAGAACTTTGCCCGGACAGCTGAAAGCCGTGCTTTCACTCGGGATGCCGCAAAGGAAGCTACAGGAAGAGCACCAATAGGTCTGCCTATTTTATAGCGCCTGCTTATTGACCGGGGTAAAACGACGATGCAGGCAATTTTGACTTGGATCCAACTCTTAGTTCAAGTTTCGGAATGTAGAATTTGCAGATGGCAAGGGGAATCTTCACGAATTGCCTCGAAGCTGTTTGCCAATGGCAGCAAGGGGTCGACGAATGCTTGATTGTGCCTTTCTTGGGATACCTCAGGGGCCTAGCCGATTTGGCGCAGGGTTTCCTGGGGTCCTTCATTCTTTTTTGGCGTGGATCCAGTTGCCCATGTCGAGAACCAAGGAAAGCATCATGTAAACCTTGGAAGAGCGCAATCATTCCCTCCGTGGGTCATGTGTGACTAAACATTTGGAGAACCTGGGCGTGGCCCCTTTTTTGTTGTTCCTTTGCGGATTGCCCACTACAAATATCTTCCCCCAAAGGGTTCCCTCTTGCTATTCTCAATGTTAGAGTAAGTGCTAGTTGTGGGCAAACCAAACGTCTGGCTACATGGAGCTTCTAAGATGTTGCCAGCAGGTTCTCCTAAACCTTGCTTTTAAGGATTCAAGGACTTGAGTTATTTGGCGTTTGATTCAGAGTTAACAAATGAAATCGGTAACCTATTTCAGGCAGGCCGTGTATTCAAAATCACGATTGCCATTCACCAGCCTGGTTCCTTGCGGAATCCGTTGGGTTTTCGAACGCGACCGCTCGCGGGTTGGGCTTTTTCTAATCCTAAAAGGGGGCAAGATAACCCAACTACTCAAAGCGCACGAAGCTCCAACTATGTAAATCGGCAAGGCATCCCAACTGAAGGTCACAAAGCAATTTAGGGCTCACGATTTATTTGCTGGATTGTAACCCAACTAATCAAAGGGCGCAAAAAAGCAACTGTTGAGATTCAGGCTCCACTCAAGAGCTCTTACTGATTCTTTGCAGGGAGCTTTTACAGTACTCAAAAGTCCAACCTGCCTTGCGGGAGCGAGTTATATTCTGTCCATGGCGCCTCGGCGACAGACATGGGCAAGAAGCTTTTTTCGTGCAGCGATTGGCTCCGCAAAAAGATCTCGCCTGCCCCGAGGGGCTGATGGAGGACCCAGGGTTTCCAGCATGCTGTTGGGATCTTAAGCTCCTAAGACCGGATAAAGTGGGGTTGCCAAGACAGCATTTTACTAGCCAAGACGAAAACAAAGAAAAGACAACAAATCCCAAATTCAATCTCGACCCCCGCTAAAATGGGGTTGCCCGAAAAGCAAGGGTGGAAATCTGGCGGTCCGATCGATCCGGAGTCTCCTCCGTAGTCTCCAGGGTTATGTGGCCGGACTGGCTTACACAGCCCTTGAACTGGGGCAAGTCTAGAAATAAGACTCGTTTTGCTTCTAGTTGTTGAAGCCCCAGGCATCAGAAAGGAGCCATAGCAGGGGGGTTTTAGGGACCTCCATTGCAAGATGTTGGACCTCAAAAAGGAAAGGCCTTTTTGAGGCTCCAAGATGCTCTTGGAGGCTGGCAAATATGGAGTCATACCTGCTCTTGTTTTGTGCCTTGCGCTGGCTTTGGTACCCAAATCATGGACCAGATGGAGGGAGGCCTCAGGCCTCTCAAAGTGAGGTTTGGTCATTTCTGATGCCCGAGTTTTGGAGGGACTCCTGACCATTTGGGTACAAAGCCAGGTATCCCTTTTGGCTCAAGTGGTTTGAACGTCGCGCTTCTTGCCTTTCGGTCCACCCCTTCACCTACTCAAAATAGAAAGAGTAGCTGCTCTTCTTTCCCTTTGTAGTGGTTTGGAGTAGTGACCTTTACACCCCGCAACCCGTTCTGAAACAGCCCTGAAAGGGAAATAGGGAAAAACTGTATACATCTTGAAGGTCCCCAAAGCACTGATGGTACAACTCTGGATTTGTTGATTCCTATAATCAAGCATACTCACCAACCCACTCAACCTCTCTTTGCCCCTCGTTTACTCCTCAGTTTGCATCACTTGCCCTCTAGAAGACCCACAAGGCGTTTGCAACAGGTTCCTTCCGAACCCCGGAGAGGGGCTTTGGGGGTGTGTTTTACTATGATGTTATGTCCCCTTACCTACAATGGCTTGCCGGGAAGCGCTGGGGTGCCTTTTTTTTCCATCCATGGGGGCAAGTCAGCGGAGTCCGTCGATCCGCTTCCAAATATGTTGTATGTTGCCCTTCAAAACGGTCTTAAAGGGAATCGATCTCACTACTTTTTTGTTAATTGTTGTGCAGGGCGCTGATTCTGCAAATGGAATACTGTTCGGGTGTTGGGAATGAACCGTTTGGGGTCCCCTTAAAGCAAACCACCAATGGGACGGTTTTTTCAAGGTCATTCCATTTCTCATTCCCTGCCTATCGCACCAGCGCTTTTTTTTCCAGGGAACGAGAAATGGACTGACCCTGAAAAAACCATCCCTTGCTGGTGGTTTCCTTGAAGGGGACGGTTCATGCCTGGGTTCATTCAACCACATTCTGTACTTGTCGCTTATAAGCCATCCCTGGCCGGTAATTTCCTTCAAGGGGACGGTTCATTCAACCACCTTCTCCGATCCAAGTCTGGATCCATTTCTCCAGGTCTTCGAGGCCCTCCGCACGGAGCGGAAGATGCCCAAGACGTCGCCGCTGGCGGAGCTGGCGGCCGGGACCTCGGCCTCGATCTTCTCGATCCATCGGCCATCGGTCGGTGGCTCGATTTTTTTTTTGCCATGGACCCATGGAGGGAACGGGACCTTGGTTTGGGGGTTTGATCTCCAACCATTGGAGGGGAAAAAAAGCAACGGACCTAAATTGGACCTCCATTTGGTTTGGGGTTTTGACCTCCATTGGTTTGGGGTTTGTTGGTTTTGGTTTTGGACCTCATTTCAAGGAATTGCCTTTTTGAGGGTCCAAGATGCTTGCACCAGCAGTCTCCCGAATGGGTGGATCTGTCACCTCGCTCGGTGAGACTTACCATTTCGGATTCGACTTGGTGCATGATGGTCCGGATATTAGTTACCAGCAAAACGCGTTGTCTACTGCCCAACGCATCTTGGACCCTCAAAAAAAGGCAATGGAATCACTGGGTTGGTCACCATGGACCAATGGAGCGTGCCGGGGTTTGGGGGGGGGGGGGGGGGTTGGGCTTCTGCTTTTTTTCGGGGTCGTTTGGATTCCCCAACTCCACCTCGCAAATTGGGGGTACCTTAAACCGGTGGGTTCCCTTGCGACGTTCGGGTTGCCTATCCATGGTAAACTCCAGAGGGAAGAAGCCCAAAGGCTTACCTACAGTGGTAACTGGAAGAACTGGGTAGGTTGTTTTTTGTTGCTCGGTCGCGGTGTCCCACTTAGTTGTTTTGTGGTTTATAGCCGCTCAAAAAGGCCATGGCTTAGCATGGGGCTGGTACTGTGGATGAGCAAAATCCTGCACCAGTTGGGACGGATGAAAACCTTGGAAGTACTGGTGTACACCGTCTACCAACTGGTGCGAAGTGGATATTGTCCACAGTACGGATGGTTGTCGATCACTTAAACAAGTCCAAACGAGTTCGGACCATGTCTCATTTCCTTCAAAATGAAATGAGGGGAAGGGTTTTCCTGGGAACCCTTTTGCTTCGTTTGCTTGGGCTGTTAGTAGCCAGACCTCTACCTGAAGCCTTAAAATTCCCTTAACAATGGGTTCCTGCCCCAAGATTATGTTTGACGGTCCAGGCAGGTAGGTGAGAAGCCAATAATTTCCCCCGGTTGCCAAAAGTGGCTGGCGTGTTGCCATTTTATTCAGTGTTTGCATTTGTTTGCTTCATGTAGGGTTTGAAGGGAACTTAGGTCTGTTTAAATTTGATTCGCCAGACTCGACGTGTTTTTTTCCATTCGGGTTTGTCCCTCATTTTCGCAAAGGGAACTTAGAATTATCCTATATTACATGACCAGACCGAACTTTCTAAGTGTTGCCCTTTTGGGGTTGTCTCTCATTCTCCATTTTTCCTTCTGACCTTAAAACAGAAGTGTTGCCTCAATCAGAGCCTCAATCCTCTAAATTTCCCCCCAAAGTATGATTTTGCCCCCAAAATTATGGTTGGCGAATCCCTTTCATGGCTCGTTTGAGGGTCCCTTTCATCCCCAAAAAGGTGTGGAAGTCAGCCCATGTCGGGGCGCCAGACTCCAGGTGCCCCGCTTTGGTTTTTTTCGCCTCGCTGCGGCCGCCGTGCGGGTCTCTCAGGTTCGGATGACGGAGCCGGAGCCTTGGACGCGGCCCAAAGCTCGGGACTTGCTGCTGGAGCTCGGTGAGGACCGATCCACTCAGCCGACGACTTTGATGAGCTGCGGCCGCCGAGTTGTTTTTCTTCTTCGGAAAAGCAAAGGTTTTGTTTTCTCGGTTTTTCGCGGAACTTGGGGCGTGTCTGTCCTTCCGTTTCGCGGTATCATGATTCGGTATGTCTACATCGCAAGGACAACCAGAGATCGAACCAAAAAGCAAAGCGGGAATTTAGGGGAGGGCGCAGTTTGCGAGCTCACCGAATCGGGGGCGAAACGAGCTTGCTGTGGTCCTTTGCTTGGGCATCAGATAAAATGGCTGTCCAACCGGAGTTTGGGCTGCCCCCAACCCGGATGGGGACACTGGCTCTTCTTCCGCCAGGAGAGCGTTGTGGACTTGGACGCAACTTGTGCCGCTCTCAAAACGGCATGGGACCCGTTTTGGCCGCATGGTATACGGGAAACTTTCTTTGGGCATGGGAGTTGCTGCGGGTCAAAACAAAACAAGCGGAAGGAGCGTGATAGGCCAGCCTTTGCCACCTTTGCATTTGTTCAATAAGGGCGTAGCAGACCTCAATTTCAGGTCTCCTTTTTGTGATTTTGGAACACCATGATGGCAAGGAACCGACCCATTTCAATTTCCACAGGAATCTGGGATTTCGGATGGAACCACCCCCAGACCAGCGTGGATACTAAAAGAAAGCGGGGACCAAAGGGAAGCTGATTTAAAATGCAACCACCAAGAATAAGTCAACCCATGGCTTTTCCTTGGAGTCCATCCGGCTTCGAATTTCGCGAACCCTACAGCAATCCCCAGGCAAGGAAATTTCGAAGGATCCCGAGAGTAGGCTTTGGAACTTCTCTGGGCGGCGTGTTTGGGCCCATGATGAAATTGTGTGTTGTGCTCACGGTTGCGCATCAGAATCCGTTCCCTGCTACCGTGAGTTTGAATTCTAAGTTCGACCACTTGTTCGCGGGTCAACGCCTGCGACCCCAATCTCGACCCCCAGTGGAGTGCCATGGCATGCCAAGGGGTCATGAAGGATCCTTACCGCCAGATGGATGACCATCCGTGTTAACCCAAGGAAAGAAGCTGGTCTTTTGACCATGGCACAAGGTGACAAGGTCGTGATAGGCTGGCCCAATGGGGAAGGTTGGGTTGGCAGCCACCTCCTGTGCCCATGTTGTCGATTGGGGTCTCCTCCAAACCAATTGTATATCTTGGGGTACCCAGATCTCCCAACAACCACAATCGTAGGTAATCACGGCAAGCCGTCACGCAACACCTAGAAGTAAGGACCTATAGTGGCTTGCCTGGAAGCACTGGGGTAGACTAGAAAATTTGGGCTGGACGTCGCATTTGGCATGGATTGGGCCAAGTCTCGGGTTGAGTTTCCATGTGCATGAAATGCCAAATCTTCCACGTTGTGTTTGCTCAAGGGGCTTGATGTTTAGTGCCACCCAGTCGAAGTATCGCGACAGGATCATGCAAAAGAAATAGCCGTTGCCATAGGTTATTTGCATACCCCAAAAGCAAATATTATGCGTGTCCGAGTTATTTGATATATCGAATGTGTTTGTTCCTTCCTTGGTGATTGTTTGTTTGAGGTTATATGGTGAATTATCCTTCACCTGACGAGCCTAATATCACACACATGTTACATAATATCGATGTGTCCAGACATCTCACCCTCGCAGTGCATACCGCACCCAAAAGCTTACCGCCAGCGGTGCGGCGTTTGGTTTCGACGCGATGGCCTTTGAAGACAGCCACCGGCGCACCACAGATTTCTTCTGGCTGGCGCTCCTTTGTCGGCACCGAAAAGGGGTTCCTTGAAGTGTGGGGGTTCTCAGAATGGGTGTCGGTTTGGAGGGTACCTTTTTTTGGACGTCCTAAAGACGTAGTCCGAACTCCGATTGGTAAGAAACGGCCTCGTTGGGGCTCGGCATGCCGAGCCCCGAACCTCAGCCTGCCGGGCGAAACAAAAGGACCAAGAAAAGAAGGGACATGAAGGGAAAGCAATGGAAATGAAATGAAGGCAAGGGGAAATCAAGGGAAATGACGGGGAACTGAAGGGAAATGACGGGGAACTGAAGGGAAATTAAAGGAAATGAATGGCCCCTGCTTTTCGGAAGGTGTCCTTCAAGTTTTCAGGGGTAAGCCAGCCAGCCAGCCAGGGGTGGGGAGCTTGAACTCGAGCTCCTTGGGCCGAATGGGTTTTGGTACCTATAAGGATCCAGCTCAACCCGGTAAGGCTCCAAAGCACCCCTTTTTTGGGGTCCCTGGAGTCACCATGACCCGAACCAAAAAATGGGGATTCCGGATTCCCACAATCCCTTGATTTCGGGTAATGACCCCCGTTTTAACGGGTAAGGAGACTCCGGGTAATGGAGGCGTTTCAGCAGTCGAAACGCGCTCGAGGCTCTTCCTGTGCGCTGTGGCGGCCCAAGTCTTCTTCGCCCTCAGTGCCGCGGTCCACGGATTTCAGGTCAAAGAACTGGAGGCGAGGCGCTCGCCGAAACTCAAGGCTTCGAGACACCCGCTTTCCTTGGCCACCAAGGTTGGTTCATTATACAGGGGCCTACAACTCCTTGCTGCAGCTTCCATTTGCGGATCCGACGTTGTTTCTTTTTCTGGTTTCCCCTGGTTTTGAAAGACACTGATTTCACTGAACACATGAAAGGGAATTCTTGTCACTTTGTCAGACGACAAATGGAGGTGGATGGAGCTAGATCAGCCTTGAGCTTTGGGACCTAGGACATGTTTTTGCGGCGACTCAAGAATTAGAGAACCCTCAAACTACCCATTAAAAGAGGGGATTCACCAACCATAATTTTGGGGCAGTCACCCATTTGGGAGTTGTAACCCTCAAAGGGGATTCACCAAACATAATTTTGGGTTGCAGTGACCCATTTTTAAGTTGGAATTTTGAGGGTCCAGGTACCCAAACTGGCACGCCCATTTTTGGTTGGACCGGTTCCCGGGGAAGCGAGATGCGGAAGGTGCCCCCTCCAAACCACCAAACCAAAGCATCAAGAGAGAAGCTGATCTGGGAACCCCTGGTTGGTGGATTGCTTTGGATTTAGATTTGAACCCTTGCTTCTTGTGGGTAAATGGGAACCACCCCCAGAACGCCACGAAAACCGGGCTCCAAACCACCAACTGCGCCATCGAGTTAGAAGGCATCTCTCACTTTTCCGGAAGGTTTGCACGGCTTTGGTTCCGTCCGTGCCAATGTTTGGTCGCGAAATCGTTTCTGCCCCTGGAACATCCATGAATGTGAAGTTCATTAAGATGGCCTTCCTGGCAGGCTGGGAATGGCCCCTCCCTTCACATTATTCAGTGGTTCCTCTTTCCAGTTGTTTGGATGTCCCACCGACACATGGCGAAGCCCCAAAGGACTGGAATTCCATTATTATTTTTAGGGGGTCCGCATTTTGTTGGTTTTCCTGGGAAACCAAAAGGAAAGCCGAATTCCTTTTATTGGGTTCTATGTTACAACACACCCATGCGGCTTTTCCATTGCACCCACCACCAACCAGGGGGGCTTGGAACAACCCAAGGAAGCTCTTGAGGACAGGGGCTGATTCCCTCAGTTCATGGGTTGGTTGGTTTGGGGAATTAGGAGCCCCTTTGTGGAGGCGAAATGGAGAAGCGCGCCTTTGGAACACCCCAAATGGCCGGGGAGCTGAAAGAAAGGTGATGAATCGCTCGCCCCTAAGAAATACACAGCCCCGCCCCCGTATTTGCCTGGGGGCCGAACAATATATATGCGGGTCGATTTCTGCGGCGGGGGTTCCGCAGCGGTCCTGCTGCAGAAATCTAAGTCATTTTTTCGATTTGCGCAGGTTTTGAACTGATGTACATTTGGTTTAACTGGTATAGGATCAGTACCGGTTTAGTGTTGCTTCTAAACTGTCCCCTAATAAGACTGGAGTTGGGGTCGGCGGGAAATTGGGTCAGTCTTGGCTAATTCGAATTTAGTAAGGGAAGGGAATAGCAACGATTCTCAGGGGACAAATGCTTCGATGACTAATTTGCCCGCGAAGTCAAACATACTCTATAGTAACCCCCACTTCGGGGACCTAGTAGGAGTATCACAACCGTTGATGTGACGTGGAGATCCGCACAAAACGGGCGCTGGGGCGTTTCGGCGTCGGCGTGTTTCGCAGGGGGAGTTCCAAGATGTCTTGAACGCCACGGCGGAGCCAACGTGGACTGGATGGGCGCAGGAGAGCTTGGGGATCCGAGCTGTTTTGCCACGCTGAATCTTTCGAAAGTTTGGCACGCTGTTTGCCACTCAGCAGGCAGTTAATCTTTCTGGTGCTCAGGGAATGGTACATGGAATGACCCCTATAATGGTTTCCTTTTAACTGAGTCCCTGGGTTCATTCACACATTCCCTACTGAGCACCCGCGAGTACTGTTGGACCTTGTTTACTGTGGGGGCCCCTGACCAGTGAAAACAGCGCTCGGGGATCCTGAATAAGGGTCGGGCAGGGAGCTTAGATGACTGAAGTGTTGCTTTAGTATTGCCGTTTCCTAGCCTTGTATTGCCAGCACTTCCTGTTGCATTGCCACTACTGAGTTTAGTGTTGCCAGAACCTAGATATTCCCTAGTCTAAATTTAGCATTTAGTATTGCCAAGATTTACTCTCAGATTCCCAGTGGTGCCTTCGGTATTGCCTAGTCTAAGCTTAGTATTTCCACCCAACAAAAACTTGACATTGAAGACCCCCAAACAGTAAACAGGATCACTGGCTCCCGTGGGCACTCCCCTTTGTGCGACCGTTTGTGCTTGTGTGTTTTCATTATAAAGAAGATATCTTAAATTTGATGGTTTAGGGACCACTTTCAAAATGGATTTCCCAGCTCTAAGGCCTTTACCTCTTGAGCTGGGAAGAGCTTGGTTTGGTGAACCACCCTTTAAAAGTGACAAACCAAAGCTTTAAGTTTGGAGTTTCGGTAAACCCCTCAGAAAGTTGGACATAAAAGCGACCCCCACAACAGTTGCTTGTGGGCAACCCCCTTTGTGTGACTGCTTGCCCCTACTTTTGTGCAAAGAAGTTATCTTAAATTTGATGGTTTAGGATGGTTTAGGGACCACTTCAATAAAGGAATTCCTAATGTTTGCCCGTTGTTTTGGCCCGCTTGTTTGGCCCGTGTTTTTTTGTTCTCCGGCAAACAACTTGACATAAATCATGGTCCCGCAAAAGTGGGGGGCCGGTTTAAAGCCGAGGAAGCATAACATAGTTCAGGCTACCGATATTGTGCGACATTAGGTCTTCAGGGCGCAATGCCCACACACCCCCGTGGGGGGGTTGCAAACCCTTTTTCAACTTTGTTTTGCAGGGCCTTCCCTTTAAAACCAGCTACCCAACAAGAAGGTGCCGATCCTTTTTTCCCGTGCAAATCTGGCATGTTTTAGTGCCACAAGTTTGTGGACTTGGGGCAATCCACTCCTTGAGCTGTTCAAGGTCCCCAGAGTGAACCTTCCAAGGCCTCAGTGACTAAGCAGACTTCGGAGCCTTCATTTGAAGGGACCGAGAGGGATCTCCATCTCAATTTTTTGGTTGCCTCATTTCAAGTACGTTTTTGAGAATAGGTTTTGGTTGCCTCAGTTCAACTGCGTTTTTGAGAATAGGTTTTGGTTGCCTCATTTCAACTGCGTTTTTGAGAATAGGTTTTGGTTGCCTCATTTCAAGTGCGTTTTTGAGAATAGGTTTTGGTTGCCTCATTTCAAGTACGTTTTTGAGAATAGGTTTTGGTTGCCTCATTTCAAATACGTTTTTGAGAATAGGTGTTGGTTGCCTCATTTTGAGTGCGTTTTTGAGAGTAGGTTTTGGTTGCCTCATTTCAACTGCGTTTTTGAGAATAGGTGTTGGTTGCCTCATTTCAAGTTCCTTTTTGAGAATCCGTGGAACTACCCAGCAGCAGCGGGTCCCACCCACCCCCGGTTTTGGAGGACACGGTCACGAATTGGATGGAGCTCCGGCAGGATGTGAAGCTGGAATCCAAGGACCGGACGAGATGAATTGGTTGCAAACTGGACATCCCCAAATGGACCCCTACCATTTCGTGGGTCTCCTTTTTGGCTTTCTCTTTGAACACCCAAAAAAGTCGGCACAGGCCTCCATTGGTTCCCCCAAAACCGCTTTAACTTTGGACCCGAATCCGAGGTGTGAGGGTGGGTGGTTCAAAGAAATCATCTGTTTGAGGGCCCCTTGGATGCGGGTGAGAACCAGCAAGACTCAACTCGAGCAGATCAAATCCGAAGCAGAACCCAGCCTCCTTTGGCCTATGACCAAACTTCAAGAATCGACGATCGGTGAACAGCCTTCTTTTGTCTGTTTTTTGTCCGCCCTCAGCATCCAACGGGCCCTCCAAACGGCCCTTGAAATGAGGTCCAAAACCTCCCAATGGAGGTCCTAATCCCTTCAACGGAGGGTCCAATGATGCTTTGGCGGGGCGTATTGCTTGCAGCAACCTTGAGAAACATGCATGCGAACAATGTCTCGTTGTCCATTTGTTTAGGTGATGTTCTGCCTACCTGGCCCTGTAAGGAAACCTCCAATGGAAGGCGTTGGACCTCGTTTCAAAGGGCTTCTTTGAGAGCCCGGTCCGATGCTTCGGGTGGGCGAAACCCTCAGTCTTGCGAATCATGCGTCGCGACCCACACGCCCTTGCATGGCACCCTTTGCATTCCCATCCCTTGTCTCTCTTTAAATGTGTGTGTGTGTGTGTGAGTGTGTGTGTGTGTCAAAATAGGGGACCCCCAGAATGGGTGGCTTTCCTTTCATGGTTTTCCTTTCAACCAGCCTGAAAAGGGTATCCTTTACACTTCACCACCCCGTGAGCCCCCGATGGATGGCTGCCCTTGCGTCGGGTTTGTCCGCCGGCAGATGGGGTCACCTTTCCTCAAAAACAACCCGATGGCTGCCATGGCTGCCCTTGAAAAAAGACGCCTCATAAGTGTCATGAGACAGTCACACATTTGTAGGGGCAACCGAAATGGGCAGGCATTTTGAACAGCCAATACGTGTTGAAGTATTTTCAACCGCTCAATTCCAGCTTATGACTTGCTGGTTTGGTCCATGGATGCCATTCCCAAGTGCCCGCAGTACTCTTCTAACTTGTCCTTCTTCCCGATTCTTCTTTCCAGAAAGCCACCATCACAAAGCAGGCTGACTTACAGAACGATGGTTGAAGCTGATGGCAAAGGAATCAACCCCTAGCGCCATGTAGCGCCGCAGAAACCCTAGTACCAGCTGGGCTCCAAAGTCTTGTATGTGGGATAGACTACGAGTGGAACAGCATTCCAGGTTCACTTCGGTTCTACAACCAAAACCAAAGCCCCCAGCTTGGAGGTCCGATTGTCTCGCTCGAGTTTGGTTTGGGCTTTATCCGTTTTGGACCATGTTAGAGGTAAACCCTAAGATTTTGACTGAAGCTTTGTGGATATCCTGAGAAGGCCCTTTTCAAGGTCCGAAACCTTCCAATAACCCCTCAGTGGAGGGTCCAATGATGCTGAGGGAAACAACAGTTCCTGGACTCTTTCTGGTACACTCCCTGGAATCAAACAGGAAGCTCCGAAGCTGATATTTTCTATATTTTTAGCAGGAAAATCGGGAACGGAACCCAGTGACCTGGTGGAATTTCTGTATGTTTTGAGCATAGTGGGGAATGAGTTGGGGAATGGGCCGTGGATCCAATTGAAGGAAACCAACATTTGGGTGGTACCTCTTTGTTGTGGTCTTAAAGGGAAACCAAATAAATGGAAAACCACACATATTGGGACACCGATTTCATGGCTCAGTGTGGGGTCATTCTCATTCCCTACTGACAACCAGTTGGGCCTTAAGTGGCAGTTTTATGTGTCAAAATCGGAGCCCCCTAAGAACCTTCCTTGTAGTTTTCCCTTCAACCCAACCTGAAACGGTACCCTTACAAGAAGACACTATTGGTTTCCTCTAGGTTTCCTTCCGTTTTTCTCAAAACTAAACCACCCCTAACTCTATTAAAACACTCAAAGCATGCAAGTTTGAGGAGACCATCCCTTGGTATTCCCAGCCCCGTCTCCCAGGGCACCACCTCCCCCCCGGCAAACTCAGGCCAAAAACAAGTTACATGCTTTTGGATAATCCTAACATAGAAGCCCCAGGGAGTGCAAGACACTTGGCCCCCAGACAGTCGCACGTAGGGCCTTCTGGCGGCGCTCTGCTCCGCCGCGGCCTCCTCCGGCGTCTTCCTGCTGCTGCTGGCGCGGCCCCGGAGTCATCGGAGCCGGATCGCCTGTCCCATATGACCTTCAACCTTTTTACCAGAAACCATCGTTAAATCGCAATTTGTATATACACCACCTAAGACATCAACTGTGTTTTGTTTCTCGGACAAAATGGGGGCATTGCCCGCAAAAAAAGGGGGGATGGTCCATTTTTGGGGGGCATGGAGACTCCGGGTAACCCTTTTTTGTGGCAGTAAAGTGGGAGTAAAACGGGTCTGGCTACAAAAACAGACCCTTTCCCTGGCCAGGGAACAAGTAACGGAACTGAACCGTTCTGGTCGTTTTAGGACGCGGACTCCCCGTCCAGTTCATCCCATCGGGGATTCCCTATGATAACCAGCAAGTTAAAGGCCACTTTCGGGTGGTTCATGTGAATGGTACCTGGAGTGACCCGAGTCAATGGGGTGCCCTAAGCATGGGTTCTGAATAAGGCGATTCCGCTTCGAGGTAAACCTTCCAATGGAAAAATTGAGGTCCTAACCCCTTCAATGGAGGGTCCGGGTCATTACACAAAAAGAAGGGTGGCAGCTCATTTTTGTGTCGGGTTGCTGGTTCAGTTAAATATGGTTGCCAGAAACAGACATCCAGCATATGTTTAGTGCCCTCCAATGAAGGGCACTTGCTGTGTTTTTGAATCGAGGGCACTTAAGGCCGTGTCGGTGGTGACCCTTTGATTCGTTTGCTAAGTGCCCTTTTTGGCTTGATAGGGGTTGGGATTCTGTTGAAATCGAACACCTACCCGCGTCGATTTGTGACAAATGCCACATTTGATTTGGGCCGACCCGGAATGGCCCGACGTTTTGAGTGTCAAAGCGTGTCATTTGAGTGTCTGTGAGGGTGCGAATCGAGGACACTTACCCCTTAAAAGGTCACTTACGCTAGTGTAGGTCCCGATTGCGGGAGTGTCATTCGCGTGTCGCTGCGGCTCGATTTGCCCGGACTGAGGAGGGATCTGCTGGGAGGGCAACCCTGAGGGTCTAAGTGCCCTTTAAATGGCTTCAGTGACCTCTTTGATTTCGGACTAAGTGACCTTATTTTCAACATGGATCACAGCACCCAAAAAATGAATCGAGAGCACTGAAAAGAAGCTAGATATTAAGTTATGTTTGTTTGGTCGGGAGCAGAACCTTGGGTCCGGTGTCTCGTGTTGAGGGCTCCCCATTTTTTGGGTTGGTGGTGTCTGTTTGCTGCCGGTTGAGCGAGCCAGGCCCTCAACAAACAAATGTGCACTGGGAAACCCCATTCCCCGCCTCAACGTATGGCAATTTCGCTTGGGCCAATCACGGTTTTCACGCTTGGAGATGGATGTTCTGTTCTTGTGGTCATCAGCCAGGCTGTGACATCCATGTTTCGCCCTTTGGGTGTTCCTCCCAACGAAACCAACAGAATGCGGTTCTGAGTCTGGCAAAGCTTAAAGTACTGATGTTTCACGTGGAACGCAAAGTGGGGAAGTGATTTGGGGCATGAAAGAAACTCCCCTATGAAGGATTGCACGAAAAGCCAAGAACCACAAAGAGTGGTAACCCTCCAGATGCTTGGTGTTCTTTTGGCTTTCCTTATGATGGAGTACGGATGTTTTGTGCACGACAACAACCATCATTTTGTGTTTTCATTCTATTCCTGGCCAAAAGTTGAAGTGTGCTTTGCAACTTGAAGCGAGAATCCTTTTGCTTGTTTTGACGGCGCCCTTCTGTTTGGCTCATGTTAAAGTTGAAAACAATAGGGACACCTTGGCGCCCATTTTCTGGAGACCCTTTTGAGACACACCCATTCGGATGTTCACCCAAGCTCAGGTAAGTAGGCTACAGCCATGGCTATAGTTCGGGTAACTGGAGTTCTCCTTACCATGGCTAATACTGATTAAGTGGGTCGACACTCATCCCACCTCACTCCAGGCCTACTTTCCAGAGAGTTAGACGGGTTCCAGTACTATGGAAGCTCTTGTTAGAATTAGTTTCCCGTACCTACGTGGTCTCCAGGCCTACTTCCCGAGCTAGCTCATTCAGCTCCAATAAGTTCTTAGTATAGTTACAACCATGGTTATGACCTACTGACCTAAACAGTGGTCGAACATCCACGCTGTCTCCAGGCCCACTTCCCAGAGAGCTGTACTACAAAAGTCCTTCTTCACCAGGCTCCAGCACTTCCCCTAGCTCAATCAGTTCTCTCCAGGCCTACTTCCCAGTTCACATCATCGTCCACGGGGTGGTCTTGGGCGCCCCGGCGGCTCTGCTCGCCGTGGGCGCCGCCGCCCTCTCCGGGGCCGCCGAGGTGGTGGGCATCGAGGCGCGTGAGCACCGGGCGCAGCGGGGTTGCACCGAGCGCTTCCCTTGGAAACGAGTATCTGACTAGGGTTTATGGCTGGGTAGTGGGGAAATGTGTCTTTTCGGGACTTGGGTTTCTGGCTGGGATGGGTGGATGGGTGGGTGCCCCGAACTGAGATCTTGAATATCTCAGTTCGGGGCACCCACCGATTCATCCATCTAGCCATAAACCCAAGTCCCGAAAACGCCCATTTCCCCACTACCCAGCCATAAACCCTAGTCTCAAGAACTGACCCATTCCAAATGGAGTGGTTGCTCGGTTCCGAAATGTGGCTCACTTTCTGAGTTCCAGTTCCTGAACTTTATACTTTTGCCAGCGTACCCCCCGCAAGAGGTGCCGGATTTGAGTGGCGAAGAAACAGTTGGGTTAGTCTTTTTGGCAGATCCATCCCCTCAGGAAGCGAGATATGCGTGATTTCCCTGTGTTGGTTTTCAAGGGAACATATTTGGACGGACATATTGTCATTTATCCAGGGGCCTTAAGCATATTTTTGTAGTTGCCCCTTGTTTTCCAGTTTGTTCAAGGAAACCCATAAGGAAATCCACCGTTTTTGTGATGTTCCCCAAAAAAAAGACACGCCCACCTGGTGTCCATTTGGTGTCCCTTTGAAAGACCAAGTAGGTCACCAATTATTTCGGATTGTTTCCAAATAGGAATCGGAACCCTCAAAAATGGGATGTTTCCGTCTCTCCCGAACCGACCGGATCTGACCTGTTGGTTCCCAAGCTTGGTCTCTTAGTCAAGGTCCCAAAAGGTTTTCCAGCTCCTTTGGGGTGAACAGACAGGCCCCGATGCGAACATGAAGCATGACGGGTTGGCACAGGGTTCCGGGCATCAAGCCACAAGTCGGACCTTGTCAGAGCTCCGAGCTTTTGGACGCACCAGCGGTGAGTTGTTCTCATTCACATGCAAGCTCATGAGAGTTGACTGACCTTCTTTGTCTTGACTGTTATTGGGTTGGATCTTTAGACTTTAACAAAGGCGTTTTCCACTAAACCCTCAAAAAGTTAAACTTTTTGCAGGGGGGTCAACAGCGACCAAGTTGTCAGTTTGCCCTTTTTGGGGTTTCCGTCATGGTCCATGTATCAACGTGTCTCTGCATGTGTTTGGCGGCTGGGTCTCCGAAGGATTCAGGTACCCGGAGTCTTCAATGACCTGACTGACCCCGTGTTTAAGGGTCAGGAGGAGACAAATTACAAAGGTTTGTCTTAGAATGGGGACCACCCCCCAAAAGAATGGCGGTGTCCTTTTCGGTTTTCTTTGAAACCATCCAAGTAGGGTACTCTTACAACATCTGAATTTGCACCCCTCGGGGGTCTGGTCAAGAACCATGGCCTGAAGGACTCACGGAAACCTTTTGGGGAGTCGGTTTGGTTCTTTTTGAACTTCTCGCTCGCGTGCGAGCCGAAGCGTTCCGCGCTCGCGTTGGCGAGACGCGGCTGGGGTGGCCCTTCATGATGCTGGGCGACTTTGGCGGAGGGAAGTCAGAAGGTTCCGACAAGGTTCCAGTCTCTGAATTTCCTCTTTTTGTTTGAATGGAGAGTCCTTGAAGTGGAAGTCTAAAGGAGTACCACTAACTGGGAGGTTCCCCTTATTTCGAGACAGGGCCCGTTTTGGTACCAGTGGCATTGGAATCCACCGGGTTTTTGAAGGCTTTTCGGAGTGTATTTTTAGGTGACAAGTAAGTAAGTGGTTAGCTACTTGGGGAACCCCCTTTCAAAAAGGTAAACCCCCTATGAACGGAAAGCTCAAAAGTGAGTTACAACCCATATAGGTTCCCAGCAACTTACTTCATTGGTTGAGCACCCCAAGTACTCCTTGCAGGTAATCCGTAGTGCCCAGCGGCTTGAAGGACCCGCGAAAATGGGGGGGGGTTCTGGGGATCTGAAGATCGATAGTTAATTGCTGTCATCTACAGTAGGGGATGACGTGGTTTTGCACACGAGCCCGAAATACGATTGAATGGTGTGTCTTTTTTTAGGGTCCCAAAATGGTGTTAAAACCCACCACAATAAGGTACCCTCAAAAGAAGACACCACACCCAGATGGGATTACTCACTAAGTTCCCATGGGGACACAATATTTTTTTGACGGCTCAAGTCGGAACAGGGATTGGAAGAGTGTCTCGTTGGCTTCTTTTAAGGCCACCATTTTGGAGCAACGGCCCCGTTTGGGTCAACCTTTGATTGGGCAATCGATTGTTCTGTGATTTTCAACATCGTCGGGTTGCGTTTTTTGAAGTGAGCTTTCTTTTGATAGTTTTAACCGATAAACTTCGGGAAATGTTGAAAACGGGGCCCTGAAGGCGGCAAGGACTGCTTGGCTCCTTGGGTTCCCCGACTAAGTTTGGGGCGCTCCCTAAGCCAAACTTGAGGCCAAAGCAGACGGCACGCTGAAACACGGTCCAACGCGCTCTCAGCCATGATGCAAGTGGAATTCCTTGTTGTCGGTTGGGGAGTAGTAGTTTGCCCAGGCATCACTGATGTTTCTGACGGTGAAATCGGATTTCTGGTGGGGCAAAACAGAACAAACAGAAAGGAGAGGCGCAAGGATTCCCTTAGAACGAGGCTGTCCTTTGCGCGCCTCCACCGAGGTTTGGCAGGCTTCATGCTCACCACTTTTGCCTGGCAGTACCTCGCAAAAATCGCTAAGGCTCTTCGATAGTCAACCAGCTTAGTAAGTACGCGATACCCATGGTCATAACTTGGGTACCATAGTTAGTCCCCTTCTAACTGTGGTTATAAGTTATAATCCACTTGCTGAGTCGGTTGAACATCCGAATCGCTTGCAACGTTTGTGGAACAGCTTCCGGCAGCCACTAAACGTGGGGTTATGTACCCAACCTTAGTCTGTTATGGCCCATGTTTGAAGGGTCATGGAGACTTTAGGCGGAGACAAACCATGACGCCAACCATCAAGTCTCAAGGGATTCCAGCCAACCCGATTCAATGCCCTGTATATAAAGGGAATCCAAACGAGGTCCTTCCATTTGCTTCATATCATTTGTTCCCTCCCTCTTTTTTGTGTTCCGGGGGTCTTGAGCAAGTGGAAGAATCGTTTGATTAGCGTTGGCCCAGCCAGCGAAGCCGTTCTTCTGATTGATTGCTGCCATCTTGGGATCAAGCTCAAACAACCCAACTTGGTTGCTCCTTTTGGCTGAAACTGTCGGGTGCAAAGTCTTTTCAGCGATGTTTCCCTTCCATGTACCTTGCTGAAATTCTCCTGGAACCCTAATGAACGGGGTCCCAACCCGCTATTTGGGTTCCTTCTGAAGAAACAAAAAATAACGAGCGAACGGGAGCAACATGCCAACTTGGATCAGTTCCGGAACTGAATTCTCTGGTTTGCTCTAAGATCATGGGTGTGCATCTGTCTGAGGACCCCCCAAGACTGGTGGTTTGTTCTTTCCCGTTTCCCTTTTAAACCATCCCCCAAAACATGGTAGCCTCGAAAAAGGATTCACCCGCCTTAGGGCGTTAGAATCGTTGGGGGCACCAGGTGATGTTATGTGAAGCAACTGAACAGTGCCAATCTGAGAATCGAATGGAGAACATGTTGCCAGGGACCGTGAAAGATTGACGTAACCGCACAGATTTTGCGATTTTGCACAAGTGTCTAGCGTGTTCTTTTGGAAGTTCTGGCCATAATCAAGAGTGCCCTCAGAACTGTCCCTCAAAAAGGCAACACCTGTTGTATAAGGTCCAGAACCAAAGCCGATCCCTCAAAGCCCCTTAAATGGTTCCTGGACTTCTGGCCAATCCATTCAAGAAGTATTTCATTCATCCCAGAGACACGCCGAAGTTATCAAACTAGCAGTGCCCTAAGCATCTTGGACCCTCAAAAGGCCCTTTTTGAGGTCCAATCCCTCCAACAGAGGTCCGTCCCAACCATTTCAATGGAGGGAAGGAAGTTGCTGGTTCTCAGTTTTGTTTTTTCTCCAACAACTGAAAGCTTTGGGGTCTCAGCCCAGATAGGCTCCGGAGTGGTCCGGGGCGGCCCTGAGGTAAGGTTCACGAGGGTTCCACCAGGATTCCACTAGGGTTCCACCAGGGTTCCACTAGGGTTCCACCAGGATTCCACCAGGGTTCCACCAGGGTTCCACCAGGGTTCCACCAGGGTTCTACCAGGGTTCCACCAGGTTGCACGAGGTTCTGCGAGGGCTGCGGGTTTTTTTTGCTCGCACCGCATGCTGTTGGGGATATCACCTGAGCTTATTTTCAATCATCCCGATCTTCACTCCAGGCCCATCCAAGGATTTGCTTGGGGTCCTTGTTTGGGGTCTGCGTTTTTTGGGGCGGTTTCCCCGTGCTGTGGGCCACGAGCTCTGACTCGAGGTACCTCCAGCTGGCCATCGCGGTGCTCCGCTGCTCCGCCGCCTTCATCCGTGCCAGGCCGTCATCAGAAGTGGAAGATACAAATGTGGCAGGGGGTTCAGGTTATCACCATTTGTGTTACGTAACCCCGGATTAATAAACCCCTGGTTGATGAATAGGGGGGTGTCCCCTTTCAGTGGGGATTTATGTCTTTTGGAGGGAACACCCCCCCCCAATAATGGGACGGGTTTGTTAATCCTGGGTCAACATTAAAACCATGGTTGGGTGCCCCAATTTTGGAGGTTCCCCAATTTTGAGACAAACACGACCCCGGGGTTCAAACGTGAAGATCATGGGAGTTCATATTTCACCACCATAGTGTAGCTTCCGGATTGTCATCATCCGAATTGGGTCCTTGCCATTCTTTTAATGGGGGCAAGGAACCCTAGGATAATGTTACAGGGGGTCCCTCGATTGTCCTTTTCTTGGCCTTCCAAAAATGCGGCAGTTTCTGGCAAGCACCAGTAAATTGAGCAACTTTTGAATGGGAAATCCAATGACTCCTGAATTGGTTGTATGATGTTTAATGGAATTTGAGGTGCCCACATGGATTCGCATTTTTCCCTCGATCCCTGAACTCGCGGGCGTTGTTAGTACTTGTTGGGTTTGGACCATGGTGGCAAGCAAGCGTTTGGACTTGTTAGCCGTGGAAGTGAGCCCCGGATTGAACCACCTGGCAGACTTGTACGGGGTTCACCCGAGAAGCGACGGGGGGGGAGCTCCTCTCAAAGCAAACTCCCCGGATCAAACTCATCGACTTGGACCTTCCGGGTGCGTCCTTTGACCACTGGGGGTCGCTTGCTTAGTTCCTCACATGTTGGCCCATGTTGGACCAAATCTTTGGCCTTTTGGCCCCATTTCCCAATCTTCGATTTGTCCAGATGAACCTGGGGAGCTCGAAGTAGCTGTTAGAACCGCTGGTGCCAGACAACGGAATGTGTTTGTTGCCATAGGCGCCATTCGTCTCGAACCTGGGATCTCTGATTTCGCGGATTTTTCGCGAGCCAGAGGCTTGTTTTTGCACGTTTGAGTTGTGGTTGGTGGAAGGGGGCTTGATTATATAAGCATAATCCCCAATCCCCATAATCCGTTTTGTTGGCCTCGAATTTGACGCTAACGGCACGGGACAAGTCGGAATCGTTGGGGGTTCGGTAGAACATGTAGTGAGTCCCTCGTGCTAACCCCCCGAATTGACCAGTGACCATGCACTGGATACGTCTACCAAGTTGGCTGTTTGAAGCCTCAGCCCTGAGCGTCGCAAGGGAGATTTGGGTGCCCCATATGTCCCCTTCAACCAGCGCCCCACCGAAATTTACTCGAAAGATCGGCCTTTCCGAAAGGTCTCTGCAAATTGCTGCAACTTGAAGCCCCTTTTTTTTGATTTGCTCCTCTCAGACAGGGCCTTTTAACACGTTTCGTGCCAGTGAGAGGCCACCTGTACCAACCGATTGATAGGGGATGGTTTTTGGTGAAGCAGTTTGAGTGGATCCCAGGTACTTGTTGTGTGGGTAACCAGCAATTTCCCTTTTGGTCTGTAAAGGGTGGTTCGCTTGGTTACCTATAGGTAAATGGATCTGGGAGTTGGATTGCAGGAACTCTGCTGGCAGATGGCGGTTTTATGCCGCAAGCTCGAGGCCCCTGAAGGTTAGTAGGGGATCCTCCAGTTCATTCCCCAACCCCCAATGCTTCCAGGCAGGCCGTGGTGACCAAAAGGCCCTAGGGTCCCAGGACCTTATTTGAGGTATTTGGGGTTCAAAGGCCTTGATATGGCTGTGGGTCAAAAATAGGAAAAATGGCACCCTGAAACCTGTGGTCCTTCTTGGGCTCCTAGGGGGGAATCATGTAAAATCTCAGAAACCCGAAGCGCTGCCGTAGCTGAACCGGGCACCCCCCAAACCCGAACGGGTCCGACCTCGAAGCGAGGCCCAAGATCGGGGGATTTCCGCTGCTCTTCGGGATAGTGCACTTGGCGGGGCTGGCGCTTTGGGCTTGCGCCGTGCTGGGCGTGCGCCCTTCGGCTTGGCTTCGGCGTGGTTGGCATGAGCCGGATTCCTGGTTTATCCTGGTTTCACCCACTTGCCCAAGGCCGACCTTTTGAACGTTTCCTTCCTCTTTTGGTCCATTTTTAGTCATGGCACAAAAAGGATAACCTTTCATCTTTGAAGGTTCTCTGGGCAAATGAGTTCAGGTTGGTTTGTGTCGGTGGGAACTGTCAGCTGCCAATCTAAGCAACAACCTAGGGGAGAGCGGGAGCCGTTTTTCTCACTCCCTGAGTTCCTTTTGGGAAGACCATGTTAGTGGCAAAGACATAGTTTGTACTTTTATTTCTTTGGACGGGTGCTCCCTTGAATCACAAACAAAAGGTACCCCTTTTCCCCTCGCTCGTCGTAAACCTTCCTCTCCGCTGAGTCAAATCCTAATACCCAGCCATCGGGGCCTTTGGTAATGGAATCCTCGCGGCAACGGAGAGATGCTGAAACCATTGGGTTCAAAGTTTGGACCACTCTGGAACACACACACACACAGACACAGACACACACACACAGACCCACACAGACACAGCCATAGAGAGAGAGAGAGAGAGTGAGTGAGACGGGGAGCCACACGGACACACGACAGGGAAACACACGGACACAGACCAGAGACACGAACACCACAAGCACAGACACCACAGACACAGACACCAGACACAGACACCGACACAGACAACACACACACACACACACCCATGAGTTGTTCACTGTTCTTTGCACGTTGTTTTAGATTTTTGTCCTTTTGGTTGTGTTCATTGTGAGTTGGGGGCTGCAACAAAGCACAGCCAATATCATCCATTTTGGGAAGTGCCAAGGGGTGCACTCCTTAGACTGGCGGGTAGGTGCTCTGGGTTTATCTCCCAAAGCTTGGTTCCAGACATGTGACATGGACCAATGGATTTCAGTGTTTGGGTTCCCCACAAAGAATGGTCATCAAGAAGAGTTGGGCCCCCTTTTCCTACAGACTCATGGGTCACCACAAAAGGAGACAGCTATGAATTCCATACTCACAAACATGGTGGGTGGATATATATCCCATGAAGCATGCCCATCAAAGGATCCCCTGAGTAAATGCACAGCCACATGCTTCCTCGTCTTTTCGTCAGTCCGACATCTCAGGCATTGCCTTGGACGCAGAGACGAATAAGGACAGGTTGGCCGTGGCCGTATGCCGTACGACCAAATCTGAACTTGGGTGAATGCTCATCCTATGTAAAGGCTTGAACCCTCAAACTACCCAGAGAAAAAGGGAATGCATCCCATGATTTTGGGCAATCACCAATTGTTAGGGGAGTTTGGAGGGTACCGGGGGAAATTTGATCAACTCCCTCACATCTAAACCTCTCAAGTCCCGCACATGACCGACAAAAATGGCCATGCGGCCATGCTGGGAGGGGGGGGAGCGACTGGAAAAAAGCCTGCCGTACGGGGTACCAGGGTGTTGAAGCTACTTGCGTCTTCAAGAGTTCATGGCAAAGAACCCAAAGGGTTCTTGCATCTGCACCTATTGGCAGGGGATCGCCCCCTAAGCTTGAAGAACACAGGTTTGGATGGCTCGCTTAGTTTCTCGATCAACCTTCTTTTGCCCAAAGGCTTGCGGGCCGGGGCCGCCATAGTTTCTGGGTCTTTTGTGTTTTTTCTGGTTACCTGCTATAGTGCTTTTGCCCAATGAAGCGTTGATCCGATATCCCGACCGGCACTTTTCGAAAGTGGCCTCTGGTTTAGCAGGGAAACCATTTTCTAGCCCATGATTAGCCAACGCAACCCAAAGAATCAAATTCAATCACTGGACATCTCAGGCTGAGCTGTCAAAATTGTTATGTCTTTTGGACAACCACTACAAAGCGGGCCAAATCCTCGGGAAACCCAAGAATTACGCATCTTTTGAAATGCCTTTGAAAGCCCAGCCGGGTACTCTCCGTGCAGGAACTAGGGTAGACCAAACCAAAGAAAGCCAAAGCAATCTGACCACCAATTTCCAGGCACTTTGGGCAAGGAAAATGGGCTGACAAGTGAAACCACCTTTCTACCCGGAGCAGTGTCCGATGAAGCCACTGGAGGGATGACCATTCCCAAGAAGATGCTTGACATTGGAAAAAATACCCATGGAAAAACCTGTGCCAGCAATATTGATGCATGCAAATTCTTTGGACCCCCCGCGGCAGGTAGTTACCCTACCCATGGCCCATGGAGGCTCCAGGAACATTGATCAAATTTTGGTGGCCATTTTGGCAGATAGGACTGGAACCAACAGCTGGGCATTGCCTGCGCCATGCTTCTCTGCTTCCTCTGGGGCAGCGCCTTTGTCACAGGCCGAGAGATGTCGATTCGATTTCGAAGTCGCTTCGTTTGGAGCGAGGGTTTTGAGGTGAGACCCGCACCTTGGGCTTCCTCTTGAAACCTTGGCCTGTCTTTTTTTGGGTCCCCAACATGGGGGAAGCCACGGCCGCAACCACAAGGAGCTTTGGCCATGGCAGAAGAAAGGGGTGTCTTGTTATTGTTTGGAATCGAACCCCCAAATTGGCGGTTTTCCTCGTGGTTTCCCTGGTGGGTTTCCCTTTGAAACCCATCCCAAAAGCCTAAACGAATGCACCATATTGAGATTGGGTCAAAGGAACCAGAAGCAATTACCGTCATGTTGGATCCCCTGTGGATATCAAGGCTTCCTTGGCACGCAGCCGCGTGAATACTGGCAACAAAAAAGGGAAATACACAAACAAGCCCAGTCATTCACCGGATTCCAGCCTCCAAATCACATTTTGTTTGTGGATGTGCATGAAAATGAAACTGACAGAAATGGTTCCCCGTGCCAGCGTCACCAGGCGCTTGGGCCCCAATTGACCTCAATTCCTGGGGTGATGGTTGACTTGTTTTTTCAGAATGAATCCCGGACAACAAGAGAAGGGTTTCCAGTAGAAACGGATACAATGAAACTTGGGTTTCCCGTGAGATGAGTCAGGGTTTTCTTTTCTCTGGGATCAATAGATCAATTCAAGATATAGGTCCAGTTGTCTCAACTGAGTAATGCCCAACATTTATATGGGCCACGTTGGAGGGTGGTTCTACCTGGCTTCAAGCAGGTTATAGCAAGTGAGAGCCATACGCGCCTTTCAAATGGACTAACCCCTTCTTAGATATTCGTCCACTAAAATAGTAGCCTAGGTAGGTATTGCCCACTTGCAGAGCTGTTACGCGTGGGAGACTGAAGATTGTTGGTTCCCACTGAGGTGACTTGGCCGAACTCCCAGATGGTCCGCCGACTGCTTTCTGCCTAGATATACACCGAACCACAGTGCAAGGAAATGTAAGACTCCCACTATGACCTTCATTGACATGACTTTGCTGGCCAAGGTTCACTTACGGACCACAATCTAGACACATAACTTGGGAGGAAACACAAGGGACCCCCGAAGTTGAACCCCATGGGGTAGCCCATGGGCCGGTGCCGCTAGGGCTGTCAACCTTCACAGTGGCCTATGCCGCCAGCCACTGGTACGGCCGAGGCGGAAGTCGCAAGTCGCAAGTGACTAGTGACTCGTTCATGGCTACCCTGCAGCAGTTTTCGGGGAGGGTCGTGTTGGCCCCGTCTGCACGATTTCTAAAGCAATTGAGCAATCCCTAGAGTTGACTCGCGATGGTGAGTATTACTCCTTTTTTTCCCATGCCATTCGACGTTTAGTGACCTCAAGCTACTTCCTCACCCGACCCTGCGTGGGTGTTTCCAGGTACTTGCTTATGTGAGCTTCATCAGACAACCTCGGAAAGGTTAGTCAAGGCATATTCAGCCATAGGCTCAGTTGTCTGGACTTCTTGGTTTGAATCTTATGGGTGTAGAATAGACCAGTTGCCAGGTTTGTTTTTCGAGCTCGGGCTCGCGGGGGGGGGGGGGCTGGGTTCAAAACGCTCCTTTCTGGGCTGGTTTTCAAGGGCTTACTTCAAGGTGGACGGGTCAATAGTGATTCATGCCCGCTCTTTCCAGGGATGTTCAACCAACAACCACCTTGTTTTTGTCGCAAGGTGCGCCCCTCCTTCTTTAGTCAAGGGTTGACACACCAACAACAGAGCGGGCACACTCCTACAGATTACCTTACTCTAGGTGAAGTGATACGGGTGTGTCTTTTTCAAGGGCACCTTTTTTTGGGTGGTTTTGAATCCTCATGATGACACACAGGAACCTAGAGTATCAAAGGAAGTGTAGAAGGAACTTCCGTGTTACGGACACAAATTGAAGTGTGGTTCTGCGCAAAGATGAGATGAAGAAAGAATGAGCGCATGCGAGAAAACATGCGTGGGCGTGTGGCGGGGGAATGGACATCGTGAGAAGGAGTAACTCTGATCGGGGGTTGGCGTCTGAAAGTACCTCGGTCGCGACGCCTGGCTCAGAACGGACTCGGATCAGGGACGATGGGCACGGACGCGTGCACTTTTCCCGACTTGAGTCTGCGTGACAGGCGCAACTTCGGCAACCTGAGGTGCAGATTGTGTGGCAGCGTTGTTGGCGATCAGAGCTCGTGACAGTCGCGACACTTTGGCAGCCTGAGTTTTGGGTTTCGTGGCAGGTTCATCGCTTTTGCAGACTTAGGCGCTGATTGCGTGACAGGCGCAGCGCTTTGGCAATGCTGGCGCGGACGTGTCGCAAATCCCTTTGGCACGGACGTTCTTGGCCTCACTTGGGGAGATAAAAACAACATCACAGGACTCGTGGGGCACGCATCGGATTTCACCAAGAGTTTCAGTTTCTTTCATTAAGCAAATTTTCTTGTTTTCACCCGCTGAATGACAATAATTTCCCCAGAAACGCGGGCTTCGGCCAAGAGGACCCCTTCGCCAGAGACGGTCGAAAACCTGATGCGACTCAGAGTGACGATGGCCAAGTCCACTCTTGCGCAGGGCGTGGTTCAAATGTCTGAGGTCCAATCCGGGCGGGACCACAGGATTGAGCAGTGGTCCAAGCTTCGGCTGATCATCCTGGGAAATGTGCTGGCAAGCAGGAGTTCGAGTTCGTCATGTGCGGATTAATTGTATGTGCAGATAGTTTCCAAGAAACCCGTTGTTGATTAATAGGGGGTGTCCCCTTTTAGTGGGGCTCATCACTTTTGGAGGGAAAGCCCCTGCGCCCGTGTCCAGATTCAATCGTAACTAGCCTTTCTTTGGCGTCGTTTCTCCTTTTAACAAAAAATTCTTTTTTCTTGGCAGGAGCTCGAGTCTCGAGTCAGATCTTTTTGGCCAAGTGTTCACCAGACCCGCCCCCTTTCCACTTGAAAATGCCGCAAAGGCAAGATAGTTACCCATGTTTCCCCCAATGGCCATTGGGTAATTTGATAGCACTTCAATGCAAGGCATAGAAGCCACTAAAAGGACCTATGAGCCAGATAATGAGACACTTACCTGCCGTCATCCAAGCACCCAATCATCCCTACTTGGCGGCTTGGTAGAGAAAAGAGGTTCTATCCCTCTAATGGGGCCTTAGTAGGTTTTATAACTCCATTTGTCATGGCCAGACTCAACTAATTGGTTTGTTGTTTTATCCTTCTGGGTTTGCTTCATCTTCTCCTTTAGCCAGCAAAAGGCCAAGCTTTGCGGATCTAAGTTTCTCCAAGTCATAAGCAGCACAATTCGCATGGATGCTCCCTTGGCTGGCCTTCGGCGTGGCCGAATCACCCGGAGAATGGGTGTGGCTGAAAATTAGACAGCAGGGGTTACGCAGGTTTTGGTCCATGTTTCCACGTACCACGGTTCCATTGTGGTACCGGGTTTTTCAGTCACAGCCAAATGGCTTCTCCGTTAGACCGACGGCCCTAAGCATCATTGGACCCACCCACGACTCGACGCTCAGCCCAGCATCCAGGCCCCGCGGACGCCCAGCAGGGCGTATTGCCGGGCTTAAAGGTGGGCCTGCGCTACCATGCAGGCAGCTTCCGGTGGCGCAAGATGCGGTGTCTTCTGTGGCAGGGCCACATTCTGGCCGTTTGTTGTTGGTTGGGACATCTGTTGTCAGTCGTTTCTTGGAAGCCGACTTTCTTAGTTGTTCTGGGGGAACGTCACCTCGTTGTTTTAGGGTATCGTCCTTTGTTGCGTGTCTTTTGCGGACCTTTCAGGTTGTCCTGATAGTGATGTGCAATGCTTTCACTTTGAACGCGGCCTTAAGTTCTACTACCTGGTTCCATGTGGGTTATGGGGAGCGCTATATGTGTGACAAGGTTGGTTGTACAGTCAATGAGTTTAGGGCAGTTACGGTACGTGTCACGTGCTTTGCCCTAGTCACGGCGAGCTCGTCTTGGGTAAAATAAGCGTGGGCCGTCTCTGCCTAGAACTTCCCCAAATACGCCTTTATTGAGGTCCCAAACTCCTTTCTGATGCGTAGGGTAGACCGCCCCTTACTAAGGTGGCTTTGCAGGATTCCTTTCTTCCAGGCAGTCCCTTTGCATCAGAAAGGACCCTCATCTAAGTTTGGCCTCAAAACGAGGCCTTTGCGAGGCATCCACTAGATCGCATTTGCTTTAGGGCCCACGATGCGGGTTGGGGCCGACAGTGCCGCAACGTCGCAAGGCAGCATCGCCCTGGGTTCGCTCCTCTTGGCGCCTCGGCGCGGCATAGCCATTGTAGCAGGAAGTGAAGCCTAGATATATCACAGAGGCCTAAACAGAACCATTTTGATAGAACACACGGTCTATAACCAAGGTTCCTAGATTGGCGTTGCTGTTCGTTGGAGTCTCTTCCTTTGCGTGTGTTTTTGGTAGGATTCCCCCCGAAATGGGTTGCGTTCCTCTTGGTTTCTCTTTACCCTCGAAACGGGGGACCGAGCCTCAAGAAAGATACATGTCTTAACTTTTCGATGCGATGCGCCGGTGGAATAGGGGAGACCCACACATATGATTTTACCTCGGGGCCAAATATGGAAGGATGTTCAGCCAACTTAGTTTCTAGCCGAGGAAAGGGGGCGATCACCCAGTCGCCCAAGCTAGAACCTATACTTATGTCATGAGATTTTTTTTTACAGTGTGCCAAACAGTACCCACACGTGATAGATCTTATTTTTGCAACCTCCTATTCAAAGCCTGGCGCGTGAGGCTTTTGTGCGGACTCTGAAGATTATGCTCTGGTGGGCGCAAAAGGCTGGTACGGGCGAAAGTTTCTGTGCGTGTGCTTGTGTGTCTGGGCGGTTGTTGGAGGGCATCCTTGTTTGGTTGGTGTGAAGGGAAGCTAGCAGGAAAACCAACATATTTGGGCTCGGCGGATTTTGGGATCTCAGCAGTGGGAACTGCTCGATTGAGGAATCCTTGCACTTGACCCGTGGGTCCCTTTTCCAGTCATTTTCCTACAGGGAGTCTCCAGGACCCTTCAAACAATTGGATTTGCAGAACCCATTTTGGGCAATGACCCCATGTTTGAAGTTTGAAGGGTCATGAAAACTCCAGGCAGTAATTTTCCTACAGGCATTGCGGAGACTCAGATTGGCCAAGGAGGTCTTTGCAGCGAGCCTCAAGGGCACCCCCGGTTTGTGGTTTCAAACCGCCAAGATTTGCGACCCTTTCCTGGATGCTAGAATGACCCGTATAAACCACCCTTGTGGTTTCTCTTCATGGCGACCAAATCATGGGTTCATTCCCACATATTGCCGCATTCCCTACGTACTTATCGCACCTGCAAGAAAAGAACCCCTCAAGGGAACCCGAAAATTTTCGTTTCAACTTCGCCCAAAGCGGCGGCGCAGCGAAAAACCAGGCGGAGGAGGAGGCGGGGCAGGCAGCGCAGGGCGCAGTGCGCGCCGGCGTGCGCGGGGCCACGGGCATGCAGATGCCGCAGCAGCCAAGGCCAGCTTCCTCCACTTCCGATCTGGTTGGAACCTCCAGAAGTGGCAGGTTCAACGGAAGCCACCAGGTATAAATGCGACTTATTTGGGGAAATCCGGCGCCTGATTGATTCGAGTCGATTTTGGGAAGAAGCCCTTCAGTCCCATAGCCCTACAATGGGCGAGCCCAAAAGAAGGGATCACGGAAATCCAACCGACCCATGCCTGATTCGGGTCGTGGACACATGTTTATACAAAGCAACCAACAGCTCACTCTCTGAGATCATGGACTTTGAACTTTGAACTCTGTGGGAAGGCAATGCTTGGTGGCTCCCAGCCATCTCTTTAGCTGTTTAGTGTTTTTTAGCGTTTAGTGGGGTTTTCCATTTGACCCACTAAAAGTTAAACCTTTAGCGGGGGATCTGAGGACAGCTCAGACTTTTAGAGGCAACCACAAAGTTTGGACTTTTCTTGGGCAGTCCACTCCGGAAGTGGGACGGAAAGAAGAACCTCCCTGTTTTGTTCTGTTTGAAGTGGTCCCTTGATTTGAAACTTGATTCGCAAGTGCCATTTTCCCCGCCCCTGCCTTCCGGACCCATGCTCTTTGAGCAACCTGGTTGATTTACCCAAAAGGAAAGCAGACAGGGGATGAGTAAGTGGCATCCGGTTTTTCCGGATGCCCGACTGGCGCACCCTGATTTTGTTAAAGAAGCAAGTTGCACGTTAACAGGCGGCGGTTCATCTTTCGCCCTAAGCATCGAAAACGGGCCCTCCAAAAGGCATTTTTTTTGAGGTCCAACACTTTCCAGGGGAGGTCCCTTTGCGCCCTTCAACGGAGGGTTCGAACTCTGATGCTCGGGGATGTTCGCCCCGATTCCCCCCCTGAAAGCCTGTAACAGAGCGCCAGGCCGCCCAGCCTCCTCCGATCTGTACGGCACTTCGCCGCCGAGGCGAGACATTTGCCAAGCTGCCACATAGCGGCCATTCTCCACGACCCTTACATGGCTGAAATTTCTAAATTTTGGGTGGCCCAATTTTTTGAGCGGAGACTCCAGGGTAGAAGTTTGGTATTGAATTGGGTCCTTGAGTTCTCCTTTCCCAACTTATCCAAACTCTGGCTGGGTTTTGGAGATCAAGGCTCGGGGCTGTCGGGAGAGGATGTTGGAAGTCTGCCCACCAATCGACCGGATCTGATCTTTTGGCTTCCCGTTTTGGGTTGCCATATTTCGTCGGAGACACAAAAGGTGATCACCATTTGTTTCCAGATCCTTTGGGAAAATGAGCCTAGTGGCTTCCTGAGTATAGCCTTTTGCAAATTCTGGCGGGCTTCTCCAAGGGCTTTTCCTGGGCTCTAGGGATTTAACCCCCCAAGGTTCCAACCCCGCCCCATGCGCATGAACTTCGGGAACGGAGTCAACAGCTTACCATGTCAGACATGTTGCCAATCTCAAGTGACCACACCTTCCTCTTTCTTGTGGCATGGGGGTACATTGAACCACTTGACCCAGAACAAAAAAAAGGTTGGTAATATTGAGAGAGCAGAATCCCTGTGAGGGTACATTGCAAATTTCCCCGGACGGTGCCTCTTCTATTTCCATTCGGGTGGCTTTACACATCACTTCGGCAACCGCGAAAGGGCTAATCTACGGAACCTTGTTTCATCAAAAGGCCCAGGACATTTGGGGCCTCCAGGGACACGGCGTCTCGAGATGCATTTGTTTCTTGGGCTGCCTTGAATTTGATTGAAAGAAGTTGGCCTTTGGACCCGATGAGTCTAGGGGAAGTTTTCTTTGGACGCCACTGGTTTACCTGGAGTCTCCATGACCCCTTGCCGGAATTTCTACTGGTCATGAAGCATAGGTTAGTGGTGTTGGTAGAAAATAGATGGCCCTGGCTGACCGGTTTGTTTCAGAGATTCTGCTCGTACCAGGGCCATCCATTTGTCCAAACGCATTCCTTGCCCGGGAGCAAGGAACGACCACTTTGCTTGCATTTGTCTTCCAACCTCGCCCTTCTTAGCCCTCCCCGAGGCGCAAACCCAAAACCACCGAACGCGTTTCGCGTTTGAGTGGCGTTGGTTTCTCTTCAAAGAGCGTCAGCCAAGAAAGACCAACACAAAAAGCAAAACACATAGCACACACACACACTGACAAACACACTGCGCCTGTTAGGGGTGTGTAAAAAAAAACAAGGCACAAGAGACGCCTGGTGGTTGCTTTTGACCTGGTGATTCCTCCCAGCTTGCAAGTACCTGTATGTGTGGTTTGGATTGGTGGCTTGGGGGATTCCCACAGCGTCCAAACCACAAAGCCAAACCACCAATTGCCATGAAAGCCCAAAAAACCCGTAGGTTTCTCAGATTGTTTGGTTCCCGCGCAGAAAACCGAAACTCATATTCATAATATGAAGGGTCGGAGACCTTTGAACCTTGCTTGGGGGTTTCCAGGAACACAAAATTGGAGCTTTGAGAAGACGCAATTGAATTGGAATGTGTTTGGAACCAGCCCATTGATTCATGGAGACTCCATAACTCCAAACAGAAGCCATCGGTTTTTCCTCCAAAAAGCCCCCAGGGGGTTGGGGGGGTTGGGGGGGTTGGGGGGTTTGGGGTTTGGGGCCGGGGGGGGGGGGGGTTGGAGGGCGGTTTGCGGTTGTCAGGTCTTGGACGTGGTGGCCACCTGGGCTTCCAAACAGGCCTTCGTGCAGGTGGCGCTGAGTCTGGGATCCCAAGTCCTGGGATCAAAACACCCGGGGTGGACCTTTTTCCCATTTGGGAGAGGAGAACACCGATGGCACTTCGATTTTGGGAGCAGGATTCAATCCGCTAAAACCATGGGGGTTGACTCATGTTTCCTATTCGGGTGAATCGTTCTTTCGATGGGGGTTGAACCCTAGGGGTATGGAGCCTCCCGAATCAATGGGTGTCCGCTCGGAGCAAGAAAGAACCAACCCTGAAAAGGGCACCGGGCCTCAACCAAAAGCACGGCCATGTGGAATATGCGTGCAGTCTCCTCCTGACCCTTTGAAATTGAATTGCCCAGAATTGAAGGGTCAAGGAGTCAAGCAGCTCCAGGTATGTTTGATTTTCCCAGTCCCTAAACATGTTTGGCTTCTTTTTGGTTTCCCTCGAAAATAGTCAAAAGAGGGTCCTCTATTTAAACCGCCACATTGAGCATGGCGCAGGTTTCTCAGTTGCCCCGCAAACTGATGGTAGACAAACGGTTTGCCCGATTTTTTTTGTGTGTGTGTGTGTGTGTTTCAGCAAGTGACCGGACCCCTAATCGGCATTTGGGCACGGAGGTTCCCTTGCAAAGCAGGTTGCTTATGGATGTATGCTCCTCCAAACAAATCATGGAAAAAAGATGGTGTTGTTTTCAAGGAACCTCCTTCTTGGGTACCTCTTTTTTGGAACCCCCTTGGAGGAACCTCCTTCTTGAGTACCTCCTTTTTTGGGTGTCATGTTGATTTCCAGGGGGAGTGTCCCCTTTCAGCAACCTAAGAGGAAGCTGTTTTTGGCTGGCTTCGGTGGTGCCTAGGCGGCTGCCCCTTCGCCACCGGTGCCATGCGTGCGGCACGGCTTGGAGCCAAGGCGCCAGTAGGCGCATGCACCGCGCATGGGTTGGGAGAGGGAGGGGCAAATGGGTGGCTTCTTGGGTGTGTGGTTTGTCGTTGTCTTTATGAGGGTATCCTTTTCACCTTGGTTTAAAGGGAAGCCACAAGGAAACCACATTTTGGACATACCCTATTGGAAAAACCTCGCGGTTTTGCTTTATTGAGGCACCCAGAACCTTTTATCGTGACTCACTCCCCCAGTTCGAAGCCTTTTTTTTGTCGGTCTCGACCATTTGAGTGGCGCCAATCCATTCAGGAAGCAAGCTGATCCCCCATTCCATTCCCCCATCGTTAATAGAAACCAGCCATATTCCTGGCGTTTTGAGAATCTGACCAGCCAGCAGGCCAGCAGGGTTCGGTTGGGGTGACCCGGGATGTTCATCCATGTTTGGGAGGCGGGGGGGTTGGAGTGAGGGGAAGCGCCGGGGGTCAATGGTGGTTGTACATAGTGTTGACCCCAGATCTGAGTAGAACCCGTCCCAAACTTGTCTGAACCCCGCGAAAAGGGGACCACCCCCCCATCAATCAACCAGGCGTTTGTTAATCCGGAGCTCCCTTGTGAGCGTCAGGGGCCCACTTTAATAGTGGAATCGCCCTAAAGTTTTTAAGCAGTCCTGGTCCCCGGTATGGAAGTCTGATTTTTGCCCAGGAACATCTCACACCAAGGGTGCTACGTGTTTGTGTCTTCACTAGTTTTGGGGGCGGGGGGGATGGGAGGCATTGCATTTGGTCGTGTATCGAAAGCCCTAGTTTGACAGGCTTTATTAGATGATTATCCCACCGTTTTCCTCAACCTAAGGTTTTGAAGCAAGCTCGTGTTGCTCAAATCTTCCATGCAACGATGTCCCACGGGCGATTTCCGAGGAATTTGTGCGACAAGTGTTTGCCCAATGACTTTGCTGGCTTCCAGACTTCCAGCTCTAGTTTTCCCCGACGGGTGGTGTTGAGCAATCCCTCAAGCATTGAAGCCCCGTGAGCAAAATCCTGTGTGCATCAGGACTATTCCTGGCAGTTTAGTCGGGAGGTTCAGTAAACCCTACGTGTGAACCCCCGTGCATGAGGCTTCTTGAGGGATCAATCCCATCTGTCGAAACCAAAACCAAAGCTGGCGGACGAGCCAACTTTCCCCAAAAGAGCTCATATGTTGGCGGAGTTTTTTTTTGAGCATTGCTTGGCAAAGCGCATGGGCATCTCTACTGACTCCACTGGATTCACCATCCCTGAAAAAATAGGAGCAATGTTCAAGATATGTATAATCTACCGTAGTAAGGGACAAGTTGCACTTGGCAAGTCACACTTATAACAACTGGCAGGGTACTTACCAATTCGCCGAGTCCAGTGGTAGTGAGTCCCAGCACCCTGTACTGGAAATCTCGACCAGGGAAGCAATAACTATTGCAGACTATACCTGGATCCTCAAACTAGACTCAACAATGGGTTATTGCTGCAACATGGGATGAATTCCAATTTGTATGGTCCAGGATTTATCGAATGTCATCAGGGGACACAATGACTATTTAATGTTGCTATTGGGGTTTTGCCCTTGTTAATTCTGACAGTGGCTCATATGTCTAGGGGTTGATTCCCCATTCTTTCAGCCATCGTTCTTTTCAAAAACCAGCCATTGTCCAGGGTTTTTGGTGGTTTTCTAGAAAGAAGGATCCCTGGAAAGAATGGGGAAGTTACCCCTAGAATATGGGTGGCTCTTCCTTTCTTGTTTGGATTCGGACCCTGGTTTGCCTCGGGCTTTTCCTTTCCACCAACCCCAAAAAGGATCATTACCCACACAAAAACGACCAGACCCATGTACTACACAAAGAAGTAGGAGCTGAGTGGCGACGCCAGGCTTCCTGATGGTGGAGTTCTTGTCCCATGCTTTCCAACGTTGCTTGTCAGCATGCTTCCAGTTGCCATGGACCATGCCTGGTTCTCCTTCTGACCCCGAGAGATTCTGGGGTCACCCAACATATCCCCAAATGTAGGGGACATGGAAATCCCCATGTTTGATGTTTGTCAGGAGACTGCATTGTGTTTGACTGTTGAGGGGACCTAGTTTGGGATTGCTTTAACTGTGCACCTTTGGGAGAAATAGTTGAAAGGTGTTGGGTTTTTCACACGACTTCCCCGCCGATCCCGACTAGAGTCGTGGGGCGAACTTTAAAACCACTAAACAAATACTAAGCCAGTTCAGAACCATTTCAAAACCAGCACCGATTCAAACAATAAGTAGAAGTCTGCTGTTTAGATTGCCATGGAACGATCAAACATGGCCAGGAAAGGGCACTTGGGGCGACCCATTTGGGCCGTAGCAGCCTTAGCAGAAAGTGCCCTCGGGGGGTCCATAGTATTATTCTGCGTTCTCCTCCGACAATATGTTTAATAAGTTATATGCATTATGGGTAGGCTAAATATGGCTAAATATGGTTGGCAGAACCTGAATGATGACATGCTGCGTGGATGGATGTTTGCGGGGCTGCCTCCTTTTCTAGCTTGCGCTTGTTTGGAGCGTTGCTCTTTGAGGGAGAAGTTTCGGGGCTCTTCGAGCCGTTCCTCAACTATGATCAAGCCAGCGAGCATTGGAGGATTTCCTTTGGTTTCCCGAGCCAAATGTTTTCATGGTGGAGTCTGCTTCTGACCTTCAGACTCTGACCTTTTAAACATGGGATTGCCCAAACAAAAGGAGCCATGGCCATGTTTGATTCATGTCACTTGGGTCCTTGGGAGCAGGGGCCGAGACTCATAAGGTCTGGGGGCTCATCTTTTTTTGGCGGGCGCCTTTGCTTGTTTTTGTTGAGGTCCCCTCTTTCCGGGGCATCCAGCAACAATGGGATTGGGGTCCAAAATCAGGTGGCTCAGTCCGTTTGAGTTGCCAAGTACCGAGGGATTTCAGCGCAAGTTGATGGTTTGCCCCATTGAAGGCGTGAACAACTGATTTCATGGATTGTTTTCAAGGTTGGGCCTCATTGGGACTCATTTTGAGGGAACATGGGATTGCACACACATGGGATTACAAATTTGGGATTACTCACAAGCGATTATATACTGAGTTGGCAAATATAAGGGTACCTGGGGCCCAACCCGAGGCAACAATTGGTTGGTTTCCAGCCCTTTCCTTTGGTTGCAAGCCCCCAATCCCTCAAAAGTTCTCTAAAACTGGGCTACGGCAACCCAACATTACGTGGTGAATTCCTTTTTATGAGTAGTTCGTTCGAGTCCAGGCCCACGTTTGCTTCGAGGATCGACCGAGCAAAATCCGGGAGTCAGGCGCCTGTGAGCTTCTGCTCCTCTGCGTGGCGGTCCTGGTGGCGGCCTCTTTCGGCTCCTCGGAATCCGCAGTTCGAATCTTCGAAGCTTTGCTCTGTGGCAAGGGATCTATGGACGGGGCGAACCGCAAAAAGGCCATCTGAATCCTCAACTGAACGGGGTGCAACCCAAGATTTTGTTTGCTGAATTCTCTTTGTGGGTAGTTTGAGGCTCCAGGGAATCATTTGCTCACTCCCTGAGTTCCTAGACTTTAAGCTTGGCAAGATCGATTTCGTGGTAAACAGCTTTTTCGGCCAACCCACTCAGGAAATGAGTTTGAGATCCCAAGATTCTTAGAGTAAAGGGAAAACCGCAGGGAAAGCAATGAGGAAAACCACAGTCTAGGGAATACCCTTCTGCATTTAGGGATTCCAGTTGTCGTAAGCCCCCTTTTTTCCAACCTAGTTGGGGGTGGTCTGAGTTCGCCTCAGCACGTTGACTAAAGATGAAGCAGTTTTCCAACACATTATTTTTGGCGGACTCGGGGCTTGCAGGAAGTTTTTGGGGTTCCCTTTCCTGGTTCACACACACACACACCGAAAAGGTCATTAGGAAATGGGGGGTGATTCACCAAGTTCCCGCGTCACTTGGGGACACGATAAACATTGACTGTAGCCCATAGAACCAAGCAGCAGTTTGGAATTTGGAAACCGTTGGGGCTGGTCATGGACTACGGAGCACCATAGCCGCAATGGTTTTAAAGCAGCTGTGTCGTTTGTTTCTCAGGACTGTCCCACACTTCCATCCGAACCCTGTTACACAACATCAACTTCCAGGAAGGTTCTAGAAATGCCAGGGGCGGCTGGGTGTTCCTCCGTTTCAAAGACAGCGTACAAATGTAGATATTGTTGCTACCCGGTTTGTTTCTTGCTGGTATGGGAATGAGCTTCCCAAGAATTCCCTTCCACGCTATTAGTTGGAGAACTTGGATCAATTCGGGGGGTTTCATTCCCTCGTTCTCAATGGAACCATCAAGAATTTCAGGCCGGTGCGAAGTCCCAAAAACGAGAAATCTGTTTCTTGAACATAGCAAACCCCGAGGCCTGGGGCCCACACCCACCAGAATGGCTGGGTGTTCCGAGATCTCGGATTTCCTTTCAAGCACCAAGGAAAAGGGATTTCCCATCCTGAAAAAGAAGGAACCACATTCAAATGCCTGGACCTTTGAAATGCATCCTTTCCCCAACCTCCTTGGGGGTCCCAAGCCTCCAAGAAGCATGATCATGTCACAAGTGCGACCCGAGACGTGGTGAGTTTCCCTACTTGAATGTTCAACCCACTTAATGAGTAGGTTTTAACCATGGTAAGGGGACGATCACCCCAGTTACACAAGTTACGATCTTGGTTACAACCTACTAAGTTGGTTGAGCATCCAAGTTTGGTTTCTCTTTAAACGCAGTTTGAGACAGACCCTATGTCTCACTCTAGTTCTTAAACGCGTCACTCTAGTTAAATACACAACCCGTTTAGACATTCCCTTCATGTCCTTTTATATGAAATGAAACCTGCTGAAACATTCCTTCCAGTTGTTGTTTAATACCAAACCGGTTTGAACATTCCCTCCACATGTTGTAATAGAGAAAACTGTTTACACATTCCCTCCAGTTTTGTTAAAACAAAAAAAGACATGTCGAACCATTCCCTCCAGTTTCTTTTTGACAAACAAACAAACAAACAAACAAACAAACAAACAAACAAACAAACAAACAAACAAACAAACAAACAAACAAACGACAACTGACTAAACACCACGAGTTTAAATATGACTGTGGCTCAAAAAACATGTACCAAAATGGCACCCTTGGCAAATGGAACTAAAGACAAACACCGGCAGTTTGCCCTAGCTCTTTAATTTTGAGCCACACCCATATGGACATGGTTCAAAACCAATGGTACCATTCTGGGATAGGTGCACCACCCATTTTAGAACCAATTTTAGTGGGGATTGAATCAGATGTTCATTGGGGGTACGATTTGGGTTTTGACCCATGGCTATTCGTACAAGGTGCATGACCATGGTTTACCCGGGTTTAGCATGTACAGTGTGTAAGTTTACCTGGGCACCTTGATAGATTTCCGCCGTTCACCCCTAATGTCCCTAGAATGGGGAAGAATGGGGAAGGTAACAATAGAAATTTGAGCCACACCCATATTCCATTGCCACCTTCCAGTTGTGTTACATACAAAAAGACCTCTTGAACCATTGCCTCCAGCTTTTTTTTTTCAACCAAACAAAAAACAACCAAACAAAACCAGTGCAAATATTCCATTTCCTCCAGTTCCCCTTCCGCCTGGAGGCCTGGAAGGTGTGCAGGGCTTGGGCCCGGTGGTGCTGGCGGCGTATCTGGCGGCGGAGAGCTTGCTGCACCCCTACAGCGCCTTTGGCTTAAAACGTGTTTTGTGCGTTGGCGTTTATAGACATATACATATACACATATTTGGCTCTCCAAGCATCTCGGGACCTTAAATTTAGTTCCTCCCCAAGAATCTTGGGACCTCAAATAAGCAATGATTTGAAATGAGGTCTAGAACCTTCCAATGGAGATCCCTTTGATTTTTCGATGAAGGGTCCGAACAAACGGGCTTCGTTGTTGTTTTTGTTGGTGTTCCTCCAACTCAATCCCTAAAGGGTATCGAGCCTCAATTGGCTGTCAAGTTGTGACTGGTTCCAAACCCGATCGTTTAAAAGCTGATTGGAAGCGCCTCACCGGAACGAAGGCATCAGTTTGAAGGCGACAGGGGTCCAGATGTACTCTCTAGTGTCCTTTCTTTTTTGGGATCTTCAACATGTTGTAGTTTCCCGCGTCAAACCACTGAAACAAACAAGGACCGGATGTGTTTGTTCTTGTCATTCGTCCTTGCTCGTCGTCGTTTTTTTGTTTTTTGTTTTGGGGGGGGGGGAGTTGAAGCATGTTGCAGTGTCCTTCGTGAAAAGAGGGGAAACAACAAGACCCCTGTCCTCCCCGAAACCGAAGGTTGCCGAGGCGCTGTTAGACTCAAGAATGACCACCTCGGGTCTGGAACCCACAGTCAGAAGTTTACAAAGAGCTACCAGAACCAACTACCCATACATAAGGGAACTAGCCCCAAAATGTGGGGGCAATAACCCGATTTTATGGGAATTTGAGGGTCCAGGTGAGCAATTATTTATACTATGCCTCACGTTTCCAGTTCTTTTTGGGAGACCATTTTAGTGGCGAACTCTAAGTTTGGACTTTGTTGGCCATCCACCCAGGAAGCGAGATACACACAATTTTATGCTGACTTAATTTGGTTTTACAGTACCCCACATCCATAATCCCAGTCTAACTGTGAGGTGTCTGGTAGCAACCATGTTTGGGATGGACATAAACCTGATCCTACAACCTTTGTCGCCCAGGGCTGTCATTTTGTTTCCAGTTGCCTTGGGCAGTCTCTAGCGACCTCACAAGGGGCGGTGGATGCCGGCCGCTAAGGGTTTTGCTCTTGTATCGAGGTCGCTTATTTTGGCTGATGAACGACTAATCATTCCAGGTGAGTGGGATGAGTGGGATGAGTGGGATGAGTGGGATGAGTGCACTACAAGGGGACAAACCCCCTATCAACCAGGGGTTCATCAATCGGGTGCCCATTAAGAGGTAACGTATGCAAGAGCCAACAAGTGCAACTGACCACTCGGGAGCCAAACGAGGGCCCTTGATTCCTTGTGCCGGTTGACTTGGTGCGAAGTCGCCCATCGTTTATGTACCGGAAGGGAAACCAAAAGAGGATCGGTAGCTCAATATGTTCTAGTATCCCTTCAATTTTGGTTTTAAGGGGAATCTATCACTACTGGAAATATGCTTTTTTTGTCCAGGAGACGAAAGCAATCAACGGTTGTTTTTTTCCCCAGACCCCCAACTGCACCGAAATAGTCCAGAAGAAAAGGTAGAGTAACTCAGCTTGAGGCGTGGCAACCACCACCATCCTCCACTGCTGCCTGCTCGACAAAGACGGCAAGGACCCCGCTCTTGAAAGGAAGAGCAACAGAAGGCGATTTGTACAAGGTGCATGACCATGGTTTAAACGGGCTGGCCCCCGGCATGTACAGTGTCTAAGTTTACCTGGGCGCCTTGATAGATTTCCGCCGGGCACCCCTCATGTCCATGGGAGGAAGGGTACATCAACTTTGGTGCATTTTGATTGGATGTTGCGACTTTAACTTTTCACCAACTAGTGGGTTTTCCATTAAACCACTAAAAGAACAAACATCTTAGAAGGGGAGCAGATTTCGCAACCGAGTATCAAAGTTGTTATTGTATAAGCGAGCTAACGTCTGAACGGACTTCGCAATAGGGGCTTCCTGTGTTGTCATTGCGTGTGGCGGTAGGTGTGTTTGTTGTTAGGCCTGGTTCTCTTTCTGGTGGTTGTCCAAGCAAACACAAAGAGTCAACCAACCAATTTTGAGGGTTCTTTCGTTTAGAGATAAGCCCATTTGAGGGTGATGTCCAAAAACAATCAAGGAGCCAGCGCTTCTCCCCGGGATTCTCTGAACAGAATGGGGAAGCAAGGTCAAGCTCACCTGTAGGGGTTCCTCATGTCGCTGCCTGCTGATGATGATGATGATGATGATGATGATGATGACATGATGAACATGATGATGAGGATGAACACCACCATCATCACTTTCATCGTTCATCATCATCATCATCATCATCATCATCATCATCATCATCATCATCATCATCATTTGCATCATCATGTTCCTCATCATGTTCTTCATCAAAACCGTAGACCCGACTGGACATGCAGAGGATGCGTTGTCAGATTGTCATGATAACTGCTGCTGATGATGATGAAAATCAACATCATTTGCATCATCATCATCATCATGATCATCATGATCATCATCATCATCATCATCATCATCATCATCATCATCATCATCATCATCATCATCATCATCATCATCATCTTCTTCTTTTTGGATACAACAAACCACCACCTTTCTGGGCCACTAAATGTGGACAAAAACCCACTTGGGTGTCCAAATCTGTATGAAGGCTGAGAGCTGACTCCACCCTGGAGGCGAGGCATGAGGCAGACTTGGGTAAAGCTTGTCTTTTTCAGGGACTCACCCAACCACAACTGGCGCAGCGGTTTCCCTGGAAAAAAGCCACCCAACCGGTAGCGTTAATGAATATGTAAAACATGCAGATACTCCCTCTCTTTGCTTCGTATTTGGGTTGGTTGGGTATGAGAACCGATTGTCACTCGCTATGCCTGAACCAATGATTCCATTTCTTTGTACAGGCAACCGAGGGAACGACCCTTTCAAGACCAGGAAATGACGAAGGGTTACCTACTCGGATCCACCGTGAATTTCTTTCCCTTAACAAAGGCCCCTCAACTTTCCGGGGTACGTTAGCGTACCAGGGGGTGCGCTACTCGGACCTGGGGCACCTCCATTGTTCTTCATGCCTTTCAGTTTCGTCTTTGACCTTTCACGTTTTCGTGGATGTACAAAGTGTCTTTCTGGAGTCTCCTGAAGCAAGCAAAATGGGTTACTTTCCATGCCCCCCTTTTTTGGGCAATGACCCCAAGTTTGAAGGTCCAGGCTTCACTTCTTGCTTTGCTCTTTTTTTAGGTTGTGTCCCCACTAGTCAACAAGAACTGAACAACTTGACCCAGCGACAAATGCTGCCTTCATTGATTCGGAGGAGCCGGATCGCGTGCCGAAAGAGGCCAAGGACTTGCGGAGGATCATGGAGCAGTGGGGAGGTGATGACGGCTCCTTCGCGCAGCACTACGCGTGAGCGAGGTCCGTGGAGAGTTATGAGTGAGCATCCGACATCTGGCTTCTCCTTTGAATTTGGTTTTTCCCCAACAGCTGCAGGCTATGGGGTGTTTGCCGAAATAAGCTCCGGAGTGATGCGCAGCAGCTTTCAGGGAGGGTTCCGGAGGGTTCCAGGGCTATTGGGCATATCACCCGGGCTTTTTGGTTTAGCTGAGTCAAACTTTCACTTGGTGAGTTTGTGCAACACTAAAAGGTTGAGCTTTCTTCTGGCAAGTCAGCTGAGAGGTCAGCTTATGAAGGGTTCCCTAGTCATCGACAAGAAGCTGAAATGGATCTGAAGACCCTTGGGTGAACATCATTTTTTGTGCGTGCCCACCAGCCACTTTTGAGGTCCCCCATTAAGACTCATAACCAAACTATCATTTGGAGCCCTACTTCCTGGTTGACCGTACGTCTGCAAAATCCGATCCCGACATTTCCATGGCCTAAGGGCCATTGGTATGGGCCCAGATAGTTGCCCTTTCACATGTGGTGGGGTTGTCTTTTTGGGGTACCCATTTTGGAGTGATTTCAAAGGGAACCAAACAGGACAACCACCCATTTTAGAAGAACCTCCCATTTTGAGACAAGCCCATATGCGATTTATCCGTTACATAGTGGGTCTGCATGGCGTTTCTTTGGTCACAAGGTCAAGAGGCGTGAAACGGCCCATGTAGTTTTGTTTATAGCCTACATCAGTTGCTTCAATGTTCAAGTAGGCACCTCTGAGGAGCAGCCCCGAAGATCCTGCTGATTGTTCATATATATATATATATATATTTAGTTGCTGATGCCCAGCTGGAGAAAGCGATGGTCGGCTACAGAGATGTGCCCGAGTCGATGGTTTTTATGCCCGGGCCATGGAGAGGCTTGAGATCAGGATGCACCTCACGTGCTTCAGTGGTGAGCTTCGCGTGCAGTGGGGAACTGTTCAAAAGGAAAGCTGAAGCTTGGGATTCGTTTAGGGTGGGTTCACCATGCTACTCTTGTGTACGGCCGGGAAGCCAAAAGGAAAGCCACCATTTGTGGGTGCTCCTCTTTAAGCATAATCCAAACGGACCCGTGTCAAATCAGGGGGACCCAACAAATGGCTTCCCTAAACCAGCAGGTGAATGTGTACCCCGGGTCTAGAATTTGGCGAAGTTAATCGGAGAAAGGGTTGTCTTCCAAAAGCAAAGAGCTCTGTCAATCAACTAGTGACTGATTGCTCCTGGGTCAGTTAGTTATATATTAGGGATCCAAGTTCAATGGATTTCACCCTTACAGCTCAAACTGCTCAACCCCGAAAGAGCTCTCTTTTTCTACCATTGCTGGGCAAAAGGGGAGGGTCAACCATTGAATGGAGAATGTGACCAACCACAAAAGGGTGTTCAGTAGGAAGGAAAGATCATGACTACCATGAGAGCCAACAACCCAAATAGTGTTTTAGGTTTCTCAGGAAATCCCTGTGTTTTGGATGGCAAAAGCCAACCTCTATGTCAAAGGGGCGGATAACATGGACTAACCAAAACAAGGGCTTTGGCTTCCCATGGTATAAAATCAGGTTTGACGACACAAATCTTTGGTTCCTAAGGTGTTCCTGCAAAGGGCAGGTTCCATTTGATGTTTAGACATGGGTACGCCATTTTGAGACTGATTGTAATGAGCAAAAACAATCCCACAACAGTCTTCTGGTGACTAGATCCATCTATTTCGAGCCAGTTGGTTAAGGCTGGTCCGTTGTTACATGGTCAATCACTGAGTTGTTTGGTGAATCATCGCGTCAGACCTGCATAGAAGATTTGGGGGGTGACATTTATTTGAGGGCCATGTCTTGTGGGTCCAAACACCCCACAATTGCTGCTATGGATCAGACACAGTTGTTGCTAGTTGCTTGCCAAGTAATCCCCTACAACAAGCACAGTTGCTGTTCAGGGTATAATACGGCATGATGGCAAGCTATTTTCGTTGGAAGACCTGTCGTTTTGACCATAGTCCCACCATTTGGGGGTCCCCTACAAAGACCCACCCACATAAACCAGGGGACTGCAATCTTCCCATGCCCAGTAGGGCAGTAAGTCTTGAGCATGAGCACGTGAAGAGGAGCACAGGATCCAAGGCTCTCCAGGTGTCGTGATCATTTTCCAGCTCGCAGTTAAAACGAAAGCTCCGCGCCAAATCTGCCGGCGTTGTTGTTTTCTTGTCGGAAAGCCGCAGCAAGGACCCTCCATCGAAGGGGGGCAAATCGTTGGTTTGGTTTTAGACCTGAAAAATGGCCCTGTTCATGTTTCCGGGAGCATGTTCGCGATGTAATGAACACTCACAGCTGTTGCCCAGAGGCCATGGACACGTTTGAGGGCTCCTCCATGTCCAACAGAGAGGTTTTTTGGCACCCCCCTTACCACTCTATCTGGCAAAAAAAAGTGAGCCATAAATATACTGTGGATGGCTGCGAAATCCAATTCGCACCACGAAATGAAACCATGGGATTGAAACCATGACGTTTTTTGGTAGCGAGTTGGGGAATTCTCGAGGAAACCCACAACTGACATTTTGCCAGCCACAAAGCTGTTTTATCACTCGTTCTCTTTCAAGAGAATAGGATGTGCATGTTCTGGCAGGAATGGTAGCATGGTGCAGTCTATTCCTGACCCCGAAGCTGAGTGACATTGGGCAACAGGATGTGACACTTGTTCAGCTGTCTTTTTCCGATTATTGGAACATGTCTGGGCCCCAGATGGGTGTTTCTCAGAATAGTGGTTCCCGGAGAATTGCTGGTTTCCATGTTTGTGTGTTGTCTTTCAGCAACCAAAAGAGTGCCGATTCACCATGAGAACCACTGAAATGTGACTCCCTGAGGTCTCCCAACCTAGTGGCACATGGCGCCGACCACGCCACGTCAGGTAAGTAGGTTGCAGCCATGGTTTCAAGGGGCCTAATTCTGGTTAAGCGATTTAAGCATCCAAGCAAGGTACAGGAACCCAAGAGCCCCTGCGGCGCAATTCCTTGAACCGTGGACCAAAGGAGTTGGACGCGAAATGGGTGCATTCTCTTAGCAATCGGACGACCCAACATGGCGGTTTTCCTTTTGGTGTCCCTTTGAAACGACACCAAAAGGGGTAACCGCGCCTCAACACACGAAGCCCAAATCGATGGAAATCGTCGGAGTCCGTGTCCGAGGTGCCGAAGACATGGTCCGCCGCGCCAAGGAGTGCTTCCGCGCGGTGGAGTGAGGCCAAGTGTCGGGTGATTTTGTTTTTTTTCGGCGGCTGGTTGGCGCTTGGGGCCAAAAATCCCAGGAACCCAAACAAACCCTACCCGAAGCATCAGAGTTCGGACCCTCCATTGAAAGGGGTTTTAGGGCCCTCCGTTGGTTTTTGTGTTGGACCTCATTAAAACGAGATGGCCTTTTTGAGTGTCCGTTCGATGCTTCGGGCTCTGGTTCAACTGTTGTCGAGACAGTATTCTTTGTTCCCCAAAGAAAAGAACATGAGGAAATGGCTTTGAAACCCGCCCGAATCCCATGAAACGTTGATCCAGTTGAACCAACACAAACCGCTCCCAAGGTCCGGGAATGCACCCCGAGTCGACACAATTTGCTTCCCCGAAGATTGTGGGAATCCTGTACCTTTGGGGGACACACTCTTGTACAGGAATCCCAGGAGTGTTTTAAAGTACTCCGGACACTGGGCCTGTTTAATCTTCAGGGACACCGCAGCCGAAAGACCTGCAAGTGCTACGGGGGCAAGTGCCATAGCATCTGAAGCCCAGAAGCCTAGGGAAACTTGCGGCATCTAAGACACCAGATTCAAGTTGATTTCAGGCAGTTCGCCTAGCCATGAGTACTTTGGCGGGTATAGCCGTATTGCAGTTTTTCCTATAGACCCCCCCCCCCCCCGAAATGAGGTTTTCCCTTGGTTTTCCTTTTCAAACCCACACCAAAGGGGTGCCGAGCGTCAAGAAAGATCGGAGTCCTTTACAGCCAATGTGCTGCCTGGGCATCCTTCAAACGGGAAGACTTCACGGCACCTGTGAGAGGGGGTGTTTTGGTTTGAGGGCACCCTAACATGGGGCTGGTTTATGTGTACGCCACCTTTTTTTTGGTGCACCCAGTGGAGGACAATACCACTTTTCCCTTGAGGTCCCTTGTCAAGTAGCATGGGGGCGGGAGGATGGCGCGAACTGTCAGACACCATGTCAGCCTGTGGGAGGATGGCCAAGGAGAGTTGAAAGCCAGTAGCAATGCAAGTTGGTTGGTCGGTTTTCAGGTTTTCCTGAACACTTGCGGTTTGCTTGGGCATCCCGGCATTGTCTACGTACTGTGAAGAAGAGGGCACTACTTGGGGTGGGCCCCACACTGCCACAATTCGATGGGATGTTAAACTTTTTTGGAAGACTTCCCCGTCCCCCCCGCCAACTCAGGAACTGGGGGAAAATCGCCGCGCGCGCAGAGCATCTCAAGACAGATCGTGCGGCACGAACCCCGCATCCCCCCTTCCCCCAGGGAGTCCGGGCAAATCAAGGTGATGTTTGTTTGTGGTTTGAAGTTGAACCAACACTTGCACGGTATTTTGAGGATGTCGCTTTGATACGTTGCAGGTGTTGCTGGGAAGCCTTGTAACTCATGCATATGCAGTGGTCCGGAATTCAACACTGCTTGTAATCCTGCTGGCGTCCGATTAGAAAGTAGCATGGTGATCTGTTGCGACATCCGTCTTGCACGTGGTTTTTCATAAACTTCGGGAGCCCCCCCAAAATGCGTGCGGCTTTTGTGACTCGCCTTTTAAAGCAACCAACTGTGACTGTTCTGTTTTCTCACATCCTCTCGGCTCCTTTTGAGAGCTGGCAAAACAATCCACCCACTTGGCACGTCTTTGCCGCGGGTGTGCGCCAGCCGCTGCCTCAGGGAGGTGCAAGCCATGGATGAAATGATCAGATGGGGTCGGCGGTTTGGAACCCGGTTTGGGGAATGAGCCTGGAAGGGTCATGAGTCAATCAGTCTTGTTTTTTTTGGGTCCTCAAAGGGAGGTGTTTGCTGGGGTAACCCGTCAGGTTGGTGGTTTGGATCCCGGTG